TGGGCTTCTCCAACACCGCGCGCTGCAGGTGGATTATTAGCGCAGCTTGCAACCTGCACAGCTGCCGTACTTTGCTACCTGACTTTTGTCCAACGGTCTTCCGGTTTTCCGGATGTCTTTACCGCTAGGATGCAGCATCCTAAGCAGCATTTAGGGACACGAGGGAAAAAGATAGGAAAACAAATAAAAAAAAAAATGGCAATTTTTTTTTTTTTTGAGGGGGGGGGGGGTTGTTTGTGATTGTTTTATACTCGTTTATGCGCAAACGCAAAGCGACGAAGTACGACTTACTGGGGGCCGTTGTGCGTTGGGTTAGTGGTGTGCTGCCTTCTTTGTTCGCGTCGATCCGCTCCTCGTAGCGGGCTTGCCTCGAGTGCGCGACCGTAGTCTCCTGTGTGACGCGGAGGATCTCACGTGCTTCCCCGAAGTCGGCAGCGCAGGAACTTGGGGGTAGCTTTCTTCCGCCGGATTTGAGCCGCCCGTCCGCGCGACGCGAGCGTTTCTTTCCGTGCGCCTTTGCTAGCCCCGTTTGCCTGTGTGTGTGTGCGTGTGCCGTGGTGTTCACGCCGAGCGAGCGGTCCCGAAATGCGGCGATGTCCCTCTCTTCGGTCCATGTACGGATCAACCCTCAGCTTGTTTGAGGACCACCAGGTAAACGATCCAACACATAAACCTTTCCAACCTTTTACAAATCCACAGTCCAGCGCACGCGTGTTCGTGGCTTCGGTAAGCGAGCAAAGTACGAATCCTGAAGGGAGCGCCTGCTAGAAGCTGTTCTTCAGAATGGTCGAACGAATCGCACATTTCTTGCTTGCTGCTGCTGCCTTGCAGCTGAGCGGGTTCTTTAGGTAACGTCCTTTCGGCACCTCCTGACTTTGATTGTTTTTAGGCAAGGAGTATGAATTGAATTACCCCCGAGCAACGATGCGGTTTACGTGGCCAGTGAACCGGGCGACTAGTCTGTGACGTGATTCGGCACTTTTCTGTAGGCCGTGCTTTTTTTTTTCGTCCCTGTTTGTGCATTTGTTTTTGCTTTGTTGGTTTTATAGCTACCATTTCGATGCGAACAAGCGCGGCCGGGATTGTCGGCGCTTGGACTTCGAACGGCGTTCTTATAAAAACGTAGCCGGCGGATATAATACTAGGCATTTACAGCTATTACCACCCAGCAAAAAAGAGAGAAAGAAAAAGAAATGGGCTTTCTAGCTTGGTTGACAAAGGTGGTAGTATGCAGGAGGTGATCATTGGAAAGATTCTTTTTATCCCAATGCAAGTGGTGTTCTTGCCAGTGCTCATGTGAAAATGATGCCATCTCTCATCATGCACCCCTCTAGCTTTCACTTTCTACTGTATTGAGGAGGGCAAGTAAACTCTAGAAAATTGTACACCGCTCATGCGTTGCCGGGGAGCGATCGGACCTTGACTACAACCAATCACTTTAGTGCAATTAATGCTGAGAATGTGGCAAATGAAGCATGAAAGCATTGGGTAAGCCTCATATTTTATGTTCGTGTTGGTACCATTAAAATGCGTCACTTCTGTGTTGTGTTGGAGATTGAAAGACGCCAATCTGATAAGAGCGAGCGAAATCTTGGAAGCGTGCGTCAAGAAAGGAAGTCGGTCCGTGCAAGTTCCGCTGTGTTTTTCCCCCACGTGACCGGAAACAAATGTGTCGGTCGTTGAATTTTGATAATGTCCGTAAGCTCGCTCTCGAGCTTGTTCCTCCCCTTTGCCTTATCTTCTGGTATTTCAAGCTGTGATACTTCCCCTTTTTGCTAGAAGTTATGATTTCGGGGCTCCTTTGAATGTCACATCGTCAGCTGCACAACTATCATGGATGGATAAAAAATATAACATTAAAAACGAGCGTGTTAAAGAACGGGAAAAATTAACACAAATTCGGGACGAAAACTGCATCAGTTTTTGTCCTGAATTTGTGTTTATTCTTTTTGGTTGTTTAAGATAAAAAAAAAAAAAATCTGGAGTTTATTCTGCAATGGTTTTCTTGTGTTTCTATCACTTTCTGGTAGCTTCATAGTTTCTTGGCAAATTATATTGCTCTTAAATATTTTTTTCTTATTTCTTTAATAAATCTTTTGTAGTTTCTTTTCTGCCTGATCCCTTTAATTTTTAATCCCTTTAATTGTTTACGATATTGAAATGGAAGTTTTACAGTTTATGGTTCTTTTCTTCTTTTAATAAATCTTCTTTTAGTAAGTCTTCTTTTAATAAATCTGGTGTTAAATTTTATATAGTTTTTTTCTAGGTTGTCAATTAGGAGTAAATTTATAATTTACTCCTCCTAACCACTGAGTGCAATGAATAACAAATATAATGTGTGTGACACTTCTTTCATTTTAGAATAATTAAACAATAGCAAAAATGCCATTTCAAGGCTAACGAATGTTTCTTATATATCCATAAATATATATATAAAAAAAGATATATATATGTATATATACATTCTAACCAAACATATAGATACTTGCATTCGACATATTCTAAATAATATGCATGCAAAATTTGGTTGTGATAGGACAATATTAAAAACAGAAATTATTGTGCACAAACTGTGAAGATGCCTCAACATTACATAACAAGAAAAGCACGTGCAAATGTTACATAGATGAGTAGCCAGGGCCAACCCTACAGCATCCAGCTCCCTGGCCGAACTCTGGCCTAGCTTTTTTTACTTTTTTCTTCGAAATTTGACAGTGTTAGGGAAATTAATTGCAATTAAAGCATTAATCAGTTGATCGGTAGGATAACCGATCAAGTTCCCAGCCATAGTTATTAGTCAGTGCTTGATCCTGTCTTCCTTCTACCTTTGTCCTCGTTTAATTTGAGCTGTTTCTACCGTGAATTTACATTCATAATAAAGACACATGGTCCTTTTCCTTAAAAAAAAAAATTAGCATCAACCTTTATCTTTAACTTCTATATTGCATATAATGCAGGTATTCTATGCAAACTATAGAATGCAGGCATTACTGGTCGTTTCAAAGGGTGAAGAATAACATATTGTTTATTAATTTCCATCACCCTCCTCTACAACTTCACTATGCACTAGGGAGCGTAGCGCACACAGTTACTGTAGTGGAAGGCAAACGGCATACGTCAGTCAAGGGTGCATGCTCCTTTGCCACCACACAAAGAAAGTTGTCCAGCTGATGCAGAGGTAGCACAATAGGCTGCAGACCAAGAGGGTTTAGGTTTAGTTCTTTTTTTTTTGGGGGGGGGGGGGGGGGATGTGGATGTTTTGGTTTACCTCTAAGTAATTGCGTGTGTGTCCCCGGCAAAAGTTTAGCGTTTTTTTAATCGCAGAATTATACTATGCCTTGCCCGAATGCGGCAATAGCAATCCGGATCAGATACCAAAGTTTCAGAAGGAGCCATTACCTTATTAAAAAGTTATAAGCAATTTTTGGGAATTAATAATGGGAAAATTGTGGCTGACGAAGCCCACGAATACATGGGGCTGAGTGGCGCAAACTACCAAGAATAGGCCCAATTTTCTCTTCGAAAATTTCAGAAAATCGCTTATAAATGTTAAATAGGTTAGCTCCGAAACTCTGGCATTCGATCCGGATTGCCAGCGCTACATCTGAGTAGAGACCGAGCGTTCGGCAATGTATAGTTTGTTTTTGCTGTTCTTCTGCTGATGGTAACCAAGCCACTTGCTGTGCTGACATATCCTGACACACAGATGACGGGTGGACGGGAAAATTGTTGAGCATAAGGGATTCTGTTACAAAGCATTCCACGCTTCAACAGCATTAGCAAGAGACATTTTCCACCTTGCCTTCAGTGCCAGTGGCTGCAAACTGAGTATGAGGTGAAAACGTCTGTATGTGGGGCAAAGCAATTTTCTTGGCCTGGCACAACTTAAGTGAGAACTAAAGTGGATCGGTGGCCGAGTGTGTTAGAGCACCGCAGCTTGGGGCATGTGAAGCGAAAGCTCATGCTACAGAACTCAAGGATTCTGAATGAGCATCGTACTAGCGTGCGGTCATGTATCTACTGCGTGATGCATGTTAAAGACCCCAGGCTAACGGTTGTACTGCACCGGCTACGTTTCTCGTGTGCAGCGTAAACCAGTGTCACCGCACCTCAAAGGCAGACCGACCTTATGTTGTATAAACGCAAACAACAAATCTTGATTTTTTTTTTTTTTTTTTGAGATTGTCTTTTTATGACTCAGATTCAACCTATGCACCACACCCTAAGCATCCAAGGAAACCCAAAATTACAATTATGTGTGGCCTTTTTTCCTCATGCCTGACATGCAACCACATCATGTCATGCCTGACATGCAACCACATGTCAGGCGTGCCCCTTCTTCTGAGATAGGTCTCAGAAAAAGGGGGCATATTGCAATGTTTGGAGTTTTTGAGAGGAAAAATGGCTGGTGCATGATTGCAATTTTGGACTTCCTGGGCCACTTAGTATGCTTAAGGACATCTTGTAACATCTGGTTGCATTTTAGTGAGAGGGAAAAGGCCACACATTTGTAATTTTGTGTTTTCTAGGATACTTAGAGGAAAGGGATGTGCAACGCTGTATGTTCATGCTTGTAATAGGCTACGCATGATAGTCATTTTTGACTTTCTAGGATGCTTGGGTTTGCACCATAAAACAACAATTTCAAAATCAACAATGCCCATTTAAAAAAAAGTATGTCACCTTAAACGTTTTTTAATTTTTTTTTTATAGGAAAGTTATGCGAGCAGACAAACTAGTGTTATTACTTGCTTGGCTGCTTTAAAGTGGGTGGCATATGCTCTGGTGGAACGTCATCTTCATCTCTGCTAAAGCAAAAATGGTTGTCATGTGCTCAATGCATGCTCTTGCAGTCGGAAGAAGCTGGGTACGCCTGCATTGGTACACTGTGGCACTGTACATCTGTTCTGCTTTTTAAAAGTGTTGTTGTTAGCCGTAAAGCGGTCCTGGTAGAGCAGGTGGTGATGGCAAAGCCTAACGTTGAGCGTTGTTCCTTGCAGATGAGCGATGGGCGGCGAAGTCAGGTGGTTCTCCTGGATGAGCGTCGTCTGGACATCCTCATTCAGGTATTTCAGTTCTCAATCAATCAGTCAATCAATCAATCAATTTCTGGTTAGTCCGCATACAAATATAAATCCCTACATAAGACTATGTGGCTCGTGTCCTTCAGGAGCCAGTTTTGGTCTTCCTCGTTACCTTTTATAGGCGGGCGCTTGGGGCAGGTTGCTATTTGTGGGGGCTTTTTTCTGCTGTGCAACCTGTCAGCACAATATCCCGAGACTTAACTATTGCCATTCCTCGGGCTTTGGAGCTGATTTCTAAGGGGTATGTTTCATGGTTTCTAAATATTTTGAATAAGAGGCGTAGGGCATATTGTGAGACATTTAAATGCAGCCAATTGGTTCTTTTGAGAGATGCCAACATTAACGAGGAAGCATGGAAAATTACTATTAACTTTAACTTCTGAAGAGCCAACCTTCGGCAGTAACAAGTACGACTAGACAAATGATAAGTGCCTGCAGGCATCCTGGAAGAATTGCTAAAAGGAATCCAGAAGAAAAAAGTGTGCTTTGTGCTTTTTTCTTCGGTCATATACAGATAAACAATATACATTTGATTGATGTTTTATCTGTTTATGATAATGAAACAAGTCCATTTCGCACTAGTAATTCATGTATTGATTTATGGTGTTGTCATTGCAATCCCCCCTATACCTTCGCCTTTTTCCCCTGCCGTGGTCTTTTATCCCTTCTCCTGGTTCATGAGGTGGTCCTAAAACATTAGCATCCTGCAATGTTCCATGCAGTGTTCTAGCATTCAGCACACTAGTCTCGAAGTTCATGGGGAGTCCAGTTTTTATGTGGCATTGTTGAGTGCTGGACATGTTTTTTTTTATTTCTTCTCTTGTGCAGCCGAGGCTTTATGCCTGTGATCTCTTGGACATGGTTGCTTCTCATTTTAATCTCAAGGAGAAGGAGTACTTTGGATTGGCCTTCCTTGATGAGACGTAAGTCTTTCTTCTGCAATACACGGCTGGTTGCTGCTATCTCGTGAGCTTGGGGTTGTAAGCCGGTTTGGGGTTCCATTGTTCAGGGGTCATTACCACTGGCTGCAACTCGACAAGAGGGTCCTCGAGCACGACCTGCCAAAAAAGTCCTCTCAGGGAGTCCTGGTGCTGTACTTTCTGGTCAAGTAGGTGGCCTTTCTCCTTCCCGGGTTTACTTCACATTTCACCCCTGGTGTCCATCAGAAGGGCCCAATAATGCAATGCCATGTTTACGAAAAAGGAAACATGAAATAAGAAAATGGGCATTTTGTCAAATGTTGTGGTGAGATGTCCTTTTTATATTTTTCAAAATGATTTTTAAAGGGGCCTGTGCCACCCCAGTAAATTATCAGTCCTTTTTCCCAAAGCACAGCCCAATTAATTTTCTTGCTGGAATGTTGCACATTTGCTGACAAAAAAAAATACTATAATTTGAACCAAAAAAACTGGACCATTGTAGAGCTAGAACGTGACTTTCCAGACCCAGAGGTTCTTGGGTTGTGTTTTTAACGTTTTTGGTGTTTCAGTGGTTATAAAAATGACATTACATGAATTTTACAATTTTTTTTAGTAATGACGGTGCATCTTGGATGGCTTATTGGTTCTCATATATTCCAAGTTTTTTGTTGTCATTGTGCAACTGAGGAAAAGAGAGCAGAGGAAGAAGCCCCAGGCAGATTGTACTCGACCCGTTTGCTTACCCACTACACACTTCTTTCCTTTCAGATACTATGTGGAGAGCATATCTCTTCTAAAAGACAGTGCCACAGTGGAGGCATTCTACCTACAGTGCAAGTCCCTCATTGCAAAGGCAAGTGTGCACCTTTGTGGACTCGCTAACACTGAGGTTTTTTTGCTACAGCTTCGACGTCTACAATTGGTGTTTTTCTTCTGCCTTACAGGGTTCATTAGAAGTCGATTCTGAAACTGTGTTTCAACTCGCAGCTCTAGTCCTTCAAGCAACATATGGAAACTATGTAGAGTAAGTGCATTATATTTTGAATTATAATAATAGGTTTCGGAAACTTCTGTACTGTCTACCATCTTTCTGTCAAGTAGTGGAATGTTCGCTACGCTTACGACTTGAGAGAGTCAAGTTTGATTGAAGTTGACTTCAGGATAGTGTTTTCGCACATTTCACTTTTCAGTTGTCATAGTACTATTTATTATATTGGTGCATTGCTTGTTTATCGCTCTGCACAATTTTTTGAGGGTGCCATGGCATCATTGCAAAATCATTTATTGGTTTATGCAAACTCATCTGTATTAAATTCTTGATTATTGCATTTTACATTTTAGTGACCAAACAACGAAAAACTATCTCAAGAAGCTTCCTGTCCTCCCCACAAGCACACTCAAGGAACATCCGTCCATTTCCTTCTGGTGAGGTCACCGTTAGGGTAGTGTTGTAACAGCTGCCAGATTTCCAGCTCGTTGTATCTTTGCTTTCTTTTTAGTGAGGGCAAAGTGATTGAGCAGTACCAGGAACTTGCCGGGCGTTCCAGGGGATCATCGATCATCTCGTGAGTTCAGTCGGCTCCTTCTTGGACTGTGTGGACAGGCCGTGTGCTTTGTGTAGCTCCTATGGAATTTGGTAACGGCTTTCGGAGCACCTGGTGCTCTGGACTCGTCGAACACAACGTTAGGGTCGAAAGTTTCCAGAGCGTGCCGATTGCACTTCGATTGGGCTTCGGCAGGCGACAAAAGCGCAGTGTCCTCGTTGCGAGAGTTTAATTAACGTGCTCCCTAAACCTCGACCACAACTTTGTGTTTGACGAGTCTAAGGAACCAGGTGAAGCTAAAGCCCCTCTATCCTGGAAAAAAGTGGCGCCATTCATTGTTGTAGAAATGTTTGAGCCACGTGCCGCGCGCCACTCCTGGGAAATTCATGGCGTCTGAAATCTAGCTCAGTGCTGCGCTGTGCCGCCTTGATCTTCCCAAGGGCTGCACGTTGCACGTGCCTCGTGCATCGACGCACCTTGTGCTACTCTTGAAACATGAAGGGGCTTTAGGTGAAGCCGCATTACCTCAATGTTTGGTGTCTGGGAAGAGCTCGGAATTCCAGCTTGGGTTCATCCCTGATAAACCCAAAATAAAACCTTGTTTAAAAAAAAAACAAAAAAAAAACATTACCTCCGCTGCCACCATTAAAAAAAAAAAAAAAAAAAAAATTTGATTTATATTTATTTGTTTATGGTACCTCAAAAACCAAACTAAGGACATTATATGAGGGGGTACACTCTGGGTAAACGTCAATCAGAATGCAAAAATAAAATAAAATGCAAGTTCAAAAATTTAAAAAAAAATCACATGCACAAAACTAAAAACACAAGCAAAAAAAAAAACATTGAAAAAAAAATTGTCTTATAACAGGGAGAGAAAAGGAAGTGCAAAGTGACAAGATGTAGACTAAAGAAAACGCATGAAATGAACTTGTTATGCTAGCATGTGCGACAAGAACCCAAAAAGTCATGATTCAAAGTAAATAACTACAAATCGATTACAATGAAAATGACAATATGCACTTTGATGCAAAAATGAGAGTATAAAAGGCATCAGAACAACAAAACAGCAGAATTCTGGATGCAGTGGGCAATCATGGTAAAAAAATGTGATTGGAAAGGGCATTACAAAACATTTTTGGATCAGATATGTTGACGATGGCTTCGGGAAGACCGTTTTAGTTCTTGATTGCTTTAGGAAGTGTTGAGCTATTAAATTTGGCTGTGGAACCCAAGATGTGTTTGAAGCTTTTGCTGTTATTTTGACGATGAGATATTTTATTCGATGGTTCTAAAAGTAATGCGCCTGATTGACCGAGATTAAAATAGAACTGACGAAGTAGACAAAGTAGAGAGATTAGACGGCGAGTTTTGAGGGGGTGAATAGAGTTGTGCTTTTTAATGAGAGAGACGCTAACAAATCGAGAATAAGGCGAGGATTAGAAATGAGCGGCACAGTTTTGGACAGATTCTAGTTTATTAATTAGGTACTTCTGATGCAAGTTCCGAATGGGCAAAGCATACTCAAGTTTAGGACCAACATAAGTATTATAAGCTAGGTGAGGTAAATGGGCGGGTGCAGTCTTAAGTTTCGTTCCAGGTAATTAAGAGTATGTGTTGAGTTAGCGGAAATGGTGTTAATATGAGTGACCCAGGAGAGGTTTGAGGTGAAGTGCACACCGAGGTACTTGTAAGAAGGGACAGAGGGGAAGGGAAAATCATTTAAGAAATACAGTCGCATCTCATTAATTCAATTTGTCTTAATTCAAACTTGCGGATAATTCAAACTAACATGCAATTCCCATCTTATGTGTCTCTGTGGGAGGAAACTCCCAGTAATTCAAACTCTGCTTTATTCAAACAAATTTTCGGTCCCCCTTGAGTATGAATTAACGAGATTCGACTGTTTATAAAAGTCTAGACTGAACACTTTCTAGTGAAAGAAAGCAGATGACATTTAGAGAAGTTAAGTCGCATTAGCCATGTGGTACACCATGCAAAAACCCTATTAATATCATTCTAGAGAATACTATGGTCATTTCAATTGTTAATGTTTCTGTACAGCACACAGTTGTCAGCAAACAGTCGTATGGTTGATTACACAGTAGTTGGATGATCGTTGATATACATAAGAAAAACGGAAAAGAGGCCCCTGAAATGTACCTTGTGGGACTCCAAAGGTCACGTCAGTAGTAGAGGATTGAGAGCACCGGTTACAGTAAATTGTTGTCTGAGGGTTAAAAAGTTACGGATCCATGATTGTGTTAACGAATAAAATTAAGAGCTGAGAGTTTGGATATCAGGCGACAGTGGGGAACACGACTGAACGGTTTTGAGAAATGTTAAAAAATAGTGTCCGTTTGAGAGCCAGAGTTCACGGGCGAATTCAAGTAACTGCGCCTCACATGAGTACCCTTTGCGAAATCCATACTGATATTTGTAGGAAGAACGTTCAGCCTTTCCACACTCGTGAAGAAGGAAGACCAGCGGAGCTGTGCTCAATACACTGTGTGCTTCTTCCTACTTGTCGTCTGTTTTTCGCACTGTTTCCTATGATGAATCCCCACCAACGCGCCCAACTATCCATTCTTCTGTTACACTAGCTGGAAAGGTTGCCGCCATCTACGAGCGACGGCGGAAACCATACTGGTTGTGTGCTTGCCGCCGTCGCTTATAGATGGCGGTAGCTGTCCAGGTAGGTTTGTGTCGACATACACGGACACAATCCTGGGGAACCTAGTTATTTTCAAGATGACTCATGGAATGAGAGAATACTATGTGCGCTAACAATTTTGACACCACACTAGTTAGGGATATAAGGCAGTAGTTAGCTATGAATGATTTTGAGCCAGATTTAAAAACAGGAACGATCTTCCCAAGTTTACGGTCAGTGGGAATGCAACAGGGTGACAATGATTGTTGAAACATTAGGCACAATATGTTAGATGAAATGGCATTGGTGTTTTTTTAAGATTTTTGAACATAAGTTGTCGGCACTGGATGACATAGAAATATCAAAGTTATTTATATATTTATTGATGCCTAGACTTGTGATTACAATGGGCGACATGTATAAATAATCATGGTCAGCAACAAATGGAATAATGGATTGGTCTCCCCTAGTAAATATTGATGTGAAGAATTCGTTAAAGACTGCAGGACAGAGGGCATCGGGCACTGGCTTTCCAGCTTCAACTGATAAGGTTATTGATGAATGAGATTCTTGTGGTGATATTACTTTCTAGAATTTTTTGGGAATTATTTATTAGAAAAGAGGGCTAGTCGCAACGGAAGTACTTTTGCTTTGCTAGGGCAATGGAATAATTGTATTGCTTTTCACATTCGGCATGTTTTACCCAGGCCATGGGAGCATTGGAATTTTTAGCAAGGCGAAAAAGTATTTTTTTTTTTAATTGCTTACTGTTTTTTGCATTTTGTTAAACCTTGGTTGATTACTGTTGGAGTGAATGTGAACTAGTGGAACAAAAATATCAAAAAGTTCAAATAGTTTAGATTTAAAGAGGTGCCAATTTTTTTCGACTGTTCTAATATGAAATCTATCAACTTAAAATCGATTTACATCCTCCAACATCTAGAGAGTATTCCCAGAAAGTTTCATTTGTTTACCCTGCGTAGTTATTTTTTTATATAAATTATTTTCGGTCAATTGATGCTAAAGAAAAGGTAGAGGTGTTCGTTTTTCTCCGTTCCTCGTTTTGGCATAAATTTCACTCTAGGAAAACTATTGTTTGGTAACAAAACAAAAGAAAAGGCTTTCATTGTTTTTCCCGACGGGAATTTTATGGGCAATGCAGCTGTGGCATTGCTTTTTTACTTTGTGGATGCCTTTTATAAAATATCTTCAGATTTTGTTGACGACATAAAAGGCAAACAATATATTTGATTTTTCAGTGCAATGTTAGCATACAAAAAACTACTTTCTGAAAAGTTTGTTTTTGCAGTTGCACTTTCTTGGCATTCTGCTGCATATCTATAGTTTGTTGCAATTCAAGAAGATAGGGCGAGGGAAAGGCAGGCCGGGGAGCAGGAAGCAGACGGGACGCTGGAGTAAGCGTTACGTCTGCTTTAGCGTTACGTCTGCTTCCTCCTCCCCGGCCTTCCTTCTCTCGCCTTACCTTCTTGAGTTGCAGCGGACTATAGTGAAAAAAATGTTGGGTATTTTATTAGTTTTCTATTAATAGGTTTCCTAAACGAAAACAACCAATTTTTTCCACAATTCATGTACAAATATTAAACTTTGCACTACATTCTGCCTTGCAATTGCCAGTATATATCTTGTAAATTTTTTATATTATAAGTTCAAGGTTCAAAAGTTTACCCTTTTGGTTAGTGTCCTCCCTTATTGGTGTTTTGTCATCTTCAGTTGACATGCTTATGCCTTTAACTTATTTTAAAAGCTTAAATGATGTCAGGACAATTTAAGTCATCTGGATGTTTTTTTTACTTTGTTTGCTATATTTACGTGTATACCGAGGGTCAATATAATGCGTGCATGTCTTTTTTTTTTTTTGCATTGTGATACACAACCAGGAAGGCATGTTCCTGTAGGTGGGCATCAATAAATATACATACTAAACCTAAGCATAAAACCATGCTTCAAACAAAATGCCGGCTTTCCCAACAAGCCATCGATGGGATTGCGCATTCCTGTCTTGTAATGGGGTCTCTGAAAATCATAACTTGATTTGAGAATCTTTAACCATGTTTACTGTTAATTAAAAAAAAAATATTGGCCATTTTGAGTTTGATGGAGTTTTACTGCTTGTCCATTTATATAACAAATACAAACTTTCCTTTCAGGTACATGAACCTTGTTGAGACGATGCCGACCTATGGCATTCACTTCTACGAAGTGAAGGTAAACAGCAATTACACGACTGTGCATTCAGGACCCAAGTTTACAGTCATCCAGCTTGTTACATGGTGCAATATTTTTGTTTCATCTTGAAGGACAAGGGAGGAATACCGTGGTGGGTTGGTCTCAGCTGTCGGGGAGTGAGCCAGTACGACTACACGGACAAGAAGATACCACGCAAGGTAACGCCAGCGTTTTGCCTTTTTAATTTTGTTCCTCACTCTAGTTCTTCCAATGGAAGCTCCAATGGAAACCCACATGTGCTAATGCTATTAATGCCTTTTTATTTTGTTCCTCACTCTAGTTCTTCCAATGGAACCTCCAATGTAAACCCACATATGCTAATGCTATTAATGCTTTTTTATTTTGTGCCTCACTCTAGTTCTTCCAATGGAAGCTCCTGGAAAACCTGTATTTCCGAGACAAGAAGTTCTCCATCGAGGTACACAATCCCAGGAGGTGAGAACAAAAAAAAAGAAAAAAAATGTCCTACCTTTTGCAGTTGGGAATACAATTTGATCCACCCTCTTTCTGCTTGAATTGAGAGTTTTGTTTCTGCTTTAAGTGAGGCAGGTGTCTCCAAACGTTGATGAAAAGTGAAACAGATAATGGCTTCGCTGCATGTTTACTTTAAGTCTGACTACTTCACAAAGCCAATTTGTTTTCTCCAAATGACACCGTGATGCGTGCAGAACTCTATTAATATTCCGAGTGGCAAGAGGAGGCCACGTTTTCAGGTGCTTTACCGCGGAAGCATCAACATTTTGCCAAGTTTTCTTCCGGCATGATACGCATAGAGAGTCTTAACTTCAAACTAAGCAATATCAAAAGAAAACTTCTTTATACTGGCATTTTATGATTGCACGAAAAAATAAATACTATAGTAGCTGACAGGATAAGAATGTCAGGGACGTCCTTCGGTTGTCCCGCCTCCAGTGCAAGTTGTCCCGCCTCTAGTGAAAGCGTTCTACCTCTGGTAACGCTCCAATGTCTCGCGAGCCTTTAGCTTGAACAGGCAGCCAAAGCACAGTAAAAGGCAACATAGTGTGTACTGGAGGCCGGGCGTTTGCAAGAGACACACTGCCGTTCCCACCTTGTTACTTTGAAAAAAAAAAGTTTGCTTCAGGATGGCTTGGATGAGTACCTAGATTATGTGGCACGAGCCGCAGGCACTGACGGTCTTGCCCTTCCCTCGTTTTAGAGTGGTCCATGCCCTGAGCAGTTTCAATGTGTACGAGGATGTGATAGAAGCCCCCCCCGAAGTGTTTGACCCTTTGGCAGACGCCATTAGTGACTCCACAACCCAGTAAGTGACTCCCGCTTTGCCCAGGCTTGTCGAGCGACGGGTGGTTTTCACCTCTTTCTTTTTGGGGTGGGTCGGTTCCTCGAAACGTGCGTTGCCGACGACACCGAGCATATTTTTTTTAAATTTGGCATTGGGTTTATCTTTTTTGCATTGTCCACTCCACAATTGCAGCTTGAGAAAAACGAGGGCGACGCTTGTCGAGCGGGGAAATGTGTGACTCCAACATGAGCTACTGACTATGATCCTTTATTGCATGTTTTATTCTTTTGAGGGTGGAGGTGAGAATGGTTTACTCGTAGCGGGGCTTAGTAAAAATTTAAGAGCACCAGCAGACTCCACCGAGAAGTCTGTGACTCTTCACTCAGTTAATGGGCATCTCTTCTTGGCAATGTGTCTATTGTGCCAGCCTGATTCGATTAGACCCAGTCGACTAAATTGTCTTGCCATCTCTCCGAGCTTGTTTGCATCCTCGTCACATTCTGCTATTCTAGTTCTAGAATGCCTAATTTGCTGTGGAAGTGCATTTAATGTGACATTTTTATAAGCTGAAATGTAGAATGTGCAATGCTGACCTCATTAGGACATTTTGAGTGGACTGTTGCACTCTGGTGCGAGGAAAGCTAAGGACGGTGCTGCCTCTTTTTCAGGGTGTCTGTGAGCAGGAGAACCTTTGGTCCCGGCAACGTCACCGTTCTCGTCTGGTTCGCCGCGACGCCCTCCTTAACCAAGAGCATATGGTCCATGGCAATAGCGCAGCACCAGTTCTACTTGGATAACAATGTTGGCAAGGTGAGGGCACAATCTAGCAAGCACTAGAGTCTCTCTTTGGCCAGATTTCGCCATGCGGATACAGGCGTCGTTCTTGTAATAAACTTCATGTTCGGCCGTTCCCGTCTCATCTCCAGAGGAAGATCGAGGACGTCGGCACGCTGGACAAATTTGCAGCGGAGCTGTCCAAAAGCTCCCAGTCCCTGTCTTCGGCGAGCACCGGGTCGAACTTGAGCCGCAGTGCCAGCTGCCACAGCCTCCCCGCAATCAAAATAGAAGGTGCGCCTTCTTGCTGAAGTGTATGCTCGAGCGTTGACAACAAGCTCCGTAACTTAGCTACTTTGCGTCGGCAACTGTAAAAAAAAGTAGCCGCATTTGTAGATTGATTATTTCACTTGCGATCCCGGTGGTTGGTCGTAGAAATGCCGGCGAAAAAAGTGAGCGGACGCGAGGGCAGAACTATATCCACCTTTGCTGCTGCACCACCTCCAGGATCGCTACACGCAACAGCCCGACACTTTTACGACTCTGTTGGGAGGAAATCGAAGGATCACTTTTGAGTGCGCGTTCAATGCGCCATAGTTCCAGTAGCTCATGCACAATGCCCTTCCTTCCGCGTTTCCCCGGCAGACCATGTGAACGAGGAGACGCAGGCAGCCAAGCAGGAGATGCTGCTGGCGCTGAAGGCTCGCAAGGAGGCCCTAGAGGATGCGCTGCGCAAGAAGCTGGAGGAGCTGAAGACACTCTGCCTTCGGGAAGGCGAGGTGACCGGGGAGCTTCCCCCTGAGATGCCCCTGGCTCCGGGCGAGAGCCTGCCCCAGGTGCGCAGGCGCGTCGGCACCGCCTTCATCCTCGACGACCAACTGCTCTCCAAGGGAAAGGTGTGCACACTTTCTGCGTGGTGCCCTCGGCGACACAGTGGTGTGCTGCACCCTTGGCAGCCGCCTCGGTGGGTCGGAGGCAAAGCGGTGGCCTACGGGTCTCCGTTTAATGGGTTAGAATTCTGGCTAAAGGTGCCCGCGATTTGATGGAGGCTTATTACGGATGAGGTGGCGTATAATTAAGATTTTGGTTGCACACTAGAAGATTCCCAGGTAGTAGAAATTAATCCTTAGTCCTTTGCAGGTGCATGCCAGATGCCCTTCGTTGGTTTGGCACATAAATCCAACAAATTTGACTTTTTAGTACAGCCTCTGCGATGGACCTTCCACGGAATACCGTTCTTGCGTCCTTTCTGCTCTGAGCGGTTGTTGAACGAAGCCATAAATAGTACTTTACAGTCTTCTTATGAGGAGTAGTGGTTCCTTTGAACCAAGATTCGAGACTTGAGTCAGTATGCCCATCAAAAAAGAGAATGTTTGCGGTTGCCATGCGGAAAAAAACGCCTGTTCAAGTCGGCATTCAAAGCCAGAATGCCTTTTACTCAAAACAGCCATCAAAACGGAACATGTGGTAGTGAACTGATAGTGAGGAATGATTTGGGGATGATGAAGAAATGCGTCTGGAGCATTATTTGTTCTCCAAGTGATCGTTAAACTAAGCTCGAAAATTTATTTACTGCCATCTTACAAAGAGTAGGGGTGGGAGTAAGCAAAAGGCATTCACACATCTCTGGTCGATTTTGTCTGCCAAGCTACTCAAAGGATATACAAGCTGTTGCTGCAGAAGTATTTCTTGTATCGAGCCTTTAGAAAGGGTGCAGGTATGGAGCAAGATTTTGTCATTTTATACAAGCTTTTAACGTTCAGTTTCTTTGTTCTGTTCAGGAGGAGGCCTTGTCAAACTTGGAGTTGGAATACGAGCTTCAAAACAAAATAACCAGTGCTGCCTTGAGACTGGCCAATGACATGAGCGCTGACAAGAGCTTGCGGCGACAACGCAAGATAGGCTACCAACAAGCCCAAGAGAAGGTGTGACCTGCATGGAGCATGCTTGCGGCAGAAACTGACTATTTAATATTTTTTCTTTGCTACTTTGTTGCAGCTTAAAAAGGTGGAAGAAAAACTTGGCACCCTGAAAAAGCAGACAAAACATGGCAAGCCAAGGGTCATACAACAATCCGATGATGGTGATTCTTTCTAAGATTTTATTTTTCAAGCTGAATAGTTAGCACGTGTGAAATATGAATATATTGCACAGTAGACATTATTTACTCTCACTGCAACGAATGGAGCAGATTTTCTCCCGAACCAACTTTCAAGTCCAAAACATGAGGAAATATGACATAGAAAGAAAACAAAAATATTTGAATAACTTTAAAGTTGTTTTGCTTGGTCTGAACGGGGTTAACCCTTTAAGTGCCCCTTTTTTTTTCCGGAAAGCAATCTAAAAGTGACATACCGTAATATCCCGAGTCATCGCCCATCCCCGAGCCATCGCCCACCCCATTTTTTGGGCCAATATCGATTTCCGAAAAAACACCGAGTCATCGCCCACCCCTTCAAATACCCCAGCGCGGACTCTGCGATCCGCGAACACTCATCCTACCCGAATGACGCGGCCGCGGACCTTACAGTTGGAGGACGTCCGTGACAAAGTAAAACGATGGAGGGAAAGACACTTCTTTTTGTTTACGCATTTCCTCCGTGAGCGACCCCAAAGTGGTCGTGTATCCGTGCGAAAAGAAAACGATGGAGATAACAAAATAAGAGTTTGTTAATGTAACCGCGGAGAGTTAGGTCAAAGCCTGTCTCCGCCGAAGTAAGGTCACCGCGAACCCGCTCCTTCTTCCCGCCCGTCGCGACCGCGTTTGTGCAATATTTTAGGCAAAGCCAAAGCGTAAATAAAGCTTTGCTAGAACGTCCTACACAGACGTTTGCAGAGCGCCCCAACCGTGCATTGATAGCCCGCCGTGCACGGACGCACGTATGTACGCACCAAACAAGAAAGTTGCGCAAGGGCTTGCAATTGACAAGGCGCCCGACTTGGCCCGACGCCTAAGTATTTGCCAACGCGACCGCCGGCTTTCCCGCTTTCCCAGCATTGCTCTTGGTCGCTTCTTTGGTCCGCTCGCTCGCTCGCTCGCTTGTTGCGCCTGGTCGGTTTTTCTATTTTCTTGTAGACTTTTCTTTCTTTTTTTTTTACTAACTAGGAGAACATAGTGGTGACATTCTTTCACGGAACAAACGTTCGCGCTATATGCAAATCGGCGGTGTTTCTAGCGCGTATGCAAGCAACGGACTTCGCTATAGTAAAATATTCTTTCGTGAGCATTTTTTTTCTATAAAACAATGAAACTAAATCGAGTTTTGAGTTTGACGTATCTCTTGTGCATCAGCGCTAGATACGCAGAGAAAAATAGGCGGTTTTTTCCGCTTTTTTTCAAGTGTTTGTGCTCACCCACCGAGACATGGCCCACCCCACTTTTTTAACGAATTTCAGGCGGTAGGGGGGTGGGCGATGACTCGGGATATTACGGTATTTTTTATTTAGAAGTTTTATTTCTTGAGTAATACAGATAAAATTTCGAAAGTTTATTACGCAAAAATCAGCGGCGGCGAAAAAAAAAAAAAATGCGCCAGCTAAAACGAGTGTTGCCATCTATGATCAGTGCCACAAACTAGTCGGGACAAGCCTAGCTCATCCGTGGAAGTGAGGGGTAAAGAGAGAACCACTGGACGAGCTGAGCTCGTCCAGTGGTTCTAAAACTGCCATGGACGAGCTGAGCTCGTCCATGGCATTTTTAGCCAAAAAGCGGCCGACGAGCTCGGCTCGTCCAAGGCACTGAAAGGGTTAATTAACAAAATTCTCATAGTTCACAACTTTAAGCTCCCAACATTATTAAATTTATTAAGTTACTGGCAAGTGACAGAAATATTGCTTTGTGACTGACTCTTTGTAGTAATTGACATCATGCAAACCTTGTCACAATTTTTTGTAGGTTGGTGGTACAGAAAACATTGAGCATTGCCATGCTAGAAATAGTGCAGCTTTAACTCTCCAAGAATTTCAATTAGCATTGAAATTCTTGTGTTTTGGAATCGGAGGGTCACATCATGAACATATATAATTTTTATGCTGCATACCATGGAAGCGCCCACTTCGTTCAAGGGTTCAGAATTCCCGAACTTGGGAATTCTGCAAATTGTACTGTCAAGACCGGTTATAACGAAGTCGACGGGAATCGGAAATCACTTCGTTATATCCGCTATTTCGGTATAACTGAATTTGGTTATAACGAAGTGCAAAAGGGAATAGGAAATCGTGATCGCTTCGCTGTAGCCGCTATTTCGTTATAACTGATTTCGTTATAACCGATCTCGACAGTATGTTAAGCACCCGACTTGATCGGACAAGCGTTCATGTCCAGATCAACCCAATTTTCAGTGAGAGTGGAGTGGGCGCTCCTCCAGTGTTTTGCGGTAATGATCAAGTAGGTGCAGATTCAGGACCTGAAAATATCCGGCTGTGCCAAGTTGACCTAGCTTTGCTCCGGTGATAAATATGCAGATGTTTTACCCCTGTTGGCCTTCATGCAACACCACAGTCGTCTTTGACGCTATTAAATCAGAATTCAAGCACACCTCCTATATCTGACTGTTGCATGAAGTGTGTATGATTCTGATAAATGAGTGACTTGCAGGCATTCATTCGAATGCAACAGCTCATTGCTACCATTCCAGCCTGTATCGACTTACATGGGAAACATATTTCCCAATGATGCAACGGCACTCGTGCAAGTGCAACACATGAAATATTGAAAACTTCTCACGCAAGCTCGAAGTGGAACGTACCGTCCTTTTCCACCGTCACAGTATTTAACTTCAAATGCAAGTCGTCTGTGTAAAGTTTACTGAAACCTTCACATTAATCATTTGTCTTCTCTTGTTTTCCAGAGCCTAGTGAAGATAATATCAGTGAAAGCACCGGGGGAAGTGGTAAGTTTTCATTTGGTTGTGTAGGTCTAAAACTGTATTGTGTCAAGGACGATGCTAATTTCTTTCTTTAAACCCTTCCTTTTTTTAGATACACCGTTCCGAGAAAGCGGCAATCTGTCGGACGTGAGCCCAGCCATGTCTCCCAAACCTCGTAAATACGATGACAGCTTGGCTGAGGTAAGGCAAACCTCTTGAAATCTAAATATTTGCATGTTTGTTAACGGGGTACACTACCCAGAAAAAAAAATTTCTGCAAAAAATGTTGATTTTGAAAAATTACATATTTACATTCAATAACAGCTAGAGAGTATTCCGAAAAATTTTCACTAGTTTACACTGCATAGTTATTTTTTAAAAATTATTTTCTGTCCACTGAAGCTGAAGAAAAGGTAGGGTTTGGAAAACTTTGAACGCATTTTTCTCCGTTCCACTTTTTGGTATAAATTCCATTTTAGTCAATCTATCGTTTGATAATGGCAATACAGGGAAGGCTCGTTCTTCACTTTTCCTGACTGAAATTTAACAAGGAGTGCGGCTATGGAATTTTTTTGTCACTTTACGGATGTCTTTTATAAAAAATGTTGACATTTTGTCGAAGACACGGAAGAACAAGAAGTTGACCAATTTTGCAGAAGAGAAAATTGATAGAAATAACTTACTTTTTACGAAAAGCTTTCCATAGCTGCAGCTCCTAGGTATTCTGCTTCATATCTAGCGAATCAAAATCTTGAATATTGTGATAGTTTTCCGACGATAGATTAACTAAGCAATATAGGCGTGTTGCTGATAAAAGTTGCCCTAATTTCCTCTGACATATTGTTATGCACCCTCTAGCATGACCACCAGCCTACCCTGTAAATTTCATTCATTTTAAGCCAAGGGTTCAGAAATTGACCCTCCTGGGGGGGGTGTCCCCTTAACTGAAACTGTAATGTCATCCACGCGTATATACTTGCTCGCATGCAAGTATATACTTGCTCGCATCCTGTAGTTAGAAGCAATTTTTTTAAATTTTCAATGAGGCAATACGGCTCATTCCTGCAAGCGGATGCCACTCGTTTTTGTGTGTTCACGGCGCCATCAAAAAGTTTCAAAAATCGCGTGCAACTTTTGGATTTGATAGCGGTAAATTACGAAAGTTTGACATCTGGCCCCGACGGCTAGTGCTACATCCAGGCAAAGACAGAGTGCTCGGCGATGCATACCCTAACTAGTTCCTGCTGTGAAAAAAACATGGTTCTCTTTCCTCCCAGATACCCCATACTTTTGTTGCCATGCCAAGATTTTTAATACCGTAAATTTCTGAGAGAATGCCCACCCAAACTACGAAGATATCAAGTAAAAATATGGGATGGGCAAACTTTCGGGTCATGTGCCAAAAACTAGAAAAAAATTGCCTGCATTTGACAGATCAGCGGTACATCCACGTTTATTCCTTACTCGTTATCGCTGAAACCATAGAAAGCGTCATTGCTGTCGAAGGCCAGTTGCAATGCTTCGTCCACTATGCTCTCCCGAGCTTCGGGTGCCATTGCCTGTTCGCTGCACACTCAAAGGATGTCGGGACAGAATCATATGAGAGAGATGCCGAGGCCTCGGACACGAAGCTGACGACACCCTGGTGCGACGGCTTCTTGAGGTTCCCCTTGATGACAGCCCCTTCCTGCAAAAAGGAGGTCCAACGATTCCTAAGGGCATCTCTGAAAGGTTTCATCCAGCCCACGTCTGCTTGCTGGAGGATAGACATGCACCCGCCAAGAACGAAGACAACGTCGGTTTCCTTTCCGTCGAGAGCCTCTTGTGCTGCCTCTGTCGTATAAATGGCCGCTTGGACCAGGACGAGCAGCCGCCTCACGTCGTCTTTGTTGGCACCAAACACCTTCTGCACCCATTTGAGGAAGACCGGCGCGGTCATTCACTCATTCCTTGGACAGGTCACTCTCGCATTTTCTGGAAGGAGCCGAGATTCGGTTTCGTTCCAAACTCCGGCAAAGCCAAGTACTACAGCAACGACAGGAGTGGCCGTCAACACGAAAGCATCGCTGGATGGAAAACAAAAATGGCGACGAACAGATGTAGCACCTTCACTAGAAACGCACCAGTACACGCAGAAGACTCTTTCCATACCGTTCAAAAAGTGGCGCTGCTCTACAAGCTGTTTATTTTTTTCCTTTTGCGAAAGGCGGGATTGCATGTTTACAAGTTCTTTTTATGGTGAAGTTTGTATGGGCCATGCTAACCATAAGTAACATAGAGCGTACGTGGAAATTGAGACAACACGTGGGCAACGTAGAGCGCATGTGAAATTGAGACAACACCTCCTAGGGCCGGACCCCTTGGAGGGTTCCGGCCCATCAGTTCCTTAAGCACAACAAGAGGCGGGCGTTTGATACCTGCAACTGTTGTACAGAATGTGAGTGTCTGTCCATGACTGACACAACCTGTGTTCACGATGCAGATGCTGTATTCGCCGGCAACGTTGCTTGTCCACTTGGCCGGACAGTCCATGCGTACCGTGGTTTGGTCCATGTTGCCGATACTAAAGTTGGAGTAGTCGTGCTCCAGGCACAGGCTTCCTACAGCCTTCTGGAAGACAGAGATGGCCTCTGCATAGTCAGCCGGTAGCTTCTGGCTCTCGTTCGTCCCCGCTCGCATCGAAACATTGGAGCAGGCTTTCCAGCGGGCCAGGTAGTGGCGTGAAGCTTCGAAGTTGCCCAGTTTATTTTGAACTGCCAGCTTGCTTCCATGCCCTTAAAGGAGGCGGTTGCTCACCGCTCGCCCCGCTACGTGCTCGGTATCTAAGAAGTCTGAGTGCTTCGTTGAGCTCTTTCCTGAAAACCAGTTGTCCGTTGTTGATGGCTCTCTTGAATTTGTTTTTGCCGTGGCACTGCTGCAGCTCCATTTGCAAACATGTTTCCTGTTTAGCTCAAAATGTCTTGCAGTTTTGCCAACGTTGTCACCATTCTTCTTGTGCTACTGGACAACTTCCACCTTTCTCTGAATTGTGTAGCTGTTCCTCATAGTCGCTGCTGGGAGCGAGCGCGGGTGAACAGTTGCGAGGTAGGCAGAGGAATGACGGTCTACTGGTGTGGAGTCTGTTTGCTCGAGCTGTTTCTTCTTTTTCTTTGCACACAAATGTCTTGAATGATTCACTTCAACTTTGCCCTTATCTACCGGATAAGTATGTTCTCTTTTGTCAGAAATCAGGTCACCAGCAGTGTTTGTGGATGGGTCATCCAAAGTTTTCCCAGAGGGGGCATTGGACTTGTTTGCGGCGAGAGCTTCCCGGGTTTTCGAACGCGTCGAAGCTACTGAGAATTGTAAGGGGTGGGCGATGTTTGCGAATTTCATTAAAATAAATATTTTGTCCAAAAAATTGGGTGGGCGATATTTCGAGCGGGGGCGTTTTCTCGGGACTTAATGGTATTGTTCTATTTTAGGCACCTCCGGAGTTAGTTGAAAAGAACAAGAGACCCAATATTCACGTACGAATGGAGCTTCGTCCCATGACCTGCCACCCTTTGTACACCACGTTTGCAGCATCAGATCCTTTCGTCTCCTTCCATCCAGAAGTGCAGCCGCCTGCCCTCGGTGAGCTCGGTGCCGGCAGAGCTGTGCCTCCAGCCGAGCCCGTCGTCGGTGTCTGCCCCGGCCAGCCCCAGCAAGCCCAGAGGCTCTCACCACCGCGTGCCGTGCGGCGTTTCACCCGTCGTCTGCCAGGGCTGGAGCGGCTATGCCCCCAGCGCGGTGTACCAGACGCGCACGACGTACCGCAGGCAGCAGTACCCGACGCTCACCACTTCCAGCTCTGGAGGCTCTAGCCCCGTGCCCATGAGGACGCCTTACAAGAATCGGTGAGCTGGCATTGAGCTTCTCGCCGATCAAAAAAGGGGAGCAATAGACACCAGAGTATTGTCAAGTGCAGAGGTTTCCAAACTTTTGGATTCCAAGGAACGTCCGTCTGCCTCAAATGGCAGCTGAGGAACCCCTGGTCCCTTTGACGTCATTGCGTATGAGCGATGCAGAGGCCTATAGACTTTATAGGCTTTGTTAATAATAGTGCACAGACTAGGGCGTGTATTGTTCGTAGCTGTGTAACGATGTATGTTTCAAGCACGTTGAGGTACTGCTTAAACTGGGTAAATACTTTAATGAGACAGAAAGTTGGGCAAGTTGTATGTTTCAGGCATGTTGAGGTACTGCTTATACTGAGTAAATACTTTAATGAGGCAGAAATTTGGACAAGTTGGCTAATCGTCTAACGAGCTAAAAAGGTGCAAAAAACGAGACAATAAACAAGGAAAGCACAGACACAGCGTTGACTTTCAACTGAATGTTTATTCTTGCGAACAAGAAAAAAAACACGAAGGAAGGAAAAATAAAAGACAAAATAACCGACAAATATTTCTACTGCGCAGTATCACCTTATACAAAGGTACATTTCTTGATAAAACTTGCTTCGTCACTCCTTAGCCATGCTGATGGTGTGCTAACGCATGAGTCATCCCCACTCCAGTAGGTGTGACTGCACTTGGCTGAGCCCCTTCATTCACAGATATAAAGATCTTGCCAAGGAACAAAAAGAAGTCTGCAAGGGGGATTGATGAAGCTTATTTTATTTTATCTAGTGGGGATGATTCATGTGTTAATGCACAAGTATCGCTGGAGTGTGAACAAGCAGGTTTTATTAAGAAATTTAGCAGATTTGTATGAAGGTGATATGGTGCGGTAGAAATATATTTATAGGTTATTTTGTGTCTTTTTTTCTTTTCCTCTTTCGTGTTATTTCTAGCTCGCTGCACATTCAGTAGAAAGCCAGCGCTGTGCCTTCCTTGTTTCTTGTTTCCAGTTTTTTGCGCTGTTTTACCTTGCAGAATACTTTACTTGGGATGGGGATGATAGGAACCCAGTTTGAAAACCCGTGGTGATCTAAAGCAAGGTTGTTTTACTGGGAAAATATGTATCTATATGGAAAAAACCCTTCTCCTAAGCTTCTTTGTGCTGACGCATATGGCATACTTCGTAAAATACTATATTGTAGTATTCCAAGCCATCGCCCACCCCTACCGCCTGTAATTTATAAAAAAATGTGGGGCGGGCTATATTCTCATTGGGTAAACACAAAATTTTTTAAAAACATTACAAAAAAATGTTAATTTTTTGTACATATCTAGCGCAGCTGCACAAGAGATACATTAAAATAAAAAAACTTGAATTAGCCTTTGTTTTATGCAAGAAATGCTTATGAAGGGACATTTTTACTACTATTGCAAAGTTTGTTACTTGCACACGTGCGATGAACATCGCCCATCAGCATAGAGTGTGAATGTTTGTTCCGTGAGAGCATGTTTCTAACACCACTAAGTTCTCTTCGTTGGTAAAAATAAAAATAAAAAAATTAACCAGACGCAACGAGCCAGTGAGCGAGCAAGCGGACGAAAGTAGTGATGGAGAGTGATGCTGGAGAAGCAAGAAAACCGGCGATCGCGCTGGCAATTACTTTGACGTCGGGCCAAGTTGGGTGACTTGTCAATCACAAGGAGCAGGCTCTTGTGTAACCTTCTTGTTTGGTGCACACAGTGGCGTCACTAGGGGGGGGGCGGGGCAAATCGTTCCGGGTGCAGCGCTCGGGAGTGCACAGCTGGGCAGTGAAAGGGAAGGAGGTTGCGGCGGGCCACCGCCCCGGGTGCCGCTGACCCTAGTGATGCTCCTGAGTGCATACATGCGTGTTTCCGTGCGGGGCGTGCTATCAACACGGGTTGAGGCGGCGTTGCTGTGTGGCATGGGCGGCACCACGAACACGAAACTCAAAACAGGAGGCTTTACAAACGTCTGTGTGCGGCGTTCCAGTAAAATCTTTATTTACCCGTTGGCTTTGTCTCAAACATTGAATAACCTTACTAGACTCGGTCGCGACGTTCTGGGAGAAGAAGCGGGTTTGCGGTGGACCTTATTTCGGTGGAGCGGACTTCCACCTTACACTGAGCGGTTGCATTCCAAAATATGGGGCGTTCTCTGACCCTGAATGGATTAATGCATGTGTTATCTTTCCAACTTTTTTTTTGTCCAAACAAATTTTTTGTGAGCAAAACAAAGTTTCATTTTGTCATCTCCATCGTTTTCCTTTCGCGTGCATGTACTCCGACTTCGGGGTCGCAGAAATCGGAGAGGAAATACGAAAACAAAATGAAGTGTCTTTCCCTCCTTTGTTTTACTTTGTCAAGGACGTCCTCGAACTGTAAGGTTCGTGGCCGCATCATTTGGGTGGGATGAATGTTCGCGGATCGTGGAGTTTGCATTGCGGTATTTGTACGGGTGGGTGATAACTCTGTGTTTTCTTTTTTTAATTGATATTCGCCCCAAAAGTGGGATGGGTGATGACTCGGGATATTACAATAGTTACATGAAACTGAATAATTGCGGCGCTTCATTCCGCTGATCCGAGGTTCGCTCCTCTGCGCAGGTTCGAGTCCACCCTGAGCATAGAGGGCAGCAACCTGTACAGCGTTCCGACGCAGCGAACTAGCCAGGCCTTCGACAGCCAGGACGATTTGGTCGCCAATGCCCCCCCGGAGCCGCAAGACCTGGGCCTGGTGTCTCGGCACAACAGCCTCGAAAGCAACCGCAGGCACAGCAGGCGCACCAAGGGCACTTCCGCACCCTCCCCGAGCCACCCCAAAAGGGAAAGCCACCCCTCCGCACCCCCGGCGTCATCTGCCGTGCAAAACCTTCCGGGGTGGACCAGCCCTTCGCCGTCCCTTCGCTCCCCGGCCTCCTCGACGGAGAGGGCGGATGCCCGCGTCCCTCCCCACATCCACCAGCCATACTGCACGGCGTCTCCGTCGCAGCAGCGGCGACTCGTGTCAGCTTCAGCCTCGTACCCGGACGGATTCGTCGTGAGCGACCCAAGGGGCTTTCCCGCCGCGTACGGGGGCGGCGGTGGCTCCAACTTCCCTCCGAAGGCGCACTCCTACCACGAGAACATGGTGCGGCACGTGGACGAATCGGGTGTCCCCGTGTTCGTGCCCCTGGACGAAGACGGCAAGCCGCGCCTGCACGAAGCGGTGCACCGCCCCGTGGAGACGGTGTTCCATAAGCCACCGCTGGCGGCCGCACTCCTACACCACCACCAGCTGCACAGGAAGAAGCTACAGGAGGTGTGCAGTGGCGAGGGATTCCTGGGTGGCAGGTTGCCGTCGTTGTCTGGCTTGGGACTCCCGTCGCACGCAAAGGCGTCCCACGTCGAGCCGTTCTCGAGCCAACCGACCAGTCCCACCGGCTACGGCGCTTCCGTCCATTCTGCCAAACTGGAGACTCTGCAGGAGGGGTTGTGTGGCCCCTACAACAGCCAGTACCTGACCATGTGCATCTCGTCGTCGAAGACGTTTTCGTCGACGGCGCAGTCGTACAGCACAGAGAGTCTGAAGCAGCGGACGAAGGACTGGGTGGAAACTTCGCTCGACTCTCCGGTTACAGCTAGGAAGGCGACGGCGAAGCACCGGGAGCCGTCACTCGCGAGCAACTCTCCCGCTCCCGTTGTTGCCGACGAAAGTGTGTCTTTACAGACGGCGCCGGCGCATCGGCCGGAACGCCGCGAAATGCCGAGTGACGACGCTCCGCCTAGCATCGTTACGGAGCAGGACTCCGCCCGCTCGCCCGTGCCGCTGCCGTCGAGTCCGAAGCAGGTTCCTCCGGGCGTGGAAATGAACATTGTGACAATGGGTCACTTTCAGCCGTACTGGGAGGAGACCAAGCCGTATGAGATGGCAGACTTCTACAAGTACAGCACCAAGCACCGCAAGCCTTCGGGTGGCCGGGATTCTCGGGAGGCCGGGCCGCTGTCTCCAGTGGCGTACGACGGGGAATCTCGAGACTGCACGACCGGGACGGAACGTGCGAAGATGGCGGAGAGGAGTCCTCCAGATGGCATGGCGTGAGTGCCTGGTTCTGAAATTGGACTGCCGTTAAAATCTCAGGAGGATTGCTGGAGATTAATTTTTGAGATAATACCACATCACGTCCTGCTCAGTAATTTATTTTCTCCTTTGGACTAATGTTCACTTTGCCCTTTCGACTTCTCACTCTCCCGTTTCACTTTTCCTTCCCCAAGACTTTGGTCCCGTTTGAGCAAATGCACAATGCCATGCTCTTCTTTCTCCTTTTCTTTTCCTTCTATGCTCTCCTTGAAGATGGGGAACTGCAGTGTCTAAGCATATTACGAGGGGAACATAAAAAGAAATGATAGTTAAGTGGGGTCCAACGTTGTGCACATATTAAATTAGTTTTCTCGAGAAATGCCGCCTCCAGGGTAACCTGTCTACCAAAATGGAACACACTTCAGTTTTGTTCAAACAATAACCACTGCCCATATCATGGCACCGCACGTGGCTGTTTTAGCAAATGGAGAGGACGATTAGCAGCAGAGTTAAAAGCTTTCAGCCATCCAACTATCTGCTTTTTTCTTGCGCGGACAAAGTAGAATTGCTGTGCCACGTGGTTGTGCCGGAAAAACTTTTTTCCAACTATGCTTCTGCATTCTGGAGCTATGTGGGAGTTAAGTGTCTACACTAATTTATTCTCCAAATAGATAGAATTTTTTTTTTTTTACTTTTAGGGGCTGCCACTCATCTATTACTATTTATTATGACCTCGAAGGCCTTTCTCACCAATTTCAGTACACCTCTCGAATAATGCATGTTGTCGAGAGATCCAAATTACTCTCTAATATGCTGCGTGCACAATTTTATCAGTTGGTCGGTTTCTATACTCCGCTCCACTTTAAGTATGAGTGCAGCAGAAGCAACAAGACCATGTTCCGGGCACATGAAGTAAAGCCTACGATAGCTTCGTTATGCGAGTGTAAAGATGTTAGGTTACAGTCATTTGCTGGTCGTGCCACGCAGGGATGTGGAGGAACGCCACCCAAACAGTAGCGCAGACACTAGCCTGAACCTGAACCGGTCCTCGGTCGCCGACGCGTTTCACGAGGAGATGATTGCATGGTACGAGGACCAAGATGCTGGCAACAAGGCAACGCTGGTCTGAGCCGGGGGAGGCCTCCCATTACCCTGCAGGTAAGCGAAAGCAGCGTAAACAGCTTCAGTTGCTCGAGTCAACATTTTTAAATCGAGTGCGAATAATCATTTCGAAACGTCTCGTTATTGCCGACACTTCTATCAAGGTGAGATGGGTGCAGCCAGGAAATTAACCGAGCCAATTTCAACGTAGACTGTCTTCATCAATTTGAAAGGTTTTACCTCTCCAATATAATGCTCCTAATTCTAGTACTCATTTTTTAAAGAAAGTTCTCTTGCCATGACAAATATTTCTCGCTTGCATGATTGATGCACTCTTTACTGCAATTTGTTTTTCATGGTGAGATGAAGCTGCACTTAAATAGAAAAGTTGAGTTAAAAATAATGTTGCTTTTGTTAGGACTCTGTAGAAGTGACTGCTAAGAACTGGATCCCTTACAATCTTCTTGATGTGTTTTAACAGCTTGCTTGGCCGTATTTCTGAGCAGCTGCCCTTTCGCACATAGATCTTGCTTCTTTCTCGTTGCAGGTGCTACGCCAGGAACAAAAGTTGAGTGCTCACAGCATCGTAGACCTTCAAAGCCAGGAGCATTTTTAGAAACAACCTTGTATATAATATTTTATGAAAAGTATTTATTTCGGGCATCATCATTTTATATAAATAAATGTTTTATTCTTTGTAAGTCTCGACGTGCTTCTCACTGCGTGTCAATTTATTTGTGCACTGGGTGCTATTCTGGGAGCTCAGCATTCTGGCAAACTGACATCCTTTGGTAATCCATTCAAGTGCTGTTCGAAACACTTTCAATCAAATTATCACTAAAAATGGCACAAACTCGATGTGAAAGCACCTTGGGTGTAGACATTAATGTGACATTTGTGACGAAAACGTGGAAGTGCCAAGTCATTGCATGCAAGCATAAGTAGATTAATTGTGCAGTACACTGGTGAGATAAGCCTGAGTTAGAGCCATATGTGCCAAGGGCGTTCGGTCGGTTTAGTCCATGAGCAGAGCTTGTGGCCCGCTAGAACAAGCATATTATCTTATCAAGAGACTGTCCCAGTTCATCAAGCGTCAACGATGCAAGATGGCAGAGGGAACATACAATTTTCTGTTTGCCAGGCTCCCAGCAACGGTTGCTAGACTGTCGGAATCCTCAAAAGACATACCAAGCCCTTCCAGTATATATATATTACAATCTGGGTGTTTCACATCATCATATGCCCATAAGTTTGCTCTTCGTTTTTGAATTTTGGAACTTCGAGCACCATTTGATTTGTCTCGTTTAACTGCATCTGGTGAAGCAGAGGTGCCAAGTAAGGTATGCCTCAGGGTAACTACACTTTATCAATCTTGGCAGTTAAAGGGATACTGAAATGGAAACTGAAATATACCTCTCAAGTTCAGGAATAGGTTAAACATGATGAACAAAAAATCTTCTAATGACGAACGGAGGTCTGTGTTTTGAACGGATGGCTGTATTTTTTCGTTCCCAACGACCAATTCCATTGAGCGCTCGATTGGAGAGAGCGCAATGCGACCCGGAAGATCCAATGCTTCCAGCATGTTCGTGACGTAGTATCACGGGCAAGGCTACGAGAGGCTGGCGTGTTTGTGGGCTTCACCATTTGGGGGTGGTAACGTGTTACAACTTGGCCGATCGAGGTGCCCGATTGCTGGTTCGGCAATGCCAGTGGAGGCGAAAAAGTGGCTCACGTCCGCTTCAAACTCCCCTTTCTCCACTCTCCGTAGGAGATTAATGGGCGCGGGAGAGAATGGAAATCCGGTTCGGCATCGTATTACGGCGAAGCGGCACTGCTTTTAGGGGGAAAAGGAACATACATAATGACATTCAAAGTAGCTTTGGGAACCAAGGTCATAACTGGGGGGGGGGGGGGGGGGGGAGGCTTATGGTTTCAGCCCCCCCCCCCCCCCCCCTTCCTACGAAATCCAGCTGACCCTATAATATACACATGGTTACAGTACGCCTTCAAAATAGTGGTTGCCAGTTATTTGACGCAATACCTAAAGGAAACTGCTTTCGGTCCTCCAGAAATGTTGCGACGGTCCGCAACAGGGCAAACTGATGTCACCCGAGTTTCCCGACTCCGTATATAAAGCTCGTAGGCTTATTTTGTAGTTCTATGGTGAACCAAAAATTCTTCAAAAGGTTTGTTTCAAACAATTTTTTTGCATCATGCACAACTTTTTGTGATACGTAGATGGCGAAGATTTTGCCGGAGCGTTTGGCTGAGCTTGGAAGGCTCTATAGAGGTAGCTTCGAAATCTCTCGATCCTCTGCCGCAGGGCCACATGGTTGGTTAGAATGTAATGTTCGAGAGCAGACGGCAGAGACGAAGTTCAAGAGTAGGAACAAGGGCCGCTGCAAAGCAGCATGAAGAGGACGAAACGCTTGTGAGCGCTGCCTAAACAAACGGGAGGTGGGTACGAGTCGAGAGCTGCAGCCTGTGCCTGAGGGAAGACACTAATAGAGTTTCGGATGATGCTAGTCGAAAAAGAGCTTGTGGTTCTCCCGTGACTTCCATCTTGCTCTTCCTCCTCATTGGTGATCTCTACAGCTATCCGAGCTCTCCACTGAACTGATTGACCAGTGTGTGTCCGACGTGCAAGATGTTTTCACATAACATCTGTTGAGGGTACTACAGTCTAAGCTCATTATAACAGACCTGGATACAACAGGCATTTGGATATAACATACCGATCTGTGAAGTTCGGTTGGTTTTCCTCTGCATACCATCCTCTCAGCTTCATATCTGTATACAACATACTCTTACAATAGACCAAAATCTTGGTCAAAATCAAGGTCCGTTATAACGAGCTTAGACTGCAGTGTACCTGGGGTATCTTGTTCTAAACCAGGCTGATGTTGAACTTTCCCACTTGTGTCGACAGATTAGTTAGCTTGCAAACATTGGACACTGCTCAAGATTCAAATTTGTCTCTAATGTGCCCATTGTGCAGTGGGCTGTAAAAGTGGCTTAGCTAATGACTCTCTCCCAAATGGAAGATTCTCGCACATTCTGGTTACGCTCCTAAAAACTGAACTCGGCACTTTAGAAGATAATCTACTCTACTGGTAATGATGTATGTATTAAGTTGCTTGTTCCACTTGTTTGTCGAGCACTTTCCAGTGATGTGATTTCTGCGTTATTTGCACCAAACTGTGCCAAAGTGCTTACTCTGCTACATTTTGCCCAGATGTGATGAATTTGTGCCAACATTGTGCCAAAAACATAATTTTACTTTAGTGCCGCTACAAGGCCGGATCGTTACAGTAGGCTTGTGTGAATTTTCAGAACCTTCGATTATCGTCTTAAGTAACATACTACTCAATTTTATTTGTGTCAAACACTGACAGTACTCTGAAGCTTTTTGGTTAAGAGGCAGTAAAGAGGTTTCTGGCCTTCGCTTTTTATGCCACTGTTTTGAACTACGCGCCCCAGGATTCATCAGAAACGATACAATCTATCACCATGTGTACCCTGCCACATCACTCTTGAAAGAAACCACAATCAGATTCATATGCATGACCTGCACCGAGTGGTGGAACGACAAATATGTTGGACATAGAAAGTTATAATAGATATTGTTTGATGTCAGCCAACAGTCTTTAATTTGTCAAAACAATGTAATAAACGAAGGCGCAGGCAGAAGGGCATGCCACTCTTTTGGTGGAATCGAGCAGGCGGGAACAATTGGTGCCTTTGTGCATTGTGATGAACAATTGCTTGGGGACACACAGAAACAAACTTTTTTGCACAGCATTTATTACTTTTCATATTCCATTCAAACATTTCTTTTTTTTTTTTTCAAAATCGATTTAGACAGTAAATAACTGCACCGGGACATATAACTTGCACTATTCCATTACCTTGATGTCTTAAAACCAAAATGAATTGAGGCTTTAGCATTGCTGATTGACTGCTGAAGCACTGTTCTTATGTAAGGTTCGTAAAACACTATGCTGTTAATAATTACTTACGTAGGTTCAAGCAAAGTTGTAGAATGTATATGATATACCATGTATAAATAGTCAACAAAAAAGCGTAATACTAACAATAAAAATGACCATGAATCTTGCATTACCGCAACAGATTCTTCGCCTAATGCCCATAAAAGAGGTCCTCCTCTATATGATATAGCGTAGAGGTGCCTTAATGTGTGTGCGTGTTGGTACGCGTCTGGTTGGGGTGGTGCCAACCGGCCGTCGTCGCAGCAGTCTTTCCTCTTCTTTGCACTGGAGCACTCGAGAAAGGGTCGACTTGTAGCCCAAACTTTTAACTTAGACCAGCGTTTCACTTCCATTTCGTCTTAAGCTATTTGGTCTTTGTACCGAATGCCAACAGTGCATGCTGTCGGCATCGGGCACTACAAAGAGTAGCACCACCCCAAGAACAGCGAAGGCACCCTGATTCAAGGAATCGCAGAAGGTTCAGACATCCCGCAGACGAAGGACCACCCATCAGAATTCTCTTTAGGGCCTTGCAACATGGGCCTGTGATACGTGCGGCTGGGATGGTACATACAAGGCAGGTTTTAAGAAACAACGCAGAAATGAGTGAAACCAGTCTGGGCCAAGCATTCAAGCAGGCGACGAACCGGCGACTGACACCAGCAAAAAATATTAGTAGATGCCACAAAGACTCGTTTGGTCAATAAAGAGTTTAGAGCATTCTACAGTCGCTGCATGAGCCTGCATTCCACCTTGGCACGGCAGCACCCCTTTTTCTTGCACGAACATGTACCACCAGTGCTCGGTGGTACCAAAGACCCCATACCTCAGAACTAGTGTAAGAGTCGTGGAAAATGACGTCCAAGCTCGAGCCATATAGGGAATGTTACTTTCAATAGTTGCTGAACAAATGTATAGGTTTACCATCACATCGGTGGTTTCTGATCTGTAAAGCGCACCCTCCCCCACCGACCGATCACAAAAGTAAAGTATAAGACTAAGAGCCTCTAATGCCAAAGCCAGCCTAAACTATGAGACTGCCACCTACTGCTCGAGAGCCAGCCTGCACATCAATCTTTAGATGACAGTGTGCTTCAGGCTTATGAAGTACCACAGCAGAACTCAACTAGGATGAAGCAGAGATTGGCAGGTTCGGGCTGTTTAGTACAAGAGTCTTACTAGTCCAATCGCTAGCCATACACCAATGCACACCGATTGTGCAGATACAAATATTTTCATAATTTTAAATTTTAACAATTGCCATTAAATTTTTTTTTTTTTTTTTTAAGGACAATAAGGAGGCCTTAGTTGCACAGTAATGTGCTCCTCTTATATCGCAGGATTAATTGCTGGTCGGCACGCTTGCTGTCTGGTTTTGGCTAGCACCATCACGTTCCTGCGGTGACGAAATTTGATATTGAATTGTATATTTGTTTTTGAAAGCAGAAAGAAAGCTGATGTTTCAGATGGCCAAGGCGGTATGATCACACACACACACCTTTTCAGAGAGGAAAGGCCAGTGGTGGTGGATTTTTGTGCCTTTCTGGTAGAATGCCGTGCCTCAAAGCATAACTGTGAATTTTTTTGCTGTGCGAAGGGTTAAAGAGGAACTTCGCTTCTTTTTAGATGTTTGACCTTTGCCTTTGGATGAAAATTTAGACCTACTTCTGAATGCTTTGCAGCTTTTGTGGTTTTTGTGGAAAATATACTTTCTTATGCAAACTACATGGGCACTATAGTGGGCAATACTGCTTCATGGTTTCAGAAAACAGCAGTAGAGGGATTGGGAGGGAGAGAAGGAGGGAGGGGGTTCTGTCTGAGCCTTGACTGGATGGTCTTGAAAAGTTCTTCATGGTAGATGGTGGCATAATTTCACCACAGGTTTTGCTATAGATTGAACCTTCGTACAGAAGTCTACGCAGACTTGACTTTCAGCATGGCAAGCGGAGGGCTGACTACGAGAACAAAAAGTTTACACTGGACTAAGCAACGAACATATCGATCAGAGGTGCAGACATATTAATGTGCAAAAAGATGCAGTCAAGTCATTTTGATGTGAGCTGAGAGATCCAAAAAAATGTATAAGAAGTCACTTAGAATAAGTAGCACAGCAGCTAGACATTAATGATAAAAAAAGAAAGCAAGGTCCCTACTTCGTGCACGAGGTTGTGCTTTCAATAGCAGGTTACTTTGCGAGGTTGGTCAACAGTCTTGGGTGTAGAGCCCATTCGCGAGAGGGGTAAATGTAAGGAACCTGTTAACATTATTGGGATAACATCAATCTGCCCGGGAGACAACATTTTCAACAGGAAAATTCATCATAACGCTTGAACGACTTAGAAAGCTTCGGGGGAAAACTGCACCTTTTCTTAGACACCTGCCTACACCACTTGCATATGACGGCCAAAAACAAAGACTTCGAAAAGGCTTATTGCAACACTGTAGCACCTGCATGCATCAACAGCTTGCGTAAGCATAAAGAAATAGTCCCTCGAAAATCCCCATCACAACAACGGTCCAGACGTCGAATAATGCGCTGAGCAGGGGTGACGTCGACTTACAAAAGCTCGCACAAGGTTTGGTGATGACGTTTGCTTATAAAAGCTGCATTATATGATGCACACCATCAGTGGCCAAACCTGATCCAAGACTTAAATTTCTTTGTCGGGAAAGGCTCACGCCGAGTATTCAGCTCGTTTCACAAAATCCACTTAAGAGAGGTGGAAGATGCATGAGAGTCCCACTAAGCAGCCCTTGACAAAAATCCTCGTACCTTTGTCGCCAGTACAAACGTCTAAATGCTTCGTTTTACAGAACGGGGCAGGTCAGCTGCAAGCAGAGACGGCAGCCACAGAAGGGAGACAACGCGCAAAAAAGAAGGGATGCCTACTTCGTCGGTTTACGCTGCATTGCCTTCCACGCTCGAGGAATTCTCGAGCAACTTCTGGTTCATCGCCACGACAATCTTGGGAATGCGAAAGTTGTCCATGTCGACGAAATCCGACATGACGACGTTGCAGCCGTGAGAGCCGCCCTCCTTTCCGGACAGCCAGCTCTCCAGAGCGCCGTTCACCTTCGGCACGAGGTAGACCCTGAGGCTGTTACAGATGTGCATAGTCACGGTGGCGGGTTGCGGCGTGCCCACGCCCTGAAGGACCAGAAACTTCTCCGGATCTCTCTCGTGCTGGTAGGTGTGGTCCCAGAACGCCACGAGCTGCTTGACCTCGTCCTCGTTCGGCCACGGGTTGGGGATGAAGTCCGTCGGCCAGAGGTACGGGTGGTACTTTGCCAGCGTGTCGTGCCTGTAGAAGGCAATGATTTGGTAGCCTCGCCTCCACAGCGACTCCAAGGTCAGGTTGTTGAGGTCCTTGGTGAACTGGCACATCAGCGGCCCGAAGTTGCTGGTCAGCTTGTTCAACAGCCGGTTGTGGTCGGCGTCCGTAAGGTTGTAGAAGTGCTGGAAGTGGAGCAGGATGACCTCTTTGCGGTGCCCCTCGAGGAACTCCTTGACCTCGACGAAGAAGTTGTCCACGACGGCGCCAAAGAGGCCGTGGATGAGGTACAGGTTTTCGTCCGCAGGGTCCTTCTTGGTGGCGATGCGGAGGTCAAAGTAGCGTATGCCCACCTGTAGTTGTTCCCGCGTGGTGATGTTCTGGGTGAGGGACCAGCTGTACAGGATCTGCTTCCCTATGGGGCCGAGCAGCTTGAGAAGCTTGTTGCCGTACGGGTTGTCGGGCGCAATGTCGGACTGCGATGAGATGGTGTAGCTGCAGCTGTTGTGGGAACCTGGGCAAGCGCAAGGGGAGACCTGCTGTTAAGGCCCGTTCACATGTTTGTTTACGACCAAACTCTTGTGACCGGCACCATTCACGAGAGGACCCTGGAACTGCATTCCACTAGAGCAAAGATTTTGCAGTATTGTGAGATACAATGTACATGTACTATGAGAAATAAGCCTTTGAAACATTTTGAAAAGTTTTTCAATCACAAAAAGACAAAATGATATGTGTAAGAAAAGAAATATACGGAAATGACGTGTTCCACAGCTACCCAATAGATTGTGTCACTGATGTGTCACTATGCTCTCTCGTCCTAAGACCTTTTAAGGCACTTGGTCATAAGCAGTCGCAAGTGTGTGAACCTTTCTTTACATATGCACTGCCCGACACGCTCGCCTAGCATGTACTCGCGTCCTAACCGAATGAATTGCAAAAATAATTAATAAAGTCCTTGGGGAGCGAATGGCGGCGTCAGCTACCGCTCATTTGCAAAATTCCTCACTGCCTCTAACGTGTCTCGCTCGTTTTGGGATGCCTCATTGTGCGAGCATACCTGCTGCAGCAAAAACACTTTCCAAAGCTCTGTGTTCACAAACGCCCTCGCGTCAAAAAAAAAAAAAAAATTGATAATGAACTATTTTAGAAATGCTGATGGGACGATTTCACTTTCATACCATGAACAGAAGAAAGTTACCAAATAGACTTTTTTGCTAAATTACTCGAGCACCAAGGAGCTTGCTGCGAACGCAAGTCCAGACACAGCCGATGCTACAAGCGCGAGCATATGACCCTGAACCTGAACAGGCACTGCACGAGCGCGCGTGCTTGGCAGGGACGCTGAAAGCCCGGAGCTCGCTCTTGTAGCCTTTGCTACGCTCACACTTAAAGTGAAACAAAGTATAGAAAGCAGGAAACCAAAAACAATAAACGATACTTTGCATATCCGATCATTATTATAAAAAAAAAAAAAAAAAAAGTCTTTTAAGGTACTTTTTTTTTACACAGAGTTAAAAATTTCTCATGGATCATCCGCAGTGAGGACAAAATCGCAACCATAAAGCAATTGCGCGGTAAAAACCGCCAAAAGTGCCCGACAAAAAAAAAAAAAAAAAATGATAAAACAACGAAGCCCGCAATTACACTTCACTGGAAAACTCCTGTGTATCGCAGAGAAGGCCACCTCAGAACTGCAGGATGTGTCCTGCACACAACGCGCACGCACAAAACGCACACACTTATCTATTTAAAATGGTTTTCAGCGAAAGTGTCGATTAGGGCCGAACAAAAAATAAAGACAACTAGTCTTGCGATTTCTTACACTTGAATAATAACCAAACCTGCTACTTTTCATTAAAAGCTGCTATATAAAAAAAAAAAAAAAAAAACAAAACTTGGGAGGTAGTTTGAAATATATTTTTCACAGAAAGAAACAAAACAAAACTGTTCTGCGAAGCACAACAGCTGTGCTTCGCAGGACAAGTGGTCCCTGTTGCACAAGCGTAAAAAAAACAAGTGATTATTGACATAGATATAATAGGGAGTCAGGCGATTCTCGACGTATCTGATATTCGGTACCAGTTATTTAGCACGACGCTGACTAGCGAATAAGATAACCCTTCCGGTGAAGTGACATTTAAGCGCGCTCCTGTATTTAACAGCTTTAGGTTCTCCACTAGAGGCTCTTAATATTGAGGAAAGGCTTTTCTTGTCTGCGAGTTATAAATCGACGCTGTAGCAACACCGCCCATGCTCGGAACGCTAGATGGGAGGGGCTGTCACAAAGCTCGATCATTAGAGGCCTACGAGGAAGCTACAGCAACAAAATGAAATCGGAAATACCCGCATAATCGACGACATTTTTAACACGTAGTTAAACTAGTAGGAGTTGATCAGACTGACAAAAACTGGATATTAGATGTGAAACTGTAATGAGATTTCGACAGTTTCTTTACGTCCGACTGGGAATAGCAAATCAACTTCGCCCCAAACAGTGCCATTCGACTCTTCAAGGTAACGAGTCTTACCTGGTATTGTTAGGTAGTTTAGAGGTACGCTGTGGAGTTGTTCGGGCAGGTTGGCCATCCAGTTTTCCAGATCAGACGAAGAGTTGACGTCGCGGTAATTTGTATCCATCACCGCAGCCATGTCGACTGACGGATAGTCCAGCGGATAGTCGGAAACGTCGGAGGCGCACGCAGCACGCAGCTGATGCCGATGCCTCGTTCCGAAAGCGTAAAATATCCAGACTGTGAGCACCTGAATAATCAAAAGAATGATTTAAAATAAAATTTAAACCGAGTATTGCGAGCAGATGATAAAATTGGTATTGTTACATAAACACCTATTACCGCCAGGGAGCGCCAGCGTAACCGCAGGGAATCTTTAGGGAATTTTTCGTGGCGCCAACGCGAAGCATAAAATTTACATAGCTTGAATACAAACATAATTGACACTAAGTTTCTATATTATGATATGTAAATAAATTTTTAAGCTTTAAACATAATGTCGTCAGTATTATGGGCATGTCTGGTTTTTTTTAAACCGTAGGGCAACGAGTTGCCGTAGGGGCACATTGGTTAGGGAATTTTACGACCTAAAAAATGGCGACTTCCATTTTGTGGTGATGGCCGCGGACACTGGCAAAGAGCCGGGAACAGTTTAACATTTAACGCCTTTCAACGTAATCGAGCGAACGCCATGTTTATTCCAGGAGAAAAAACCAAGGACTCCGACAACGGAGCACCTAAAGCCGAAACGCGTACTGACTCGGGCTTTCAGTACTACCCCGAGCGACGGGGCGGCAAGATGCAAGAGAGTTTGCTCAAAGTAGCCGTTCTCGGGGAAGGCAGAGACTCCGTGGATCACTTCTGGTGCGAAAGAAACGTCCAGAAATGCTTCGAAAACAGTGAGTGGCCAAGTTGTGCCTCGCAGCTCGCTACGTACGACGCGATGGCAGGTGGCACGTACATACCTGAAGAAATGCCATGCTTCTGCGGAGCCGTGCTAGTGGTTCGTGAACATCCCCCAACCTGAGACTGCCTTGAATCTTGTGTTAAATGTAACATGATCTTCCGCGATGAGACATACATTGTCGTCCCTTTTATCGCTCATTCTTTGCTTTTCGTCTTTATCACGGAATATACCGTTCCACTTTGCGCGGTAAGTATGATTCATAACGGTCGAAATGACGTGCTCACACTTTTGTACCCCTAGTTTCTCCAATATGTCGTAGCCGTCGTGGCATGGTTGCAGTGTCCCGCAACGGTAATCTTCCACGGGACGAGAACCGGGCGGAGTTACCAGCAAAATGGCTAATAGGGCTAGTTGGTTCATGAATCATATTCATTCAGATGAAAGCGCATCAGAAAAACGGGAACAATGAAGACAAGACAGCACAGAGCACTGTGTACAGCTGAAAATTTTATTGAAAACACACAGTTCTTTATAAAAACAATCGCCCTCCCCGCATAAGAAGGCGAATTCCTTGTCGGTAATGTGCACCGACGGTGCACTTACTCAGCTTTCCTCTCCTGCCAGTGTTATATTCCATGCTTCGAATAGCTCTCTCTCTCTCTCTGTCTTGTTTTTAAAGGAGTTGTGCAACAGTTTCAGTGCTTTGCTTAAATGATTTGGGAGTTGGTGTCTCAACCTTTCTGAACTAAAGAACAAAAAACCGCTTTTGCCTGCATGTTCTAGTTTTTATTTTAAAAATGGACAAAGATAGAGGTTTTTGGCACCTCTCAACTCCTTCACCATCTTCCGAGTCACGTGCGCTGTGACGTCAATGGGGTTCATGTGGGGTTCCGGTGAAGCTCTCTCTCTAGAGCCATCAGGTAGCAGCAAGAACTCATCCGTTCGCGACCGCGTGACCACGTGCTAGCGGGCACGGCATGAACAATGTGGTGAAAGGAGGAAAGTCTCATCCGGGTCCGGCCATACCCATCCGGCTCTGTCCCCCTTCCTCTCCGGCTTCCGGCGGCTGTTCGCGGTAGCAGTTAGAGCTGACGGTTTTGTGGACCTAGGATAGATGGCGGTACTAAAACTCCGTATAATAAAAGTTTTTTCGATGACACCAGGTTTTTGACTCGTTTATATTTATGTTGGAAGGACAAGATTTATAGAGAAGTTACCTTTTATCGAGCAGGTATTCGCACAACTTGCTATCTTTCTACAAGACCCCCATTGACGTCATGTTCCGTATTTCTCATGGCTGCCGCTCGTGGCTGCAGGTCGAGGAATATTCTATTTTGTGCCTCACAATTACGCGACGAAATCGTAACATCTCAAAGGAAGTGTTTTCTGTCCTTTGTGACAAGATGAACAATGTCCAAAGTAGAAGATCCCAATTCTTTCAACATTAAAATTGTTGCATAGCTCCTTTAAGTATCCCAGGAAGGGTAATGGCGCAGGCTAGCTGGTGATTGATCAGGCTCATAAACCCCGAGCCAAAGACACAAACGAAGAGAAGGAAAAAGGGACAACACTGGCTGAGTTTTTAGACGTCGTTGTATTCCCTCTTTTTTTTTTTCTTGATTTGTTCTTTTGTCTCGGGGATTTATAAGTATATGTACGGAGTCACGAGCTTTTGCTCTACGTGCTCCAAGCTGGTGCGTGCTAGTTACTCGGCCACCAACCCCTGCAGTGCCCAGGAATCCTGGGTTCAAACCCTACCCCTACCTGTTTCGATCTGGATGAGCATCGTACTGGCTTGCGCTCATGTATCGCTGCGCGTTGCACGTTAGAGACCCCAGGCTAGCGGCTGCACTGCACTGGCTACATTTCTCATCGTAGTGGGTGACAATGTCACCATGTTTCTAACAGACTAACCTCCTGCTGTATAAACAACTAACGACTTGTTTAATCGAGTTACGACCTACCCAGGCCAGCGTCCACGCCATACTGATTGTTTCTAGCAATAAAAATGAGACATGGCACATTAAAAAAAAAAAGAAAAGAAAGATGTTTGTTTAAACTCTTTCGTTTTTGTCTGAAGAGAATAGATTTTTGCTGACTGCTCGAATACCATAGTATTGGATCACCAAATAAAACTTGACTTTGTGATGACGCAAGGCTTGCAGTGTCTCGCAATGAACGGAACTGACCTTGCCGTTTCATGAACAATATTTATTTATTTATTTATTTATTTAAAATACCCTCAAGGCCATTGGCATTACAGAGGGGAGTGGGGGTTAGTGGCAGTAGTACACTTCGCAGCTCAATCTGAGCAGTATAGATTACATATGGCAATAATGTTTCTTTTCTAGTAATGTTATATCACATGACTTTTTCCTTCAGGTCCCCTGGTCAAGCTGATGTTAAGTGCATTGAAGAGTGCAGGATGGTAAGGTTCTGTTTTTGCAGCATTCCTGTATTCTTTGTTTAACTCTGGAGAGTCGGGTCACCACAGGATGCTGCAGGCCCGTACCCATGTTGTGTGGTGCTAATAACTTGTTGACATCATCATTATGTATGTGTGTGTGCATGTGCTTTCACATTATGGTGATAAACGGTTCAGTCTCCTTACCAGTGTTTGACCAAGGGCATTAATTTAATGTTTTGGCCTTTCCATGTGTAGGTGCAATCGAGCAAGAAATTAATCACTTCGCGTGAGCGGGCTTTTTGTTTTTTGAAAAGTGTTTGACTGGTGGCTTGCGCTCGAACCAGGCCTGATGTCATGGACTTGTCTACGCGAAGCAGCTAGGGAGAAACCCATCAACGTAGACAAACCGCTGTTACCACTTCTGTCTGTGTCACCGTTGTGCAGATAAAAGAGGGAGAGGATTTCAAGTGCGACAATCACTCGTATGAGGATGAGCTAAGAAAAAAATGGCCTCGTTTTTTGGACAGTGCTTTGCCACTTTAGGTTTTTATTTGTCCACTGTTGACTTTTTTTTTTTTTATTAAGGGCTTTTCGTTTGTGATTTTGTGAATCCTTCTTTCCTTTCCCTCAGACACCTGCAACTCAGACAGAGATGATAACAGTAGTTTGTTTGCGTTGATGTGCTCCCCCTCCCCTCGCTTGCTTCACATGGGTGTGCCCGTGATGTCGGCACTAGTTTGAGCGCAAGCCATGAGTCAAGTTCTCTTTGGAAAAAAAACAATCACTTTCATGGAGTTAATAACTTCTTTCCTGACTGTACATATTCTGTTTTTGTTTCAACCTATTTGTTGTGTTTTTAAAAGTAGCATCGCTCATACATTGCTTTCTTTTAATGTTTTCGAGGCTAGAGGGTATGATTGACCTGTGTAGTTCTTTACAGTTGTGTTGGAATTTCCATGTTGTCCAGTAAGAAAGATTTTGAGAAATCTTAAAAATAGTCCTCGGAGAGGTGCCAGGCATTTCAACGTCTCGAGGCTCGGTCATGCTTTCTTCTTCAAACATGATATTTTTGTTCAGAAAATGTTTTCTTCACTTTTTAATTCTCTGACCGAATTGTTAATCGGAGGAAAGGCGATTAAATGCATGAGCCTGGAGTTGCGAATAACCGAATAACCTTTGGTTCTGCCCATGTCCGTCCTTATCTGAACCATCAGAGAAGAGACATCATATTGTTAAGTTGCATTTTTTTTTTACTGTCGATAATGCATATGGCATCATTAATCATGAAACACGGCGTTGAACATGCCAAGACACTGTAAACTATTTATTATCACATTATTTTCACTTGGCCATTCCTCTTTTGATTACTCCGAGCTGGAACCTCGGGACGTAAGGCCTGCTTCTGACAGGGCAATTTCTCCCAGCAACTCGTCGTCACAACACCAGCAAAACGAGCCGCCCGCATTCACACGCAGCAACCGAATTGCTGCAATTTGCCGTCATCATTATTAAATTGTAATTTTCTTGCCTATTTAGACATCTAGTCTTGTGCTATAAACATATTTTTGTCTTTAAATGGCTTTGAGAATACTAACTCATCTTTCTGAAACGATTTATCCCCAAAAACAATCCATTTCAAACCAGAACCAAAACTTTAGTTGTCATCATCACCACCCCAGGGGTGTCACATAAAAATATTGCGTCCCTCAAATGTCTCCTAGTTGTCCGAGTTGCTCGTCCATTTTGAGCCGAACTCGATGCCTGTAATTCGTGTTGCAGCGCGAGGATCTAGGGAAAGTTAGGGAACAATTTGCCAGCAACACCGAAATTGCTGGAAAAATTGCCCCGTCTCATATGGGCCTAAGGCCCGCTTCAGACAGGGCGATTTCTCCCAGCAACTTGACGTAGCAACACGGGCCGCTCGCATTCACTTGAAGCAACCAATTGCTGCAATCTGCCATCATCATCATTCAATTTTTTAAATTTTTTTTGCACTACTTATACACCCAGTTATGCGCTATGAGCATGTTTTATACGTTTAAATGGCATTGAGAATGCTAAGGCCCGCTTCAGACTGGGCAATTTCGCCCAGCAACTTGACGTAGCAACATGGGCCGCCCGTATTCACTTGAAGCAACCAATTGCTGCAATCTGCCATCATCATCATTCAATTTTTTAAATAATTTTTGCACTACTTATACACCCAGTTACGCACTATAAGCATGTTTTATACTTTTAAATGGCATTGAGAATGCTAAGGCCCGCTTCAGACGGGGCAATTTCTCCCAGCAACTTGACGTAGCAACACGGGCCGCCCGCATTCACTTGAAGCAACCAATTGCTGCAATCTGCCATCATCATCATTCAATTTTTAAAATTTTTTTTGCACTACTTATACACCCAGTTACGTGCTATAAGCATGTTTTATACATTTAAATGGCATTGAGAATGCTAAGGCCCGCTTCAGACCGGGCAATTTCGCCCAGCAACTTGACGTAGCAACTCCAGCAACACGGGCCGCCCGCGTTCACACGCAGCAACCGAATTGCTCCGACTTGCTGTCATCATCATGAAATTTTATTTTTCTTACACTATTTAGACGCACAGCTACGCGCTAAAAAGGTGTTTTTATATCTTTGAATGGTGTTGAGAATACTAACTCATCTTTCTGAAAAGGTTTATTTCCTAAAACAATTAATTTCAAACCAGGACCAAGTTTATAGCTGTCATCATCACCACCACAGGGGTATCACGTGAAAATATTGCGTCCTTGATTGGTTGCAGCCGTTTCAAACGTCTTGAAATTGCTCCGAGTCGCTCGCTCGTTCGAGCCGGACCTGATCTTAGCAATTTGTGTCGATCTAGGGAAAGGTAGGGAACAACCCGCCAGCAACCCCGAAATTGCTGGAAAAGTTGCCCCGTCTGAAGCGGGCCTAACTGATCTTACTAAAATGGTTTATTCCCAAAAAACAATCAATTTCAATCCAGAACCATGTCTTTAGTTGTCATCATCACCGGCACAGGGTGTCCTGTGGAAGTATTGCGTCCCTGATTGGCTGCTGCCGCTTCAAACATCTCCGAATTGTCCGAGTTGCTCGCCCTTTTCGAGCTGGACGCGATCCAAGCAATTCGTGTTGCGCTAGGGCAAGCTAGGGAACAACTCACCAGCAACACCAAAATTGCTGGAAAAGTTGCGCCGTCTGAAGGAGGCCTCTTTCGTACAAGGGAGTGCGACTACAGCGGCAGTCATGTGGCCCCTGGAACTAACTGTGTTTCGTGCGCTAAAGCCACACACATTATGCTGATGCCATACACATTGGAGTAAGAAGTAGCTGCAGCCCCAAAATTTGATGTTTTTTTCTCCTTGAACCATACACTCTAACATTGGCAGGTTTTGGTTTGTCATCTCGATGAACAGTGATATAGTTGTGCCAAACATTTAAAATATCCAAAAGCTCAGTTTGACGACTGTGACGAGTACTAAGTGACACACAATCTGTGCTTGACCATGCTACGTTGAAAAAAAAATCTCAAAAAGCCTAATTCACGATGCAGCGTAGAGGACTCTTGTAATTTCTGCCACACTGAAGGTGGAGGTTGACCTCAAGTGTCTGATATTCTCATTTTGTTACTCTAAACTCAGACGCAAGCCTTTTTTTATTTTTTAAATTGAATCTGCCTAGATTGTTTACTATTAATAAGTTTAGTAAGTTTGTAGCAATTCAGAAATGAGTGGGCACATCATATGTTTTTTCTCTTCGAAGAAAACATTTCTTTAATCTTTACCGAGCTTCTTAAATTCTGTTCTAATAAAATGTAACATTTTTTTTTTGTTGCACAAAGAAGTTTTGTTACACGACAGAGCCCTTTTCGTTGGTCAAGATCCCATCGTCTTAAATAGACTCCAAAAGAGTGCACGCTGGAGCTTTCATGTCTGACATTATGGTTTGCCAACAGCGAGGTGAACATTCGCCGCAACGTTTGCTGCGAACCGTGCGACAAGGCCGTGACCGGTGGCTACGACCCTGAGCTCAACCAAGTGGTGGTGTGCCAGAACAGCGCCAGGAGGAGAGGCATGGTGCAAGGAATCTTGGCCCACGAGCTGCTGCACATGTTTGATCAGTGCCGTGCAAAGATGGACCTCAAGAACATCGACCACCTGGCATGCACGGAGGTAGTAATTTTTTCCTCCTCAAGGCTGCTTCACAGACTTGTGACTGCTTGTGATTGCGGCGAGAGAACAGGCTGGTGCAATCTGTCAAGTAGCTGCGGACTGCACTTCCGTCTATTTCCTATTTTCTGGCCCCACCAAAGTTCACTAAACGTTCCTTCCACTCCACTCCCATTATTTTTCGCACATCATCCTTTCTTTTTTTTTTTGCTCGGAAAACTTTTGACATAGTTTTAAACGACCATTTCTTACAGATGGTATGTACATTCAATCTCACAAATACCGCAAATCCTTCGCTCCAATGAAATGCAGTTCCAGGGTTGCTTCATAGATGGCACCAGCAGGCCAGTGTGCTCTCTCGTTGTGAGAGACCGCACAAACTCGGTCCTAAGCAAACGCAAGTGTACGAACGGACTTGTACACTTGTTTCTTGGAAGACTTTTCTTCCTGCAACTTTTTCCAAAGCTCGATTCCTGACGGTGCTATTTTATATTTACTGCAGATACGAGCGGCAAACCTGTTCCACTGTTCGTTTATGAGTGCCTTCCTGGAAGGATCTGCTTCGCCTTTCAACATAGCAAAGACTCACGGGGTATGTATTCTTTCACGCGGTCGTGCACTAAGCCTCCCAGAAAGCTTCGGACCAGCAGTCACCATTTCGTTACGAGATTTGGTTCTTTCGGGCCCTTGAGAAGCTACGCGATATGCTTGCTGCCAGTCTTAGACTCACCAGAGGGTTTCTTTCTGACTTACGAAAAGACCCTTCTTTTCATTTCCCTTTCCTTACTCTAATCATTGGTTAATTTCATTATAATTTTGTTTCAAGTTCTTTGTAGTGTGGCGAGATGCCAGGTGCTCAAAGTCTCTGATGCGTGTGCACGTACACTTTACTAAATAGGAGTGTTTGGAATGGGCATCCCCATTTCATTTCCATTCCGGGGAATTAGAGTTTCCTACAATTCCATTCCTTTCAACTCCTTGGAATGTAGACACTGGGCCCATTCCCACTCCTGGAATGGCTGAACCCCACCATTCCACTCTTCTAGTTCCTACACATGCAAAGAATGGCCATTGACAGCCACTGTGTTATTAAAGAAAAACAAAAAAACAAAAAACATAAAGCTACTGACATCATCAAATGTGGAGATGACTGCAAAAGTGTGCAAAAACCTCTTCAAAGCACCCATTCTACTAAGCCAAAGGGTGGTCGCACAAAGTGCTTCGTGGCACTTGGTGTCACTTCAGACATTGATTGCGCAATCAAGTGTAAAGGGCTTACGAGTCGCAACAGACGCCAAAAATTAAAACCACCCATTTTCTTTGCGAACAAACCGTATACCCTCCACAGGTACATGGTTAGCGTGTTGTTTGTTTGATAAGGCCTTATACGTTCCTTGCTATATCTTATTTTATTCAGTTCAATTCCTTGTGTTCCACACAAACACTAGAAGATCGGCTGGGTTAAAAGCAGGGACTCAAACCGGTCATTGTTCCAGTTTGGTTTGGGTTTGGGTTCAGTAGCTTTGCATTTTGTTCTGGTTCAGTGATGCTTTTGAAATAAAGGTTTGGTTACCGGTGCCACCGTGTGCAAACCAGTTAAAACCAGTTCTAAAAAAAATCCCCAGCTTTCTATTCTTAAAGGGGCCATGAAACTATTTTTCTACTTTTGCTGAATACTACTTAGAATCACTCCTTACTGTTAACAACTGAATGAACTTGCCTTAGTTTTTCTTTCTAGTCAATGGCAGTTGCCAAAAAAAATGAGAGAAACATGAGTATCGTTCAGCCACTTGGCCTGGTGTCTATCCTATGCTGCCAACGTTAATCATAGCCACGCGTTGGGGCTGGCAAAGTAGAAAGCGCGCGCTGAGCACCAGGCATTGCAAGACTTCGGCTATTCTCATCACTGCAGTGGTTGGACACGAGCCACTACCCGAGCGTCCGCCGAGTCATTGATTGTTACAAGTCGAAGTTGAGTGCTTACACGATTCTCGTGTCCAATCCATGAGGCACGCTCGACTGTCGTCAGGCGGGTGGTTTTGATCCCACAATTACGTCGTCAACCTTTGCGAATGCAAGACTGAAAAAAGTACAGTAAAACCTCGTTATAACAAAGTTGAAGGAGCGGTCGTAATTATTTCGTTATAACCATTAGTTTGCTATAGCCAATGTCCATTTCTTCCCAATATTAGCAAGCAAGGGGAATTATGATTGCTTGTTATATCCCATTTTGTTATAACGAGGTTTTACTGTAGTCTCCTTTTATTCTTGCAATTTCGCCGCAACAAAGAAGCCTCTGAATCAGTGGCGGTCTGTGCGAGTATACAGTGCAATCCACTTGTAATGATACCACGTATAACAATGTACTGCTTATAATGATCAGTTTCTAGGCTAGAAATGCTCAGTTTCTAGTCCAGATACAACAATAATCGGATATAACGATTGAATTTTCAGGTTTTCTCGTTATCGTTATAAGTGGATTGCACTGTACTTGGGCCAGACTAGGACCAGTACGCCTCTGCAAAGTCGTGAACATTCCAACCCAATATTGTTTCATGACCTTTTTAAAAGGGTACTCCGCCGTTTTCTTCATAGTCCCCGATTTGCCTAAAAACTTGCTAAAAACACCAACAAACATCGCTGAACTAGTAACCCAAATATTTGGACAAAATAACTTTTTTTCGCGAAGTTACAGAATTTACAATTTTGGTCCTCATCGTGTTTTCCAAAGTGAAAAGCTCTACTGGCAACATTGAAAAAGTGATGTCATGAGTGTGCAGGGGTTCACTCTTTGGGCTGTAGACTTTGTTTTCAACTGATTACAAGCAGTTTTATGGTGTCAAATGAATGCTTTGGAAAGTCGCTCCAGCTCCCACGCAGCAGCACGATACAAATGCTCGGCATAGTTCATTTTTAGACTGCCCGCTCGAACCGCAAGCCGGCACATTCGTGACGTCACGGCAATAAAAAGCGCGGTTATATTCAAATCTTCGTTTTGGCGTCATTTTCATTTGCCGATTTCACAATAACTATTCTGAATTTCGCGATACAAAATAACATTTTAGAAAGAGTAAAGGACAGCGATTTCAAAAATATAGTTAGTTGGAGTTGCTCAAAAAGTCGCCAGAGTTCCCCTTTAAGGGGGTCATGAAATCAATTGGGGGCTGGGATAAATAATTTTAGATTGGACTCTTACTAATTGCTATATCGTTTATACTCTGTTTCACTTTAGCATGGACTAGCTGCAAAGGCTGTGCAAGCGCGAGCGAAGTATCCTTGGCAGCCTTGACTAAAGCGCTCTCAGCACGAGCGCTCGTGCAGTCACCAAGGCTTTATCTATGCTAAGTTTAGACGAAGTATAGTGGGCCAAAAGAAAGAGGGTAGAAAGTCAAAAGCCTGCTTTTTGCTACGAAAGCTCGAGAATATAGCGGACTATTTCGTACCTTCTTTCCTTCGAAAGTTTTACAAATTTTCACTGTGATACATCCACGGAACCCAAAGGACGTCAGCCTACCCTAGCTCATGCATTGGACACGAGCACTGCGTCACTCGGACATAATGTTCTCGTCAGCAATCAATCCAACGATGAAATATTTGAATTCACATTCGTGGCCAATGAGTGCCGTGACGGCACTTACCATTGCTTGCGAATGACAAGTTTTATGGTGTACTTAGAAAGGACAGTGGAAGCTTGGTATCATTGTGCAGGTGCCCAAGCACCTGACAAGCGCATGATTTCTGATTTCGATTTTGAGTTGAGGAAAGCCAAGGAAAAACAAGTTAAAAAATAATTTCATAGCCCTTTTAAGAGGAAATGGCGAGTTGAACATGGCGTCATCAGCATTAAAAATATTAGGTCTGCGGAAACAATGAGAGCAAAACAAATATGTACATAATTTCGTTTTGTGAGCTTGAATACTGTAAACGACTTAATTTTTGCAAGGACCTAATTTTCGCTAATTTCGCAAATCGCCTACAATTTGCGAGAAATAAGTCCCGCAAACAATTCCGGTAAAATGTAAACACGTTGAGATCTATCTTGAGATCCCACCACGTCGCAAAAATTAGAACCCGCAAATTATTCCATAACTTCAACTTTGACCTAAATCGCGAAATATTGAGCCCGCGAAAAATAAGTCGTTTACAGTATTTAACTCAAACACCATTCTATGAAAATTTTGTGGTTATAGGGGCTTGGAAATTGTACCTAAGTACAATACTCACATGTGAGGTCAATCAGCCGGCACGCACAGTGACACTGTGATGATAGCACGCACCATACTCGCAAACTACCCACAAAATACAATCTAGTCGTTGGTTGTCTAGCAGTGGAAGTTTAGTTTGCCAGGGTATGGCAACATTGTTACCCACTGTAGATGAGAAATTTAGCCAGTGCAGTATGACTGCTAGCTCGGGGTCTTTAACGCGCATCATGCAGTACTGGTATGACTGCATGCCGGTACAATGCTCATCCAGATTGAAATGTCAAACTACCCGCACCGCACGCCCGATTGACTTGCTGAAGCTACTGAGTTGAAGAGAAGAAAGACAGCGAAGGCCAGTCGAAAGACGACTAAAATAATAAAAAAAAGGACATAAAAAGACAATGGGCGACTTGCTATCTCTAGAAAGCGCACACACACAAAGATTAATTTTCTTCTAGCAGCGCTTAGGGCTCTGGGCGACTGGCGTCCTGGTGACTGGCGTGGCGGTGTCCCGCTCGTCGTGGCTTCATCTCTTGGCGCCTCCAGATTTTGCCACCGCGGAACAAACCCGCCGGCAGCCGTCAACTTTTTGCTTATATTTTGATGTCTTTGTTTGCATTCTCCTTCCTCAACGAATATTGCTTAGAAGCAAGAAAAGAAAATACACACATAACACAAAAAGAATAGCTCTTAGGCCGCTCGCCATAGTCGGATATACTCCGGTTTCCCTTACAATGTACCGCGTTAGACGCAACGAGCCAATCCATAGTTCGTAGCTTGTCACGTGACTTCACGCTTCCCGCGTCACTCCACCCAACCGGAAAAGCATGTGACACCTTCCGAGCCCTGAATTGGATCCGGTGACTTGTAACGTCCTCTGCAGTCCATCGTAACGTGAAACTATGTATAGAAGTGTGTGCCTCCACGCTGACTCGCCGAGGTCAATTTCTGTTGCACGACATAAAATATGCTTATTTGTATCATTGTTGTTGGGCTGTTTCCATGTCTTTGCCGCAGTTTGTTTAGTTAAAACTGAGCCGCCGACACCACCGTCGCGAATATTCAATTGACTTGCATTTTATTGCGCCGAACCGTTTCCACTGAACCGGTAACCGCCAAATCAGATTACGGTTCCCTTCCGGTTCGGGTTCAATATAAAATGTTTGATTTCGATTACATTTTTCTTCCGGTTTAGCTAAAAATATTGATTTTGCTCCAATTTGCAGTTTGGGTTCGGTTTGACACCCTGGTTAAAAGCTACATGCTAATCGCGCATGATTACAACAGCCACTTTGTCGCATTTCGTGGCACCAGAAACAACATCTTGTCCGTCTACAACTACAGTGTAGACCGCATATAACATATGTCGCGGGAATCCGCACTACAAGTGGTACCGCGCTATAACCAAAACATCAATTTTTCAGGCCAAATACATTTGTAAAAGAATTTATTTTATGGTAGATGAAAAATAAAGCTTAGTTTGAGGAAAGTTTTTATTTCACCAGACTAGTACACTTTTCTCTCAAGTGTGTCACACATTTTGAAAGAAATGAGTGACTTTTGCCTGGCGCAGCCTTTTAACGGCGTTGCGGGTTGCGGACGGACGTTGCGAGCGTTCAGGATTGCTAACCCTAATCACTTCTCTCCGGCGATGAAAATGCGTGCAAATTCGCATCCTTTATACGGTACGCGCCAGTAGTACCTTCAACTTGAGCACAGGCATGAAATGCTCCAAATAAGAAATCCGGGCGACGTTCGAAAACACAAATGCTTAGAAAGCACCACTGTAGTTGAAGTAAACAAACACGACGACACGGGCGTTTCTGCCGTCTTGAGAGTGCCGCCACAACATCGCCGCACGAGTAGGTGGATCTTCCCTTCTAGTACGTGCTGGGTTATCATAGCGACACGCAACGAAAATTCACAGTCGAGGATAGTGCTTTTACGCGGAACGATGAGCTTCCACCATGCCGTCTACGTCGACGATCACAACCGACGCCATGTTCGCGGATAGAAGCAGCCTGCCCGCGACCGGCATGCAACGTGCGCGAACACTTCTCCTCAATTTGCGTCTCCTTGACCTGCGATTGGTCTGTCGTTACGGTTGTTTGTTTCCAACGCAGCGGAGGGACGCACACACGGGAATGACACGTGCGTGCGTCCCTCCGTCGCTATGGCAACTGAAGCCTCTCTCTTCACTTCTCCCCGCTTCTTTGAGCAACCTCCTTGCCCTGCGAGTGCCGCTTGCGGCTCGCGCCGTTATCTAGTGTCGCACAGGGAAGCGTGCTCGCTTCGCCGGCAGTCGGCGCGCTGTTCCAAAAACCGCACTATAACCGGTATTTCCCTTCGCGCACCTGCATTTTAAGTGGTATGTAAATACATGGAGTTCTATGGGAGGCGAACCGGTAGTTTAAAAAAGCCGCATTATACCCGGTCCTGCACTATAAGCGGTTACGTTGTAAATGGTCTATACTGTATTCAGTTTTGGTTGCTTCACTGAGGACGTGCCATTTTCATCCTTGAAGGACCATAAGCCATGAGACAATTGAGCCGTCAGTCACCTCCAACGCAGTGATGCTCTTTCAACAGCAACTTTCCTTGCACCAGCGAAGTGCGCCATCAGCTTGTAGGCCCCAGAGAGTGTTGGTGGTAGGGAGCTCTAATGTGTCTAGGTACACACCGGGTATCACCAGCAGAGTCAGGGGAGATGAGAGTAAAGGTTGCAGTCCTCTTAGGTAGGGGGATGAAGGATGTGATGGACACTGCAGTAGAAATGTTGACTGAGCAAGGGGAAGGAAAACCTTTTTTGGTACATGTGCGATTGAATGATGTCCTAGTTAGAAAGGGAAGGGACCTGGCCACACACATCGAGGAGGGTGTGAAGCAGTTGGAATCATAACCTCCGGGATGGTGCACATTGTAATGTACATTGTCCTGGAGGCCAGGGGCCTAGGAGTAGGTACAGACAGGACAGTCCAGGAGGCTAACAGGACCATCAAGAAATGAGCTTTAAGAACGGATATGAGGTCAGGAATGTGAACAGGGAGGTATACCAGGAGAGTTCGACCCCCCCCTTTTAGCCGAGACGGCATCCACTGTGGAGAACTGACGGGGATGCAAGTGGGGCGAAGGATGGGCGGTATAGCAAAGGCTTTTTTAGGAGCCCGCAGAGCCCTCCGGTACCTGGCTTTGGAGGAAGCCTCACAGAAGAAGGAAAAAGGAGCAGCTCAATATAGGATTTATAAATATTCGGGAGCGGAAGAAATAAAATGAAGTGGGAGGAGATTGCAGAACAATTAAATGATGAAGATTTTGTAGTGTATGGATTGACAGAGATGCATCTTCGAGATATGGAGGAACCACCTACTTGGCAGGTTATTTTTGGGTGGGATCTACTTGATGTGAAGGGGAACGGAGAGACGACGGACTGGGACCGCTAATGAAAGGACAGGGTTGGTAAAGGGTGAGGGAAAGCTGCAGAGAACATATGTGGTTCAGGTAACATCTGAGGTTTAGACCCGCTCATAGCATTTTGTTCGTATGTCTGAAAACAGGAACTGATTCAAGAGAGGACAATGCACAGCACTTGACGTGTCTTTCCAAAGATGTTAGAGAAATTGGCACTAATCGGGAAATAGTTATCTTAGGAGACATGAATGCACACTTAGAAGACTTCGACGGATATACAGATCCTACGGGGAAGATGCTACAAGAATTCTGCGATGCTCTTGATCTAGTGCTTGTAAATGCCCAAGTAATATACGACGGAAAAATAATGTGTGAGAGAAACAATTCGCACTCAACATTTGATTACTGTCTAATGTCTAGCAAATTGTATAACACATTAGGACACATGGAAATAGATGAGGAAGGCACGAAAAGCTTAGGAAGGGATTATAAGCGACTTAAAATAAAGTTTGGTACGGCAGAATCGGAGAAATAAATTCTTGAGCGAGAAAGTATATCAATCTTAAACGATGCCCAACTACAAGAAGAACTTTCCCCCGGCGAAAAAAAACGAACAAAAGCAGACCGCTGCATTACTTATGTCGGAGTCGTGTCGCCTCACGATTTTTGAAGTATCCTGTTTGGGTGGGCCTTTAGATTACCTTTTTTCCCCTTTGTACCACGAGTGCTGTGTCCCATGCACTTGGCTTATGTAGATATTTCTGTAAATTGTGAAAAATATTTAATAAAATAGTATCATACTCGCACTGTTGCCGTAAAATCCTCTAGGCCAGAGCCGTGATGTCACCCCGTGAGGGGCATATGATTTTGATTTTAGGATCTCTCTGTGGCATACTTGATAGGAAATTTTTATTTCATCTTGTGTTACATACTGAGTTTGAATGGTCCTTTAGCAAAAATCATTATTATCTGGATTGTGGTACTCAATGATTTGTCTTCTCATATTGTTAGTGTAGCTGGAGATGCATCCTTTGATGACCGCAGATGACAGTGGCCATCAAATTGCATTGGCAGTGGAAACATCTCAACTATTCACTGTGACATGCATCTTATGAATGCATGCAGAATTAACTGGTCCATTCCTTGGCCTTGTAATTTCAGGAGTGTGTCAAGAGAAAAGCTGTGCAGTCCGTGATTGCAGTGAGGGGCATCACGGAGCAAGAAGCCAGAGCAGCAGTCGACAAGGTCTTTGCCAAGTGCTACAATGACTTGGAGCCCGTTGGAAGACGGCTGAGGAGGAACTCTTTAGACATGGAAAGGGCATATAGAGAGAGGTACCATTATGGCTATTGCGAATAAAATAGATGTGAAGTCAGAAAGTGTGCCCTAAGGCAGTGGGACAGATCCTCTAGCTGAGCTGTAGATTTCCTCAAATAAATATTTCATAAACATTGTTGCAAACTTCTGGTCTTGTAGTTCCTTTCATTACCCTACCTTGCTGGGATGTTTGAGTCATCAGCATCACTGTCCATGAAAAGTTTTTGAGTCATCAGCATCACTGTCCATGAAAAGTTGTCTACAAAACATATGTTTCGTGGTCAACTTCCCATGGACACATGTTTTGTAGACACATGATGCATTGTCGACAACATATTTTTTTTTACTAAGTGAATTGGATCATTTGTTTCATTTCGTTTGCTGGAAGCATGCAGGAAGTCAAGCAAACTCATCCAGGTGGCTCGGGGAAAGTTTATTATAATCGAGTGCCCGAACGGCTGAGCTTGCACCAGGCCTTATCAAAAGTGGCAACCAAAAATTTTACAATTTTTCTTTTTTTTTTTGGTACGATTAGATCAGAAAACATTTATTTAAAAATTATGGGTTCCACCAGGACCTCTTGACTGGAGTCATCTGGTGTTGACTAGGCAAGTTGATAACCGAAGTGATGTGCACGAAAAGACGCTTTTGACGAAATGCCGTAAAGGGTGCGGTCTGGGCTGTGTCGATGAAATGAATGTAGGAGTCCTTTGATGAAACAAACTCATTCAGTGTTGTACGAAACGTCATTCCGAGGGCTGTCGTTCCTGGAACGAATTCCTTTTAGGAGGAGCAAAGGAACGTCGCCGTTCCATTTTGCATTGGTGAATCTGGAGCGGGAATTCGTTACACTTTTACGGAAACAGAAAAAGGAATGGCATTTCTTTTTTTCGTTTAATGGGGTAATTTTTATTTTATTTCTAAGAAGGAAATTCTAAAAAGTATAAAAACACTATCTTTACGAAGAGGACGATCCTGTTAAATTTTTGTTACTTAGGGTTTATTTTGGGGGGGCCTCATTTGGTAACAGTCGGTTGCAAGAGAGCTAGTGGACACTGACTTTTTTTCAGTGCCCGAGACTGCTGTACGAAAAGCAAAAATTTTGGTAGAAGGGAAAGACACAGAAAGAGGAACGTCTCAAACTCGGCTACTTTCTTTCTTCCACGAATCCTTATACACCTAAAAATATAAGGCAAAAAAAAAAAAAAAAAAATTACAGTTACATTAAAAGAACAGGTTATCAGACATAGAACGCAGCCTTATATCCCGAACATTTTGTGACCAATGTTCACAAAAATTAACCTTTATTTCCTCTCCCCTTCTCCTCGACCTTCAAATTGGACAACGAATCCGACCTGCACGAAGAAGGACTGGTAGTTTTCTAGACTGACCTTCCAAAAGCCCTACCCTCTTCTCCACTTGCTCGTCTTGAGGACAGCAACATCGAGAAGCAACTGTTGCTAAGTTCGAACAAGTGACTTTGTTAGATTGAAACGTGTGAGGTTGTTACAAACGCTCGTGCAATGTCGGTTAACAATACATATTGCTCATCTGAATCACCCACTACAAAGATGAATACGGTTAAACACTGATATTTTTAAACATGAATAAATCAACAAATGAAGCCTTGTTTCCACTTGTTTTCTTCTCCTGGTGTCCTTCCATATCAGGGCATTCAAATTCGTATGTTTCCATTTAATGGAATATAAAGAAAAAGAAAATCTTTGTTTGATACAAATTTAACAATAAATTCCATTTTTATATTCGAAAGGGAATGAATAACGGGAACGAGTTCCTTCCTCACAAATGGAACTTGTAACGGGAATACGTTCCAAAAAATCGAAAGGAACGAGGAACTAGCTTTCGTTCCTCTTTTTGAGGAGCGTGAGTACAACAGTGCTGTCAATGAAACACCATGAAACATCATTCGAATAACTGATTGCCATCACAGCCACAAAATTTCGGACGTGCAAAAATTGAGATTTCTATCAGAGGAGACAAAAACGTGCGGGGGCGTCATAACGCCAAGCTCTGGTTGGAAGGATTAGTGGATAGACCTAAAGCTAGCCACCTTCGTCTCCGCTACACTCGTCGAACGCTTTAGAACGCAGAACGCCGGTGACCGGCGTTTGGCTCTCGCCAACGTTACTTTGGCCCTTTGGCTCTCGCATTTGAAGGCGTTCGACGAGTGCAGTAGAGACAGAGGCCTACCCACTTTAGGTTTAGGTCTACCCACTAATTCTTCCAACCAGAGCTTGGCGTTCGGACACCCCCGCTGCCCCCGCCGCGATTTTGTCTCCTCCTCTCCTTTAGTTTCTCGGCGCATAACAATTTATTTCAGATCCGGACGCGCCAGAAACAACGGGTCACAAGAGTCTGCTGCAAACATTGCAACAAGATGGCGGCTCCCTTTGATTTGTCGACTTGAAGAAGCGTGGTGACTGCACGTGTGTGATGTTATGAACAACAGCGTGATTTCGTTAGCTTTCAGTCGACGTGCACAATTAAGATGCTGAATCGAAAGAGGAAGAATACTGGAAACGGAGTGAACAAGGAAGATCAGAACGGCGACGTCAACGACAGCGTGTTGGAAAAGCGGCCGAAGGTTGACGATGCTGCCCCGTTCACTGTCATCAAGTTCGTCAGAGATCTTGAAAAGGAGGGAAATCACATAGAAGGTAATGACAGTAATTTTTTAACTATCTTGCGCCTCAGGTGGATCTTCTAGTTAATGCGTAGGTAGAATATTTTCATGCTATTGATTTCTTCTTTTTTTTTTTTTTCGTGTGCATGCACGGCGAAGGAATAAATCTGTTAGTAAACACGTTTTGAAATTATTTTTTTTTAGGTGTAGTGTGTGTTTTTAGGTTTGCGGCATACACCCAGATATGTCCCATTATATTACGTTCAGGACTGATGGCTGCTAAACTGCGACTGACATATTTGATCTGGCTCTAACAAGTTTCACGCGTAGTCACGTTATAAAGGTAAAGCGCTGCTTTTGAAAGGTCCCCGCATGTGTCACTGGATATGAAGCAGTTAGCGATATGGGACTTTGTCCATCCCTGTGTTTTATGTTCTTTCCATTATTTATATAATTCTCTATACTGTTCACTAATTGATGAACAGACCTGCTGTGCTAAATCTTTGTCACCTTTTTAGTTCTAAGGCTTCTCCCCTGTAGCAAAAAGTGGCCTGTAAAGTCTTTTTTTTTTTTTTTTGTTGTAATAAATAGAAGAGTAAAGCTATACGCACTCCGGAGTGCGCTTCGCGCGGAAATGGCTATACGCACTCCTCCGAGAGATCATGCCGCTCGGGCCACCCTTTTCGAACGGCGCGTGAATCACTGGGGCGCTCGTTAACACAGCCCCCCGCCTGCGTTCACGCCGCTTCGCGGCGACAGTATCGGCTGCTAATTACTAAGCGTAACCAGTACACGCCGCTTCGCGGCGTCCAGCCGGCAATCCAAGCCCCGCTGTCCCCGATCGCACCTCCGGAAAGGGAGTCCGATACCATTTAGTTCTGCAAAGTTTCTCGACAACATTCGATTTTTTTTTTTACTGTTCATTGCAAAAAAGGAAATGTCGTAAATATCGCCAAATGCCTCAACAAAACAAAATGTTTGAGAAAAAAAAAAAGAGAAAAAAAAAAAAGTAAGCCCACCGCGGATCGAACCCGCGTCCACTTGCGTATGAAGCGGACACCCTAACCACTACGCCATGGCACCGCTTAGGAAACTCGTTGTGTCCACTCTTTTTATACGAGAAAAGCGGAGTGCGTATAGCCATTTCCGTCCGAAGCGCACTCCGGAGTGCGTATAGCTTTACTCTAAATAGAAAAATAACTATGCATCCATATAAAAATCTACACCTACTAAGTCCTAAATTTATTAGAACATGTGGACTCTGACAAGCTAAAGTTAGGCATTTATGTGCCCTAGATTTTGCCAGAAGCATTGCCTATAAAAGGTCAGTTATAACAAAAACAAACATATTTGCTGCTCAAAACTGAAATTTTGTGCTTAAAAACCACCTGTTGCAAACTGGCTGCTCAAATTCTTCCCCCCCCCCCCCCCCCCCCCCCCCCCCCCCCCTTTCCTCAGTCCTCTGCAGTGACAACACATCACACTAAATTTTTTAGAGGTAATGAGCTATCTGAGGCAAACATTAAATAATAAAAATAATAGAGTCCATAGCACATAATTTTTATGACCACTGAAACTTAGAAAATATCATAATTTAGGGAAAACTTGCTATCAGGGATAGGCAGTATTTCAAATACAAGTATTTGAAATACCGGGTGAAACAAGGAGACGGTAGGCTCTTTAAATCGACCGGAAAATTCGGTTTCTTAACCTATCGCGCTACGACTTTGTGCAGCGTCGCCCACAGATGGTGCATTTTTTTTGTAAAATTTGCGAAGAGCGAACTTACCTGAGGAAAAAGTAAAGAAAGAAAAAGGCTTAGCTCCTATGGAAACGCAGCGACGCCACCGGTCTGCAATCAACACGGCGCCGTTTTGCACGGTAGACAAGAGATGGCGCAACGAACGCCGCCAACGAATGAGCATTCGGCGCCGAGAGCCAGCGTTTTTAGCAGACGATCTTTTCGAATCAAAAGCGGCGCGCGTCCCGCAAACGGCGACAGTTGCAGAAACAAAAACAGGCGCGGTAACAACAAGCAACTGCAGTTCCTTGTCTGCTAAAAACGCCGGTTCTCGGCGTCGTCTGCTCGTTCGTTGGCGGCAGTTGGCGTCGCGACCGCTTGCGCCATCTCTTGTCTATCGTGCGAAACGGCGCCGTGTTGATTGCAGACCGGTGGCGTCGCTGCGTTTCCATAGGAGCTAAGCCTTTTTCTTTCTTTACTTTTTCCCCAGGTAAGTTCGCTCTTTGCAAATTTTACGAAAAAAATGCACCATCTGTGGGCAACGCTGCACAAAGTCGTAGCGCGATAGGTTAAGAAACCAAATTTTCCGGTCGATTTAAAGAGCCTACCGTCTCCTTGTTTCACCCGGTACATATTTCAAATACTTTGTGTATTTTGCATTTGTATTTAATTACAAATTGAGTAATGTATTTGACGTGTGTATTTAAATGCTAAAACATGGGCATTTCAAATACAATTGTGATTAAATACAATTTTGTGGGCAAAAATACATTCCTCAAATTTATTGTCACTGTCCAGAGCAGGAAGGAAACTACGTTCTGCACCGAATGCAGAGTCTCAATCGAGAACAAGTGTTTAGTGACTTTATGATTACGGTGCTCGTCCAGGGCAAGAATAGTCACAAAATCGACGTTCACAGGCAGACTGGCCTGTGACAACTTGTGATGCTTTCTAGCCTGATTTCCATCCATATTTTTGCCTGGAACATTCTAAATGGGCGGGTCGTCCAGATTTTCGTAACTGGTTAGAGTTGCAACAATAAAAATTCTTTAGCTAGTGCTGTGTGTCCTGGTCGCCTCGGTTCTTTGTTGGTCTATACCAAAATGTCATCGACAAAAAAAAGCTGCTTGAAGCTCTGTACTTTTTTCACCTATTACATCCAAGCAGATTACATTTTTTTGTGATTATATTTCTATTACGTTACCAGAGCCTCGCACACTAACTCCCGAGTGTGCGATGCAAAACTAACATGAGATACCCAGAAACCCGTTGCAGGTGCCCTGAAGTAGCTGACGCAAATTTTGAGGAATGTATTTGGAAAAGTATTTGGAGGAGACCAAATACATTTGTTGTATTTGTATCTTGTAATTAAATGCTTTTTTGGAAATGTAATTAGATTTGTAATTAAATACATTTTTGACGAAGTATTTTTGTATTTGTATTTCGATACATATTTGCATGTATTTTGCCCATCCCTGCTTGCAATACATATGCTAATTGTTGAATAAAAAGTAAATTAGGCATTCGTGTTCAGTCAGCGTAAGGATAGGCTGGCCTGGGGTCTTTAATGTGCATCACGCAGGAGTAATCGTAATCGTAATCTTTATTGGCTCAGGAGAGCCGTGGCACCGCGGAAAGGCGACAGCCCGTACCATGGAGGCCCGCGGTGCCACGTCTAGTGATGATGATTATGAGATGATATATACACGACCGCTCGCTGCTCATCCTTTTCAGAATGATTAGGGGTTGGGGTGATTAAAGCACCCTACATTACCTTTGGAGTTGGACATGACGTTCCTTTGCAGTGGTTCCCTGGGTTCCAGTTTAACTTACCGTAGAATACTGTGCATCCACCCATACCACATTAAGCGCCCATACCCAAATTTGTAAAATCTGAGAAAATATGCACAGTACATTGATAGGTAGAATTGATGACCGGACAAGCGTCCATCATTCATTTTTTCATGATTATCTCTAAAGTTTGAGTGGGTGCTTGCTTGGTATTTTACGGTAGTTTTTTCTTGTCAGTAGATACACAACTGAAGCAAAAAGTTAATTCAGTGGTTTCTTGTCTTCAAATTCTAACACTTAAAAAAAGATTTTCTTGGGGTGCTAGGATCCTCTAAGGATGGCACTCTTTTACTGCCTTGCATTGGCCTTTTTCTTTCCTTCAGATTTGTCACTGACAAATTGAGCGAACATGTCGAAACAGAAAGTTTTCTAGGTTTTTACATCTGTATATATTCTTTTACATGATTCTCTTTTTGGTTTTAATGTGTTTTTTTGCAGCTTGTAGCATATTTATTTTTAGGCCTGCTTGCTTCAGGTGTAAATTTTTCTACACAACTTCATTTTTTGCAAGCTCAATAGTTTGTGAATTTTGGAAAGTGTCGGTTCAGTGAATATTGCAAAAGAACAAAATTTCACAATATGGAGTGATACGCCCTGTGTTCGTTACCGTGCAGAGTAATATATATTCATACTATTTTTCAAGTCGCATAGTTCACGAAAATTAAGTTTTTGCGAAAATTAAGTCATTTGCAGTAACTGAGTAATGTTTGAGCACCTAGTTCCATACAAGTTTTGCCACTTGTATGGATGTGTATACAATCTGCGGTCCTCTAATACTTCTGAAGTGCTCTTAAATTGTTCTTGTTTCACACAGAAGTGAGCAGGTTTGTCCAGGCTGCCGACTCCTTCACAAACGGAGAGAGTGCCACTGACGTTGTCAAGCAGTATCTCAACCTGAGCAATGGAAACTTCCAGGACATTGCTGCTCTCATTGGAAACCAAAAGTCCAGCTCTGCTGCGGTACGTGAGAGGGCAGTGTAATTGTATTTGAAGGTCATGACAATCATGATCGTTCGGTGTCTTAAACATTGAATGTTTACTCTTTTCCTTACCTTATTAGTGTTTGTTGCCATGTGTCTGAGTTATGTTGTAGTGTACAATTTTGTTTGACAACCATGTGAGCTCTAGCTAACATGATAGGACAATGTAGAGCCATTTTATATCTCCACACAAAGGATTTTTGTTGTAATTTAAACTTCATAGTATATGTGGCATGCACAACAATAAATTTGAAGTTGTTTATGAACATATAACTATCTTTGCTAGTGTGGCCATGTTCAGTGAGGCATAACATTTCAGTGTACAGTCGAACGCCTTTACAACGAGTTCTGCGGGGCTGGCGAAATTTTTCATAGTACAAGTGACTTCGTTGTGTTAGTTCAGCGCGAAAAATCAATCATGCGAAAGCGAATTTCTGCTATCACATATTGACATACCTACGTGACATTCAAGGTGTCTTAGGAAAAAGTATAGCTCCAAATATAGTATAAGTGACATCAGGAACTAGGTTTTGTACACTGTTAATTGACTTATCAAAAGGGGGAACGGTGGCCGAGCCTGCTAGTGCATTGCAGGTCGGGGCATATGAGGCAAAAGCTCCCGCTGCAGAATCCAGGCATCTTGGGCTTGATTACCACTTATATTTTTGTAAATGTAAATCGTACCGGCACATATTTGTGTACTCACCGCTGCACGACACAGTTTAAAGACACCGGTCCAGTGGTTGTACCGATAGTACCGCCATTGGCAAAGTTGGCAAAACTAATTTCCCGCTGTCCAGACATCCTCGCTTCAAACTTAACTGACTTTTCAAAATGCCAATCGCAACGATCACCAAACCACCGACATCGGCCTCCAATCAAAGCAGCGATGAGGCGTTCGCCGTCTGTGTAAATTTGACCTTTTCTAAATCGGGTGGCAGCTTGCGCCACCACGTATCATTCAAAGGAGGTTCGAAGCGGCTGTGCTGCTCTCGGAGGAGTAGGCGTGGCAGCCGCAGCGGCACCGGCAGCTCTACGGTAGCTACAGTGTACCTTTTCTTGACTTCAGTGACGTCCTGCCATTCTTGAGGCGCGAGTGCCACTCAAAACACTTCGCACACCTCACTGCTTTTTGGCACAAGCCTTCTAAATCATCTCAGAAATCTGTGTTTTAGATTTGCCGAGTTTGACGTAAAATTGATGTTTGATCTCGCTTTGGTTTGGAGTCTGTGGGGAGATTGCCATTATGCTCATGCATGTGGTCAAACAAACTCGTGTGGCGCAGTTCCAAATGTGCACAGAGTGACACCCTTTGGCATAATGACGCAGAAAGGTCCCTGCCTTCGACTGCTGCGCGCGCATCACTGTGCTACCCTTTCTTTTTACGCTACAAAATCACTCTCGGAACTTTTTGATCACACCTCATACATCCTAGCCATCATACCGTTACATCATACATCATAGATGTATGATGCATGATGCAATGTAGCGTGTAACATTTATGTTGCTGTGTCGTGCCCTCTTCAGTTCTAATCGAAATTTGTTCCTAAAATGAGACATCTTTCTGTGTGCAATGTCACATACGTATATCACATGATTCTTTTCAATACTTTCCGACACTTGTGGTACAAACCTAGTTTGCTCGCTTGAATGTGGTACAACTGGCTAAGATGCTTTCTTAGAAAAATAATTTCACAGTTACTCCTAAGGTGCTCCAAAATAAATTTTTTTAAAATATTCTTTAGTGCTCCAATATGCAGGTTTCTCTGCTCCTAAGCTGCTTCAAAATCCGGATTTTTCTGCTCCAAAAATTGCTCCAAATCCAGCTTGGCCTGTCCTACACCTGTACGTAGTCACGCAGCATCATAAGCATGCAGCAACATACCGTAAAATACTGCAGAAGTGCCCACTTCGTTCAGGCGCCCACTATTAACATCTCTCAAACTTGGGAATTCTGAAACTTATACGTTAGGCACCCGATTTGACTGGACAAGCGCCCATGCCTAGATTAACTCGGTTTCCAGTGGAAGTGGGGTGGGTGCTCCCTTGGTATTTGACGGTAGTCACACAGCACCATCTAGGCATAAGCTTGCACACTAACAAATTATTTGGACCCAAAACCGAGAATGTGTCGCGTGGCGACGACGAAGGGACGCGGCGGAGGCCGCACGGCGGTAGTGTCAACCATCGCCGCTGCCGCAGTATTTCTGTTCTCTCTGCGCATCACTTGAGAGCAGTGTTAGAGGTAACGCGTTACTAGTAACGACGTTACTAGTAACGACGTTACTGGTAACGCATTACATTTTTCGCTAACGCAGTAACATACTCGTTAGTATTCTGAGTGACTGACGAGTAAAGTATTTCCATTACTTTTTTACGGTATCGGCTGTCAAATTTCGTTACTCGTTACTTTTGACCAAAACTGGCGAAATCCTGCACGAGCTTATCTCAAAATTCTGCACCAGCTTATTGCTGCACGGAACCAGCATCCGTCACAGTAAAGTTTAAAAAAAAAGAAAAAAAAAAGACACTCATTTTTTGAAGGCGAAACAAACCTTCAGCTACCAGCTAATTCCGTTCATCCTCCTTTTTCTTTTTTTCATCGTGTCACCACCCACAAGGCTTGAACGAACGACTGCGTTACAGCCTCCTCCCCTCCCTCCTCTTCCCCCCCCCCCCCCCCCCCTGCTTTGTGCAGCAGAAGTGGACATCGGGGGGGGGGGGGGGGGGGGGGGAAGAGGAGAGAGGGGGGAAGCCGTGGAGAGACATCCGTTTACAACAGTGGACAACTAGTGGCGAAGCGATTTGCTCATTTCTCTAGTTTCAAAAAAAGAAAAAAAGGAAACACCCTTTGTGGAATATTTTTACCCTCGCTCTCCCCCTTGCTCCTGAAAGTTCCTGTCCCACTTTTGTACACAGAAGAATCTTTCGCTTGATTAGTCTATAATTCCCTAAGGTCATGATAAAAAAATAAAAATAAAAGTTTTAAACCTGGAAAGAAAACTTACAAACACAAAACCTTTTTTTTTTTTTTTTTCTTTACTGAAAAATTAAGAGCTACTGCTGGTAAAGGGGTATTCACACGAGGGAGAAATCCCGGGGATTTCTCCCCGGCACGCGCGCATCACGAGACGAAAACGCGAGGCTTTTGCACATCGCAAAGCCTGACGTTTTCGTCGTGGGATGCACGTGCCGGGGAGAAATCCCCGGGATTTCTCCCTCGTGTGAATACCCCTTAAGAGGCAGCAAGTGATTATAGCCAGTGTGCTGATAACCGGTGTCCTGTTCCAGATAGTGAAGTAAATCAGTCTCTGGTAATAGTATGAACCGGACTGTTACTAAAACCGGCGTACAGATGAGGGGTGTTGGTTAGCTGGTTGTGTTCCAGCAGTCCTCGTTCGCATGCTGTAGTTTATAAAAGCCGATTGACTAACATCTCTGACTCATTCTGCGCGTGACATGGGCATGAATAACGAAAGTCCGTCGCCATGGCCAGCAGGTCTGAATGAAATGTATCAACTAAAGGAGACAGAATCAGGTAATTTACAGTTTCAATGCCTAATCTGCATGCCGAAAATTAAGCTGCTTTGCACATCAAAACACTATGAAACCATTCTGTAAATTTTTATCTTTATCCAAGCTTGTTAAGGAGGCTTATCATACTTCTCTGCCAAACATATGTACTCATCATCATCATCATTTATTTTCCTTGAGGGCCCCAGGGGGCATTATACAAGGGAGTGAACACAATAAAAACATCAACAAAAATAGTTAATAAAAAACACGCTGTAACCTATACTTGTATTTCAGAAAGAAAGAGGTTAACGGCTGCAGCAAACTTGTTAGTGTCAGTCATGTTTACAATGAGGTCAGGTAATGAGTTCCAATCGTCAATAGCAGATGGTAAAGTCGACATTTTATAAGAGACAGATGACGAAGTAATTGAGCGCAGTTTACATGAGTGGTCAAAACGAGGGAAAATAGGGTAGGGAGGTGATAGTAGAGAATCTTTTAGATGGTTGTTGTGGTAAAAGATTTTGTGAAGAAGAGTGAGACGTGACACCCTTCGACGTAAAGAAAGTAAGTCAAGATTAGCTGATTTGCGTAATCCTGATATGCTAGTGTATGGGGAGTAGTCAGAGTAAATAAAACGAAGACCTCTGTTTTGAACGGATTCAAGGTTGTTAGTTAGATATGATTGCCATGGTGACCATATGGATGAAGCAAATTCAAGTTTAGATCTGACCAAGGTCGTATAAGCTAGTAGTTTTACTGAAGGTGTAGCTAGTCTGAGGTTACGGCGAAGAAATCCGAGAGTACGGTTAGCATCGGCAGTGACAGCATTTATGTGAGTAGTCCATGAGAGATCAGAGGTCAGGTGAACGCCTAGGTATTTATATGAGGAATAGGTAGCTACTGGGATAGTGGAAAGGTGATAAGAAAAGGATGAAACATGTGAACTGCGGGTGAATGATAGAGATTTACATTTATTAAAGTTTAAAGTCATTTGCCATTTGTGGCACCACTGAGTTATAAGTGCGAGGTCATTCTGCAAAATTTGATTATCGTGGTTTGAATTAATAGGTCTATAAATTACACAGTCGTCGGCGAACAAAGGTATTGAAGAGGAGATGTTGAGGTAGAGATCATTAATGTATATTAAAAATAGAACAGAAAATAGAATCGAACAGAAAAGTAACTTTGATTATTTTTGAAAAGTAACGGTAATGGTATATCGTTACGTTTGTAAAAGAGTAACGTAGCTCGATAACGCATTACTTTTTACCAAACTAACGAGTAACGCTATTTTGTTACTTTTTTTCGGTAACAGGCACAACACTGCTTGAGAGCGACAATTTACATAACATCTATTACTCTTCACCCAGAAAATTCATAATATTGGTTGTTTTTGCTTTGTGGGGCCGTGCATTTGTTTCAATAAACAGATAATTGTTGAACAGGAATTCGGTGTAGTAGTCAGGGAAACACATGATACTGTAATTGAGTACATGGAAAGCTTCAGATCCCTCGGTGTAACTTTTTCTTCAACATTAACATGGGATGGCCATATAAACGAGCTTTGAAACCACCCTCTCTAGAATAGCTGGAATTACTTCTTGTAATAAGTATGTTTTACCTATGAAAGCAAAGCTGACTCTGTATTATGCCTCTTTTATTCATACCTAAACTATTGTTTCCTTGTTTGAGGGCATACTGCAGTATCTAATATGCAAAAGCTCATAACCTTACAAGAGAAAATGCTTCTTGTTATTACAAATACCCTATACGATTCCCCTACTAAACTCCGTTTCACCTTACGTCCTGATGCAGCGGATGCTATGGGCTATCCTAGCCAACCTTGCACTGTGGATTTCGCCCGAGATACGCTTTCCACGTGTTGCTGTGTCCCCTCTCCAAGGTCGTGTGACACTCTTATGGCCTTGGATTGGCTCCAGTGGCTCGTAGCATCCGCTGCGCCCGGACGTAAGGTGAAACGGAGTATAGGCAGATTTTTTTACAGTTTAAAATTGTGCCTGTAAATAATTTATTTGAATATAGATTTGCCTGTTTTTACAAAAAGAAATAATTATGAACAATGATCAATTTCTCAAGTTTTGTAGAATATGCACCTCCTCTTACCCCATAAGAAACTGGAACAAAAAGTTTCCCCAGTTTTGTGTCCGTCACCAAATAAATGTAGACACAAAACTTTGGACAGCTACCGCCATCTATGACCGACGGCGGCAACCAGACAACCGGCTTGCCGGTTGTCTGGTTTTCACCGTCGCTTATAGATGGCGGCAACCTTTCCAGGCCTTTTTACTCTGGTTTTCATCAGAGTGGAAAGGCTGAATTTCCCTACCTGTCGTCCTAGAAATCGTCCTCCAGGTCGTTTTAGGAGTTGTCCTTGAGGTTGTCCTAGATATTGCACTTGAGGTCATTCGAGAAGTTGTCCTCGAGGTCTTCCTAGAAGTCATCCTTAAGGTCATCCTAGATATCGTCATCGAGGTCGTCCTAGAAGTCGTCCTTGAGGACGTCTAGACATTGTCCTCGAGGTCGTCGTAGAAGTCGTCCTTGAGGTTGTCGTAGACGTCATCCTTGAGGTTGTCCTAGGCATTGTCCTTGAGGTTGTTCTAGACGTTGTCCTAGGCGTTGTTCTTGAGGTCGTCCTAGATGTCGTCCTTGAGGTCGTCCTAGAAGTCGTCCTTGAGGTCGTCTTAGACATCGTCCTCTAGGCGTCGTCCTTGAGGTCATCCAAGAAGTTGTGCTTGAGGTCGTCCCACCATAGTACAGCTTCACTGGTCTTCCTTCACCTGAGTGGAAATGCTGAAAGTTATTTTATTGCCCAGGTGCAGAACACATAATGGCTTTGTTATGCTGGGTTATATCTTGCCTAAATTTTCGAATTCTCCCTTGTGTGATCTTTTGAACCATGTCTTTTTCTACTCTCCGTAACTATTTTCTGTAACTCACTATTGTTTCAGCTGTTTGTTAACTAATCTCTTTATTTATGTAAAAGTAAAATTTGTATAGTGCATACTGTGATAATATGTAATCATGTTGCACAGTGTTATATGTGTGCTTTCACTGCTGACTTGTAAAGGGTGGTTGAGGCTCGTCAAGCAGTATAAACTGCTTTCTTCTCGCCACCCCACTTTGTCTTTTCAAACTAAATAAAGGTTGATTGATTCATTCATTGAGCACATAGGAGATTGGCTGGGACTTTATTTTACTTTGTTGAACGGGCATTTTCGTTGTAGAGGCATTCGTTATAAAAGTGTTTGACTGTAGGGTAACCTAACCAGGATGTCTTAATTTTTTTTATGTACCCTGCGATCATGTGTGCTAAAAGTATGAAATCTTTAGTGGGGAGTGAAAAACTCGTTTAGTCTGGCACAAGTTGTGTTCATAATGTTTTTCTTGATGTCTTTTTATAATGTATATTCCTGCTTGGACTCGGATGAGGGTGCAGCATTAGTAAATAAATAATGTACATTGAAAGTGCCGGATTAAGTAATGTTCTGCTCGAGGGTATGTATCTTTGAGTAACAACTTGGGAAGGCTTATAATTCTTTAAAAAATCTATAGCAGGAAACGCTGTTTGGGAAGCTGTAATGTCATAATTGACGCTTTGCTAAGAATCATTGAGAGCACACTAGAAGCCAAAGGGATTATTATCCGTTTGAGTGCGTTAATGCTCAGCAGCTCAGTTGCACATGCAGGCTAAACTAACAACAGATGCTCAGTTCACTAGTTTAATTCTCACTTCTGCCAGTTTCCATTGGACACACGTGTCTGTGTGCGTTCATTCAAAAACTGCTGCGAGATGCACACTACGGACCTATGACCAGTTGTACTGTGCTGGCCAAATTTCACTTTATTACGGATACATGAGATCCTACTGACTTCCCGCTGTATTGGATACTTCTGCGTAATTGACAGCACCTATAGCACCTAGAACAGAAATCTGTCGCGGCATGTTCGCTCACCAGCTTCGTCGAGCGAATCAGATTTTCAGTGCCTGGTAGTCTAAAGACGAAGCCGTGAAAGCAGGTTAAAAAACATGCAATGAAAATTCACAATAAATATTTAGTTTTTAATAAATCTGGCTTTTAGATGTAGAGAGCCAAGCCCGGAACTGATCAAACGCCTAATGACGATGCTTGTTTTAACATTGAAGAGGCACTCAAGTGGATTTTGAGATTGTCTATTTATTGTCATAACTCAATCTACAAGCTCTAAGCATCTTAAAAAACCCGAAATCACATTCAAGAGCGGCCGATTTCTCTATTAACAGTCCAATCAAAGATCTTTCTGTGCTGTGGCGCAGAACACCAGGGAATGCCTCCAGACGGGAAGGCAGCAAGGGAGGGCACGCGACAGCCAATCACGAGTAAAAGCTTCCCTGCAGACTGATTTTTTGAAGGCGCGCATATCAGAAAATTTAGTCTGCCGGGAAGTTGTCACCCGTGATTGGCTGCTACGTGCCCTCCCCTGCTGCCTTCCCGTCAGGTGGCACCCCCTGGTGTTCTTCTGCACCACGGCACAGAAAGGGGGGGCGTGGCACAATCTTTGATTGGATTTTTAATAGGAGAATCAGCTGCCCTTGAATGTAATTTCCGGTTTTTTTAGGATGCTTAGAGCTCATAGATTGAGTTATGATGGTAAATAGACAATCTCAGAATCCACTTGAGTATTCCTTTTAAGGAACGGTTGTGGACTCTGCTTGGGTGGTGGTCGTAACTTCCCGGCGTGTCCCTGCGCAGCTGGTGCCGGTGTACCAGTGCCTGGAGCGCATCCTGTCGCGGGTGGCAGAGCACTTCCCGCACTTTGGGGCCAGGGCCTTGCTGTCGGTGCAGCAGGTACTGCAGCGGCATGGACGGATGGTGCAGCAGTCGCTCTCCCGCCGGGCCAAGGCCAATCACGTCAAGGCGGCCCTGCGCATGCTCACAGCCATGGTCACCCTCGGCCCCGAAGGTGCCCGCTACGTCACTTCAGTGGTCAACTTTGAGGGCGGCGACTTCAGCATCTGCCTCTCCTGGCGCAATCGAAAGGTGAGCTTCTTTCAACTGCCCTAGTGATGTTACGGGAGACTGTGGATTTTTAAACAAGTTAGTTTGAGGCCGTTGTTTAAACAAAATGTAGACCTTTTTCAAGTAAACTCGTGCACATGCGTACATCCTCTTTCCTGGCCTTGCTTCCCGCCATCAGCACTTTCAGAAGGCACGACGAACATTGTCGGCACATATTTGGTCTGTTTTGACGATTCGTTTTTAAACTTCAGTAGTATGGTGCATAAAAAGTAATGAAAGCCAATGCAATGGCATTATGCCAGTCTGTTCTGACGGGGGGAGACATTTTCGACTGCCCTTCATTTGCAGTTGGCAGACGTACCCCCAGACGATGCTCGTTACTTGAAAAAGGTCCATTCTTCGGACTACAGTAAAATGCTGAAGGAGTGCCCTATCTATTTTTACTGAAAAGTGGGTTAATCTAGACATGGGTCGAATTGGGTGGTCAACATATAATTTGCGAGATTCCCAAAATAGTGGGTGCTTGGAATGAAGTGGGCGCTTCTGTGGTTTTTTACGGTAAGCTGTATGCTGCCATTGTCCTCTCAATGGAATCCAGCGCCCAAGAATAGAAACAAAGAAAATGCCAGTGTACAAAGGTGGTTATGATAGGGCATAGAACAAAGACTGATCCTGCAGGTTGGGTAAGGGAGTAGATGCTCTTCTCCAAGCAGTAGTGTTATATGAATGAGATGTGGCATCGAAAGGCAATCAACTGCAGGGCACTGACAACCATTCTATTGCTCTTTCTGTTGTCTGTCTCGCAGCTTGCCTTGCATTTGACATTTTGAATGTCATGTTTGGGTCTCCCACCTTTGAAGTGCAACAACTCAATATCTACAAACAAGTGCTTCTTCCAACTGGAGCAGCGGGCACTGTGCCTTTTGAAAAGTGAAGCATCTAGTATGCATGCACCATTTCACAGCTGGTACCACTGGTATAATGTGACATAGGAAGCATGAGAAGATGGCAGCACATCTGTGACTTTATGAGAATGTCTCCTGTACTAGAGGGGAAGATGATAATGGAAGTTAGAGGTTATGGGTTGTGCTGTGTTGTGAACAATTTGGCAACTACAGGCTTAAAACATACAGCATTGCTGGATGCTGTGCTTCATATAAAGTGTAGCAAAACCCTGGATTAACTCTGGGCAATTCTTCATTGATTGAACATAAGAATGCACAGAACTTACTATGGTAATAAAATACTAAAAAAAAAAAAAAGACTGATCCTTAGCATTCTGTGGTCGTGCACGCCCTTCACATTCAAAGTTGTTGTGGTAGCGGGAATTCCTTTTTACTAATAAAATGGGTGCTTAGTCCTGGACTAAGCACCCATCTAGCGCTGATTTACAGTTGAGAGTCAGTGCTAGACCCATTTTCATGTTCTTGTTCTCATCTGTCTTTTGTGCTATTTATTGTTCATAATGCTTAGTCCTGCATAAGAAATTTATTTTGCCCATGTAATAAGGATTAATGTATGGTTTGTGCTAATTTAAAACCTGTTTTTGACACCTGAAAGGATCCAGAAGATGTGCGGACTTGTGCTGTGTACCTGCTGATGTCCATCCTGATTGTTGGAAGCAACTCGGTCGCGCGGCAGATCATGCGGTACAAGGGTATGTGTGAATAACTCCAGGAAAGCGGACAGTATTAAGTGTTCAAAATAAGAACCTATAGAGTGAGGACTTTGTGCTTATTCAGCGCTATCCGACAAAATCTTGCGGCGCGTTGTGCCTACCGAGTAAATCTCTTGAGTTGGTTCAGAAAGCATGTGCTTGGAGTCACAAATAGACCCTTTTTGAAATTTCGAGATGATGCATAGACTATGTGCGGCCGCCATTAGTTGGTCATGCCCTGTGAGCACGGATTGGACGCAAGCGCTTCGTCAGCATTTGGAGTGTACAAGGGTCGAAATGCATTCCACAGGAGTTCTGCGTAAGTACTCGATGCAAACTCTGAACCAATCACGGACTTTACGCCGGAAGCAATGAGACCAACTAATGTCAGCTGCGGCTAATCTATACATTGTTTCACAATTTCGGGAAGGGTCTATTGTAGTGATTTCGCTCTCTGCTGGAACCACACAATTTATTCTTTGACTTCTGCTGTTTTTTCCAGGCCTTCTGAATAGCATTTTTCCTGGCCTGGTGTATGATCGTGCTTCTTTCATCTGCAGCTTCCTCACCACCATAAAAACTAAGGTAATTTTTTTTTTCAAACTTCGGTGTGCCTTCAACACAGTGTCCTAATCTTTTGTTGGCCATTATTCATGTCTATATTTCACCCATACTTTGAAGCCTTCTATCAGTGGCGTAGGCAGAGGGAAGAAGTTTGGGTGTCGAAACCTCCCCTCCCCCCGCCTTTGAAGCATGATTTTAAGCACGCCCCCGAGTAATACCTTGACCGAGAGGTGCGCGCTTAAGTCCCCACTGTTATGAAACCACCATACCGATGTGGTCGTGTCAACGGCGTGTACTTCTGATCTCCGAAAATGGGACATGCATAGGTCGCTTTGTCAGAGTACTTATCAGTACTCTGACAAATGATGAAACGATGCCTCCCCTCAAGGCATCGCTTTGTCGTTTACTTATTGTTTTTTGTTTTGCACTGTGGCACTTAGCATGGCCACATGTTTTCGAAATACTACACGCATGCCTTAAAGAAGCTGTGCAACAATTTCAGGGCTTTGCTTAAATTATTGTGGAAGTTGATGCCTGACATCTCTGAAGTGAACTACAAAAAACAGATTTTGCCTGGATACCCTAGTTTTTATTTTAAAAAAATGAAAAAGATCCAGGTTTTTGCCGCCTCTCAACTCGTAAGTCGTCTTCCGGGTCACGTGCTCAGTGACGTTAATGGGGTAGATGCGGTGTTCCGGAAAAGTTCTCTCTTTAGAACCATCAATGAGCAGCGAGAACTCATCCGTTCGCGACCGCCTGACCACATGCTGGCGGGCGCCGTGCAAACAATATGGTGAAAGGAGGAAAGTCTCATCCGGGTCCGGCCATACCCACCCGGCCCTGTCCCCCTCCCCCTTTGGCTTCTGGCGGCTGTTCGCTGTAGCAGAGAGAGCTGACAACTTTGTGGAGCTAGGATAGATGGCGCCACTAAAACTCCGTATAATAAAAGTTTTGTCGATGACACCGGGTTATTGACACATTTATATATATGTTGGAACTACAAGATTTATAGAAAAGTTACCTCTTATCGAGCAGGTATTCGTACAACTTGCTATCTTTCCACAAGATTCCCTATTGACGTCACGCTGCATGTTTCTCATGGCCGCCGCTCGCGGCTACAGGTCAAGAAATATTCTGAGTTTTGCCTCGCTATTACGCGGCAGAATCGCAACATTTCGACGAAAGGAGGTGTGTTTTCTGTCATTTGTGACAAGGGGAACAATATCGAAAGCAGAAGATGCCAATTCTTTCAATGTTAAAATCGTTGCACAGCTCCTTTAAATTGCGTATACCATAAAGTCTCGTATGAACGCCCCCCCCCCCCCCCCCCCCGAGAAATCACCCATCCTGTTTTTTTTTATCACGTCTACCGCGTGATCTGTGCTGTATCGGTATGTGACTAGCGTTTTCGCCGCGGATTCCCCCGCGCGCTTATCGCACTGTGACACTCTAATCTGCAGCATCCGCGACATGCGGGGTATCCGTTCTAGTGACATGCAAATTCCCAGCTCATTCCCACTTTTATATTTGTCTGCGATTTTTGCACGCAATATTGGTTCCCGTGACACCCGAGTTTGTAGCAGCCGGGCTCTTGCGTGTAGATTGCGCTGTGAAGCACGAATGTGCTGCATTCGCTTTCTTCTGCCGTACTCGTGACAGGGGAGTTCATAGCGAATTCCGCATACTTATCACCCATGATAGTTTGCCGTGTCTGCGATATGTATCATTAATGAAAAGACAGGGAGTGTGCAGGTGAGCTGGTGATAGTTAATCATGATGTTTAAAACCTGAGTCTGAGGTGAGGGAAAAATGAGTAAACTTTGAAGTAGAAGATCACCATTTACCTTTTCATTTTGGGTGGGCATATTTTTAGGATCTTATGGTGTATAAACATACCTAAGAGCCTGCTGGCATGTGTTCACCTATCATGTAATCTCTGGGGAAAGCAATAACTACTCTACAAAATTAAACACATATTTGGCAGAATATTTTCATTTGTTCTTTGCTTGTTTGGGGTAAGTGCATTTCCTGAGACCGCTTCCATGCTTCTCATTCGTGTTGTAATTGTAACATATAAAAGCGATAATTGGTTGACTCAATCATCTGTAGATTTTCTTGTAAATGAATAGTCTTTGGCACACAAACAGCAAGCCGGCGGGAGGACGAGGAGAATGGTGGGAATGTCCTGCTGAGCAAAGCAAATTCTAAACCATTGTGCTAGAACGCATCCAAGCGATTGACTTAAGAGGAAAGCCTTCCATTTTATGGTCTTACGTGCTAGTTTTGTCAGTCACTTTTTTTTTTTATTAAACTCCTAAACAAGCTTTTTCTTAAGTCAGTCATGCCTGTTCTAGTAAAGGGTTAATTAAGCACATATGTATGAGCAGGGATGGTATAGGTGGTATCATGAAGTTTTCAATATTTGGCATTTGTACTTTTATCAGATAGTGTGGATTTGTACTCTTTTGAGTATTGGAGTACTTTTGTTTGCTAAACAGGGACTTGGAACATTTGTATTTCCTGATAATGAGAACTGTAGTCAGTGCTGAACTTTATTTCATACCATACTATTGCATCTTAAAATGGTTTTGTTTTCAACTTTTGGAATGTGCCATTTAGGTTGTTAAATAGGCGCAACATTTTGTTTTCATGAGGTTTACGTTGTGCTTCTCTTGTTGACTATGTTTTCTATTGGAAATCCATGAGAGGAACCAACCCGCTACCAGGACAGTTCTCAATAGCTGACATTAAAATATTTTTTTTTATGCTATAAGCTGTAATATATTTAAGGAAAAGATATGCTTGTAAATAATTCTGGAACGTTATGTGGAGATGCTTTTTCATTGATATTATTTTTTTTGTATTTAGAAAATCACATCTGCGCTTATAGCCCTGAGTTTGACCTGGGTGATCAGCATTAAGATTTACTTATGCTTCTACGAAACTCGACTTTTGTTGAGCTTGCTTCCACCCTTGTGCTTTGGGACATGCTTGTGGCTTTTAAAGCTCTCTAGTCTCATTCAACAAACTCCAAAGATCTATACAGCAGAACCCCTCTGTAGTGAAGACAGTTTTTGAGGGAAATATCTTTACTACATTGGTATCTTCATAGTATACCATGAATGACGGTAACAGTATTACAAGCATGCTTCAATATTGGTTCACTAGATTCTTATCTTTGCAATATCAAACTTCACTATGTAGAGTTTCTACTCTACCGTGAAATGTCGGTGGAGCGGCCACCCCACTGTAACTGAAAACTCCCCAGGGTTAAGGGAGGACACTAACTGGGAATGTCAACTTTTGAACCATTCACTCAATCGGCATGATATTTGCAGGTCGTGTTTGTGGCCATATAGAAGGCTATGCAAAGTTTCAGCCCTTTAAACAAATTTTATGAGGTACTATACCCCCAGAACGAAGTAAAGCATAGTTTTGCATGGAATCTGCTCAATGAATCTATCACTGAGAAATGGTGTCGATAACCACACATTTTTTGGTGGAATGCATACTGGAATACCTGTTGCCGGTTACTATAAAAAGAAATTTCAGAAAATATGCAGTTTCCAAGTAAAAAAAAATGTATGAATTTTTTTTTTACATATACCAAGTTCTGCTAATTACAATTTTTTATAATAAAGGAACATGAAAATGCAAAATCTAAGTTTATAGTAACCAGCTTCATAAAATTTTAGTGTATAAGCCGTAAAAATGAACTCTCTTGATAGTTTCATACTGAAACGATAGATTTATTAAGTGAAATTTATGCCAAAAAGTGCAACTGAGAAAAACGCGTTCGAAGTGCTCGAACCTCCACTTTTTTTTTTTTTTGTATCGGTGAACTGAAAATAATTGATAAAAAATAACTATCAAGTGTAAACAAATGAAGTTTTTTGGGTACTATACTCCCTTAGATGTTGGCAGATGTAAATATGGCAATTTTCAAAATACATTTTTTAAAGATTTTTTTTTGCTGAGTAGTGGCTCCCCTAATCTAGATATGGGCGCTTGTCCAGTCAAATCGGGTGCTTAAGGTATAGTTTGCTGAATTTCCGAGTTTAGAACACGTTAGTAGTGGGTGCTCTAACAAAGTGTCGCTTCCACGTCGCGGTATGTTACAGTACATCCCTTGCGTGAAATTCCAGGTTTGCAGACTCTCAAATATTGGGGCTTTTACGGTTTTGTGGAACAATCTGCGGAAAACCCATGAGTGTCTGGCTCACAGAGGGTTTCTTATATGTTGTGCTGTTTCAGAACTGCCAAGGTTTCACTTTAAAGGGCAACTCCGCTCAATTCCGAAAAATTTAGGCTTCCATGTGATTCACATTCACAAAGTAATACTCAACAACTCTACGTCTTCGGATTCGCGAAATGTGGAATAATATTTGTGTAATCCTAATTTAAACATCAGCAGATACCGAAACCGAAACTTCGGTTGCGTCAGGCAACATTGGTCTCGGGTCGTCACAGTCATGGGCACCTCACGTCGAACCACGTGGTCTTGTGACGTTCGGAAGGGAGCGAGAAACAGGACACGCGACGCGGGCAGGTCCTTCTTTTTTTGGACGCGGGCAGGTCGCTTTGCATGGCGTGGACGGTGATGGCCCGGGGGAGAGGGGGAAGGGGAGAAGACGAAAGAGGAGAAGGGGAGCGGAGAAACAGACCGATAAGCGCGGAGGGCAGCGGTGATCACGTGAACGCCCGGTCAGCCAACACCGGGAGGAGAAACTCATGACGTCATCAATAAATTTCGCTCTGAAAAGTAAAAACAAGCAAAACGTGAGAATGAAGTATGCATGCCTCTGATGTAGTGGTGCAACGTTGGCCGCTCCAACTCCGTGGCATTGACTGCGCTGATGATTGCGCCTCGCGCCGCACGCTAGAGTTGGCAGATTTCGGCGACTTGGCTCGCTTGAAGGTTCGCTGGCCAGTTTATTAAATATATAGACGGAATTAGATCGTAATATTTGACATGGGGTCTTCCTATATGATACTGAAGAGGGCTACATAGTTTTCTAAATATCAAAAATAAATCGGAGTTGCCCTTTAAGGCCCTTCACACTCTTGCGACCGAGTACGACCGAGAGAGAGGAGATCTAACTTAAAACTTCTTAAAATTTCTAAGGACGAGAGAACACACTGGCATTCTGGTGCCATCTATGCAGTGACCCTGGAACTGCATTTCACAAGAGCGAAGGTTTTGCGGGATTTCCGAGGTCAAATGTGCGTAATACCTATAAGAACGGCTCGTTTATAACGTTGACAAAAGTTTTTCGAGCCAAGAAAGAAAGGGTAATGCGCGAGTGAAATACAAAATATGCCGGACCGCCAAGTTTCCACTGCTACCCAATAGATGGTGTCAGTGTGTCCTCTGGTTGTAAGAGGTTTTAAGGAACCCAGTTTTAAGAGGTCGTAAGAGTGTGAACGGGCCTTTAGAATGTCCCCCTCGTTGACCTCGTGATGGGCTGAAAAACGGAGTGCTCGTCTCGCAGGTTGTGGAGAACATGTCGGTGACCAAGACGACCAAGGCGAAGATGCTCAACGACAAGTCCCTCAAGCCCGTAGTCCAGCTCCTGAGCTGGGAAGGCCCAAGGCAGTGGAAGCCCGGCAAGTGGAACAAGTTTGCTCCCAGCGAGGAGCAGGAGGACGACGAAACACGGGCCGTACTGGTGAGGAAGCGAGTTCGGGACCGACAACGATTCTCGAAGCCGTTAGCTTGGCGGTGGCTGCAGTGTACCACAGTAATGCGTTAGAACTGGTCGTAAAGCAGTTCATGCAAGACGTGCGGTGGGGTGGGGGAAAGAGACAGGAGTGGAACGTTGCAAATCGTAATCGTTGACCTTGGTGGTCCTAAGCAGCGAAATAAATAAATTTGTCAAATTCGGGGGGGTGTTTTTGGGAGTTTATTTTTTGCCAAACATTTGGAGTTTAGCAGAGTTCTTTTTTGTCTGGTTCCAAATTCTCTGAAAATCACAGTTCTTCCTATTATAAATAAATAAATAAATAAATAAATCATATTCAGATGTAACAAATGCCAGATAAAGAAATAAAACGCGCTTGTATTAATTAATATTTCTTCATCTGGATTTGGCATTGGTGCCATTGCCATTGGCAATGCTAATTTCTCCTACCACAAAAGTTGCACACAAGTGTTGCTTCAATAAAAGTTGGTACCTTAAAATCAATAAACTCCTGGAGGTACTCGCTGGCAAGCCCATATTCATACCATCCTATCCCATCAATCTACCCCACGGCTGCGCAAAGTTGTGCAGTTAAAAAACAACTCCGCTTCATTTTTATTTTTGAAAATACATTGCAGTCCTCTTCAGTATCGCTTAGGGAGGCCACATGTCAAATATTGCAACCGAGTTCTGTTTGAATGTTTCCGACAAACTTTGAAATGTGCCAAGTTACCGAAATCGGCTGACTCTAGAGGGCGAATTGAGGGGCAACGAACAACATGATCAAGGCTACTGCATTGCCATTGCCAACATTGAGGTGTACATCATCACCACTGCCCCTTTGTGTTTGCTTTTACTACTCTGGGCAAGCGTGATGGGTGACGTCAGCATTGTTTCCCCTTGGAGGTCAGCGGTGTACATGTGATTGGCGTAACACGCCTGCACAGCGTGCTTTTTGGGAGCCATCTGGCCGTCCCGCTATTACCGCCGTTTCCCACATCACAACCACCGTCGTCTTCTCACCTTTTATAATTATTGTCTCTTGGAGTTTCGTTCACACTGCGTGTGCTGACTGAATCGGCAGTTGTGCAGACGTCTTAGAATATCATAGACACCAAAACATGGTGAAGAGTGCGGTGCAGACAACACTTGCGCCTGGCACACGCCCGCTCCAATCTCGCCTGTGGTCGCGCAGAGGATCACGTGACATTTCATACCTTGGTGATGGCCATGTTATTGGTGGCCCGAGGTCAATGTTGCCAGACGAAACCGAAGTTTGGGTCTAGATTTCTGCTCATGTTTAAAGTACGATTTGACAGTGTATACATTCAATTTTTCGCAAAGCGAATGATGTAGTAATGCCTTTATTAATGCTTTTTAATGTGAAAGCAGTCATTACCCTGAAATTTTTAGAGTTGAGCAGAGTTGCCCTTTAGGGATTGTGAGGGTGTGGGCTGTGCGTGCGCCGCCATGCACAGAACATAGGCGCTCGCGCACCACACACCGTGCTCGGCATGGAGTTCACGCCCTGCCCAGCAAGTGGCACATCAGGGCATTGTTGCTCATTGGGGACAATGCGATGGAACAGCAGAGCATACGCCAGGTCGACCAACGAGAGAGAAAAAGGAAGTTATGACTTTAACGGTTGGAAGATAGCTCATGTGGAGTGAATTTATATAGAATAAACCCCTAGACCCTAACAGGATGTAATAGAAAAATTTCAACTGCTCCTCTTCCCCATTTTATGCAATCTTTTTGGTCCATAACTCTCACTGTTACAAAAACACAACCTCTCCTTCCTCTGGAGTAGAAATTGTATGGCCCAAACTAGAAACCAAAACAGTGACTTTTGTTGTGACCCGAATGTGCAATGACCTGTTGTGCTGAATGAACTTCGACAAAATAAGCAGTAAGATCCCTTTTGACAATGGTTCGAGATTTGAAAGATAATTATAGTGGCCTTTTTCCAGGACTATTGACCCCGCACTGATCAAATTGTAAAATGCCGTCTTTTTTTGGAGGGGAGGGGGGGGGGGGGGGGGCATTGTCACATTTGAATTTGGAGTCTATCGGATAAATCTGAATTGACCAAAAGTTTACTGGCGGGTTTTTTTCGGAGTTTTTCGGTATCCAAAAACTTGAAACTTTAGTTATAAGGTTGAAAACTTTGTACACATTTTTTCAGCTTTTTGCTATATACTTACTTACTTTCAAGTTACTCCATCTAGCTTTCATGGTTGACGCATTACTTACTTTCAAGTTACTCCATCTAGCTTTCATGGTTGACGCATACAAGCTTAATTTTTATCACTGAAGCCACTCTTGGCCTGCTTCTTTCTAAATGCTTGCTTCTCACTCGTTTCTTTCACCTTTATTGTTTTTCAGCAAGGATCAAAAGAAGATGCTGAGATGGTGCAGAGCACAGCATACGACTTTCTGGTCACCTTGTGTTGCTCTCACAAGCACGGGATTCTTTTTCGTGACAGCTCCTTTGGCCAGTCTAGCAAGTATGTTTACTTTCCAGTGATCTATTTTTCTAACTTGCTGCCTAGATTTGATATTGATCATGCTCTGTTTCAGCATAATATGGCCGAGTACTAAAGCTAATAATGACCCCTGTAAGCCATTTAGAGCAATGGAGCGAAACACTCTACAGCTCTCCACAGAGGGGTGTACTTCAGTAGAACATTGCCACTTGTCTCTCTCCAACACCCTGATTAGCTGGCTGGGGTCGTAACTTTCACCACTTGCCAGGTTATGCTCATGTGCTGCGTAGAATTCTCCTAGCATTTTAGCTGATGATCTCCTATGGACATTTAGGTTGGCATTTGCAAGACGGTACAGTAGAGACTCATTAATTCAAGCTCTAGGAATGTACGAATGTTGTTTGAATTATCAGAAGTTTGAATTGTCAGAAATTCATTTAAATATGAAAGATAAAATTGTGATTTGTTATATGGATGGCTATACATACGAAGCAGATATTAGACGATTTCCTCTACACAGGCCTGCTTACCACTAGCTGGTATATCACACATGAAACATTGGTGAAATATATGAGATCACTTCATTATTTCTTTAAAAATGTTGTCTATTGTGGATTGTTTAAACAGCAAAATTTTGTTCCCCATCCAGTAAAAAAGTTGTCTAGCCTCACTGAGCGTGCCTCTTATCGAGCACCAATGCACTGTGGAGAAGCAACGCCCATGGGAGTGAGCTCTGCAGGTGTTGCTTCTCCTCGGTGCGCTGGTGCTTGCTAAGAAGCTCGCTCAATGGGCCCATGAGAACAAAAAATATGAATTATTCGAAAACCGCGTTAGAATTCAGCGGCCTATAAATAGGGTTCCGCGTTTTCGGTTTCTATTTTTTCAAAATCGGCATACTTTTTTCGGTGTTTATTTTAAAATTCAATTTTCGGTTTTTTTCGGTGTATATTTATGCTCCCAAACGTTTATCGCCTTCTTTCGGTGAATTAAAATAAACACTAACGGACACCCGATAAGATGATCCTTGTAGCTTTGATATTTATGATCACTCAAAGAATAACTGCACAGATACATTGAAAAAGATATCGAAACTTTATTTTGCAAATGTGTGCAACTGTAAAAGAAACAACAAAAAAAGACGGAAGTACAAACAAGTCAGATATAAACCCTATGCCCAAAAAACGTGGAGCTTTACCTTCTGTACATCGGGATTACGTGATCTTATTAGAGTATACATACATGTACTTTCCCAGGTTTTCTTCGTTGATCCGCACTTTTCCTGTTTTTTTAATATGACCCTGAGCTTCGAGAATGCCCTCTCGACGCTAACACTGGACACTGGCGGGCTGAGGAGATGAAGCGCTGCCTGAGCGAAAATCGGCCAATCAACCAGTTGTGACCGCCAAAAGAGACACGGTGCGACGTTTTGAAGCACAACACAACATGCAGAGCTTGCATCCAGTCTTCCTTACAACGAGTTTGAAAACAGGCTCGTACATGGCGAAGTCATGGGGCATTTCGGACTTCACGTTCCGATCGATGATGCGCACATTAAACCATAACGTCATGATGGCATCTGTGTATCCCATACATTCGGACACGTTTCGGTCGGCACTGTCGTTCCACTTTTTCACCACGGCTCTGCGGTACGACTGGAACGTCAAAGTGACATTTTCCGGTTAAAACTGAATTTTAGAAAATGAATTCGACGTACTTTTATCGGTTTTTATTAGTTTAAGTCGAAAATGGCGAATCTACACACTGACCTTTTTCGGTTAAAACCGAATTTCTGAAAATGATTTCGGCATACTTTTATCGGTTCTTATCGGTTTAAACCGAAAACTCCGAACCCTACCTATAAATATACTGAAATCATAGCGGGAGAACCAAAATTTTGAAATTTGTTTGAATTAACGAGAACTACGAAATATCTGAGTTTGAATTGTGAGCCTACTATTCCCTAGCTAGATTGAAAGCATTTTTTTGTAGCATAGTAAAGTTGAAGTGAGTCTCTGAATCTGGTATGCATATAGTATGTCTTTTTTTATAAAGCAGCTAAGGTTTTTATTCCCTTGGTGCAGTTGGTTTCGTTCCAAACTGTACCTTGTGCACCGCTAATACCATATTTACCGGACTATAGGTGGCACCCTTGTATAAATCACACTTCCATATATTGAGCAGTTTTCGCAGAAAAGTTTTGTAAGTCACACTTTTGTATGAGTCGCACCTCTTTGCATGGTAAGCGCGATGAGTTTTTTTCATTTTAAGTCCATCGGTATAGCGAAATTGGGGTTTTGAACAATCAGTACACATGCCCAACACATCAACTATGCCAATTCCATCAGCCAGTTACAATCTCAAGCAATAGCAATTATGGACTGGTTAAAAAAAAAACCTTCTTGATATTAATGTTAAAAAGACAAAACTAGTATGATTCTATAATCCACACAAAACAGTCACTCTCAACATTCCATTAGTTCTGCACTCTTCTTTCTGCCATCAATGCAACTGCATTCCGGTTGAGTATACAGATAGCGTGAAGTATCTAGGCATATATTTTGATAGTGGTCTGAAATGGAATGTTCATTTTACATACATCTGTAAAAAACTGAGAAGCATTAGTTGCCTATTATATAATACAAAACATTTTTTTCCTGTATCTGTTCGAAGAATGATTGCCCATTCGCTTGCATATGGCGTCCTTCGCTACTCGATCACCGTTTTCGGCCATTCTTCTGACTGTTGGAAAACCAAGGTGGACTGCATCCTGAAAGCTATCCTGAAAAGTATCTCTTATAAACTTAAAATACCTGACAACGCTAATCTTTTCGAATATTTGCAACTACCCAACTTCCAAACCCTTTATGTTCATTCAGTGGTACTGCGGCACTTTTGGAATTCTGATTTCAAAATCTTAAGCCCACCCACACGTGATCTTCGACATACTCACCCTTTTCACATACCTTTTTCCCGCACTCGTTATGGCGAAAGTACGCGTGCGTTTTATGTGCCATATATTTTTTCTCACTTACCACCTGAACTTCTAAACCAAACATCCCTGGGCAAAGTTAAAAAGATGCTTAGAGGTATTTCGTTTTAATAGCAAACTATTGGTTTCGTTTTAGTAGCGAACTATCGCAGACTCATTTTGCTAAGTAATGTGTGCCAATATTAAGCGCCTGCCTTTCTGGAACATTAATGAATATTCTGCTGTTTGTAGGACATTTTAACAGAAGACCTTCCGTGATTTTTTTTGTGCATATTTTCCAGTTTTGTGGTATTTCATTTTGCTTTGACATTGCTATTGATTTCCGTTTTAGTCTGTACATAATATCTTTTCGCGTAAAATCTTCAAGTTATAACTAGAGTGACTAACTTCATGGAATTATGTTTACATTTTTTTGTCTGTTTTATATTATTGTATTTTGAGTAACTACCCATGCTACATATCGTTTTTTTTTTATTGGAGGATGGCGTCGCACAAGCCACGTGTTGGCTTTGATGCATCCGCAATACCAAACTTTTCTATGATGGTAGCAATAAACACTTATTATTATTATTAGCTGGTTCACACGTACCATTTGATGCGCTACAACTTTGACGTTTTGACTCGCGAGAAAGGCCCATAGCACGGCATTGTCTGGCGAGGACAATTGAGTGTGTCGCAGCAGAAAGACCTAAATGCTCAAAATGAGAAGGTAGTCGGCTTTATTCAAGTGTACACATGCCGTGTGAACGGAAGTTTAACGCGCCAGACACCCGTGAATTAAGCTTTGGACCACTTGGCCTTGCCTAGGTCAAGTCGCAGCGATGACGTGAGCATCAACACGCAGGCAGATAGACAAATCTTGACACGCTTCTTTCGGTACCGCTAAAAGATTGGCGAGCCGCAATTCTTCCTTTTACATGTAGCAACATGGTTGGAGCATGGCAGATAAAAACTGCTCATCAAACAGGAACTAAGAAAGACACGAGAAAATTTTATGTAAATGTGTTGCTTGTGTGTTTATACAGCCTTGATGCTAGTACGCCTCAACGGGTGACCTGTCTCTTAGCTATAGATGAGAAATTTAGGCAGTGCAGTACATCCGCTAACTTGCAGTGTTTAACGTGCACCACGCAGTAGTGATTACACGGATGCTTGCCGGTACGAAAATTATCCAGATTGAAACGGGCAGGGGGTGGGGATCGAACCCAAGAGGTTCTGCAGTGCAAGCTTTCGCTCCACGCTCCGAGCTGAGACGCGTTAGCCCACTTGGCCACCGATCCCTCCATTTTCTGTAATGCGTGTATACCAGCCCACTTACCTTTCAGTGTTACTGGTCTGATGCAAAAAAATATGGAACCATGGCTGAATTAGGCAACGTCAATCTCATGCTGTAAAAGCTTTATTCTCACTCTCTTGCCTACCCACATAGAGCCGTCTCGGGGAAACCGTATAATTTCTCGCTTTCTGAGTCAGTTCTGAAAAGTGTAGAAGGGTGTGGCAACTGCAGTGCCTCCTGGAAGGGGCAACACCATTTATGGCTACATAGTTACGGGGCTCTACGAAAGGTGGCGTGTGGTACGTTAAAAAATGACCTCTCACCGTGGGTAAAAAAAACACAAAAAACACGCATGTAAGTCGGATCATTGTATAAAACATACCAAAAATTGTTTGAAAAAAAAAACCAGGGTTTGTACACCTGAAAATACGGTAATTGCTTTGTTTGCCCTTTTCCTTCTAGAAATGTCAACCATGTGATCACAGCAGTTCTTCAGTCCATGGAGCAACCCTACGAGCATCCACGATGCTCTGCATTCTTGGTAGAAGTGCTCAAGGCGTCACCTGACCAGATTGCGCATTACCTCCACTCCTGGCAGTCCATCATGGCTTACTCTACAGTTGCAACAACAGAAAAGCTCATCATGCTTCTCACTCAAGTAAGCAAACACTCGGCCTTCTTTGGTTTAGAAATTGCTTATTAGTAACTATAACCTGGGTTTATGTGAGAAAGTAGTAAGACAGGACTTTGCTAGCAATGAACTGGTATTTCGAATAGTTTTAAACTGCTGTTGATGTGGATATATTCCTTTTACTATTCAAAGGTCCTGAAACATTTCTTAGAGGGGTTTATGGAGGGTTTGTTTTTTTCTTGTTTAATGTATTACTTGTACAATGCAAGCATTTTGCTTTGTGCCAGCAACAACAAGGATGTTTTTACTGGTAGTAAGCTCCCTTTTATAAGTATGCATTAACACACTGTCGCTTGCACTGTCATCCAATACAACCAAGGGTACGGCTAAACTTAAAGACAACTTTTCAAAGAAATTCCGGGAATGGAAAGAATATGCATGCATAGCTTTTACTGCATTGCCGTAGAAAATTGATAGTGGATAGATTTCGTAGATGTCGATTGCTCTGGGATTTTTCCAAACATATTTTGCATGCCATTTTCTTTTGACCCTTGTTAGGCAAAGGGGACAGAATTCTCAGGTACCATATTTACGTCTCTCATTCTCATCTTAAGCTTTTAGGTAGCCTCCTGCATTTTATGGGGAAAAGCTCTGGAGACCGAATTGTATTTGTACTTACGAGATTCTTTAAAAACAAGAAAAAAATCAATTTGTAGGTGGCAGAGGTGCAAGACGTGGAAACTTCCTTGCATGCGACGGCTGAGAAATCTCCCGAAAAGATCTGCAAGCTTGCATCCTGTCTGTCCCTCTTGAGTCTTGTGCGGTCTGCTGGGGAAGCCCATAGCTTACAGGTGAGTAGCTCCATTTGTTTAGTCATCCTTCACTATTCACTCATTTGTGGCCTACACAAAAATTGTATGAGTGTAAATTGAACGAGGCACATTTGATTTGGCACATTTTGACGGACGAAAGCAGCACACAGATACAGGCACCTACTGCACTTTTTACATTTTCTGGGATGAATGAAAGCAAGTGTTCAGTATGGGAGGAGAGGTCAGTGGTTCTCGAGTGGCTGTCTTTCATTGTTCTGCCTTGAAGACGGAAGAGCCGTGGGTTGAGCGAAGAATTACCATATTTTCTCGCATGATGAACACACTTTTTTTTCCGAAAAATTGACACATATTTGGGAGAGGGGGGGGGGGGGGGGGGGCGTTCATTACAAGGGGTAAAATTTTTGCATTTACACACTTCGTGCAAATGTCATATTAGGTTCCAATATGACACAGCAAGGTGCTCTGGCACGTCTCCAGTGATGGGGGCGCACCCACGGCTGGTCGGGGGCGCGCCCCCATCATAAATTGCAAACCTTTTTAGGGCGCTTTCCAAGTGCCTTTTGCCGAAGGAAAAGTGCTCTACGAAGCTCACTCAGCACGAAAAGCAACACGACTGAAAAGCAACACGACCGTTCTTAGGCCATATATATTGCTAGTATATCCGGCGGGCACGCTCAGGTATAATCCGCTACTACGCATATAAAAACTCGTACGAAGTCCAACCCCCAACCCCCGACCGCCGAAGCCCGCTTGCATGGATCAAGTTTCGCTCACGGAGACAAGAACTCGTACGATGTCCAAACTAATCGCCAACTGCCGACCCCCGAAGCCCGCTCGCACCGATCAAGTTTCGTTCACGGAGAGGCAACCAGACACTCTCAGCCTACAGCGCAGCGTGCACCTTGCTGTGTCTTTCTGTTGCGGATTAAATAAACGCATTTATCCGGAGTATGTGAAATTAGGCCTAACCACTTTCATGATTTCGCTGTCTGAAAGCGGACCACAGACGACGGCTTGTTTCTTGACATCAGTGCATCCGATAGGCGAAGAGTGTCCGGGGCTCGGCAATTCCTCGACCCAAGTTTCGTCAAATGTGCGCAACACTCGGTTTCACGGTTGATCACTTCCGTAACTACCGCAACTACGCACTTGCGGCCATTACGTGAGCAGCCTGGCCTGGCCTGGCTTGACTTGGCCTGATCGCTTGGTGGCAAAAGAAAACTGGCTTGGTGGCTTGCTAAATTGGACGCAATTTGAGACTCGCAGATCCGAAAATTGGAGGTGCGTCGATTACGGGAGGGGAAAAAAAAAAAGTCAAAATATTAATGCCCGTTGTGGAGGGTGCATTCATTATGCGAGTAAATACGGTAGTGAATTGGACTGCTGGACGAATATCGCGTTTTCTCTCTCTCTCTCTATCGCGAGGTTTGTCCCGCTATAAAATTGAGACAACAAAAAAAAAAAAAAAAAAAAAGCAATCGAAATGTTGAAAGCGACGATCGGATGAAGACAAGACCGCGACTGCACGGTCGAATGAACCCTTTCATACTTTACTTAACCTTATAAATGACAGTAGAATATTGCGTGCCTACACTCCTGGCGCGTCGCTGCATTCCTTAGTTCCACAGATACCCGACAAATGGCGCCAAAGTGTTTTCTTACCGTAAGGAACCACAAGAGGTTTTAGCAAGCTCGGTTGTAAGCAGTGTAAACCGGCCTTTACTGCGTAACCTGTCTTTGACAGATTGAAAAAGGTTCTCTTTCTGGGAGACAGGGAGAAGACGTACAAGTTCCCCTGCGACTGGCGCACATCCGTTTCGTCGCCGCCTCTCTCCGGAAAATGAAAGCAGCGCTCGACTTTGCTAGGGATTCAAGGTCGACTGCGAGTGGGGCCTCAAAGGAAAAGCTGGAGCTCTTGCTTTGCCAGGAAGTCTGGAAGGCAAGTAATGTGAAACATTGATTCCTTTTTCAGACTGCTATGCGGCAATACATCTTACTGATCGTGCCTACCCTGCTGTCTGCTTTCCTTCCAGAATGTTCCTCCAACCGACCAGCTTGTATCCCATTATCGGGAAACGGTGGATGCGGCGGTTCAGGACTCTGCTGGTCTGAAAGGGTCAGGTAAGAAGCAGACGTCTGTGGACGGTCTAGAGGTTTCAAGGACTATGAGATTTACCTAAGGCCAAGAGATGATAGAATTGAGAAGCAACGTTTTATATTAATGTTACAGTCGGGTGGCGGATGCAGATATTTTCAGAGAAGGGGGGGGCCTATGTGTGCGTGGAAAGTAGTCTCAAAGTGGCAACAAACTATGGTGAAGAGGTGGTGTGTCATGTTGTTGAGTGTTGCGACCTTGGTGGTTAATTGTCGAAGGCCTGGCAAAAAATATGCTGCTGAAGTTTGGTGGGCTGTGAAACTTAAGTGCAGCCTATGACAGAACAAGTGTGTGCTGTGTCCACCTCCGCCACTCTGCTACCTTAATTGCGGCAGGCAAAAGCATGGCGCTCCTGCGATATCATAAATTTACCGCAATCGAAGATGCGATAAAAGCAACCTATCGGAGATGTGTTCCAAGCACCGTAACCTTTCTGAAATTACGCCTAGAATTTGTGAGAGAATAAATAGATGCACATTCATCAATACCCAGTGGTAGAGGCGACGGGACCATTCGATAGTGGATCTGTTTGGTCCGTAGACGTACTCAGAGTGGAAGCATAGCTCCGAGAACCAGAGAAGAGCAGAGGCATAGTCTCGACACTCGAGAAGCAGTCATTGTTGGCGCACGGGAGCAAGAATCGGACGAAACGCTTCAAGGCTGACATGCATTTTGCAGCGGTCGTGAGAGGCTCCTACTGCCAGAGCATCCTGGACGTGCTTTCCCTCTACAAGGAGTTTGCAACTGGAGACCTCGGCGATTTTGACTGGAAGCTGGTGGCCGGTATTGGGGGAATCCAGACGGACTCCCTCAACTCGGCCGTTGGAGAATGCCTGCAGCTCCGGGCCATCGGCCTGGTTCTGGATGCCTGTTCCAGCACGGAGGCTCTTCTGTTTGGTGTAGGTCTCAGGTTACCTTTGTTTTCTCACGTGGTTTCTTAATCTTTTTAGGGTTTATTTTTCTGTATTCCGGGATGTCCGTATTTACAGTCACAAGCTGAGCTAGTTGGTACATGTTATGTATAACTGTCAGGTAGAACGTAAACACAAACACACCAAGGGCAGAAAGGTATTGAAAGGGACAAGCACACCACTGTTTGTCCTTTCTATCCACAAAGGATAGGAAGGGACAGACAGCGGTGTGTTTGTCCCTTTCTATCCTTTGTCTGTTTGTGTTTATGTTCTAGGTGACACTTATTCCTAAGATGTTTTTATGTTGGTTTATTTTATTCACTTGGATTTGGTTTCTATATTTAGAGCCGGACAAAAATTGCCACTTATTGTAGCTTCTGTTGAAGGAAACAGGACATCGGCGTGGGATTCTTCACCCTTCAGGGAATGTGCATGGGGCTCGAATATTTGAAAAACATCCTGGTACCGGTAACAGAAAGAAACGGGACAATGAGCGGGGTTCCTGAAAAGACAAGCAGCCTCGCAGACAGTTTTCAGTGAAGCTGCGTTTCGGATTAACTCAAAATAAACCCGTAGATAGAGATTTTTTTTTTTCTTCTGTGTAACATGGGTGTTTTCATTCTAAAACAATTTCAATTTTTTATTTTTTTTTTATTTTTAATAATATGGATTTGGAAGTTAGCTTCTGGGGTTTATTGGTATTTACCGAAAATGCAGAACCTTACTTATGGCACTTATCTGTTGCTTCGTGTCTTGCTTTTGGTAGTTGGTCAGAAAGGTAGAGAAACTTTGGATTTTGGGATATGTTGGTTGGAAGTTGAAAGTAAAGGTTGGGCAGAGATACAGCTGAAGCTCGATTTAACAAAGTCGGAGGGACCCACTAATTATTTCGTTAAATCGGGAACTTCGTAAAATCGAGAAAGTCATTTTTCGGGCATAGGCTGCGTGGGGAATCCGAATTTGTTAGTTAATTTGGGAAATTTGTAAAATCAGGTTTCGTAAAATCGAGGTTCAACTGTACTTTAAATGCATTCGGAAATACAAATACATACTGGGATACATGGCGAAAACAACTAAAATACTAACACTGAAATACATTTTTCTTAAAAGAAAATAGAAAACTATTCACATATTCATTGGCAGCAGGTCTTGTGTATACTACTATTAAAAGTGACAGTTTCAGAAGTGTTCAACAATGATGCAGCGTAGTATACTGTTATGAACTGTTTGTTTCTTATTTTATTTCAATTGTACGAGGGGCGTTCATAAAGTTTGTTTTATTGTCACGAAGGAATAGAGATTGAGCGATCAAACTCGAGTAGGAGTTGAGACTTTCTCTACATGTTTGCCACCAAAAGTTACCCACTTTTTCTAGCAATGCACCACATGCCGGAGGCTGTTGTTGTAGAACTCCTCGTCTTGAGTGTTCAGGAACCGCTCGACTTCAGCAATCACTTGGTCGCCGTCCTTGAAATACTTTCCTCTTACTTGGCCCAACTGGAAGCGTCTGCACCATTTAACCAAAGTGTCATAAACTGGGGTGTTGTCACCAAACAACGCTTCCAGATTGGAATGAATATGTTTGGCACTGCCTCCCTTCAAATGAAAAAAAAACAAAAAACGGATCACTACATGTGTTTGGCACCGACGGGCGATGCCATTTTTGTTTTGACTCCCTGGTGGCGTTCCGAGCTACTATAGCATGCAATGTTCATACTGTGCGGAAACTAAAGGGACGCGCGCTCATGTTGATGCCTGTTTTGTTCTGTTTTATTTAATTTTTTGTGCCGATAATACAAACTTTATGAACGCCCCTCATAAGTATGTCTTAAGCTTTCTTGTTGGAGAGCTCATACAGGCAAGAGGTTGCTCAAGCAAAAGCTGCTACTTCAAACAGGGAACGCTTTATGATTGTTTATTTCTGAGCAGTCTCAACCCTGTGTGATAAAGATTCCCTTTGTTTCCATGCAGTGTGAAGAACAATCTCCCTTCTCTCACCTCCTGGAGCTGTTCTCACGTTGCAGGGAAGATGCCGTTGGGAGATCGGCGGCTTCGCTCATCACCAACGTAAGGAATGCGGCTGTTTGCTTACAACTATGACTTTTAGTAACAGCTCTGCTAAACGTGATCGAACACAACCCTGGCCTTATGAGGTCTGTTGTCGTGATGCGAAAGTAACCATTTTTTTATAAATATTAGACAGTTTGCTTTTTGCAGCAAAGCTGCCTATAGCCAGGTTCTGAAAATATTTTCGTGCGCGGGCAGAGCATTTAGATAGAGAATTTGCGGCACGGCCGCCGCTCCTCACACCACTTGTGTGCCGGCGGCGCTCCTTCGCTTTTGATTGAAGGGGTTGAAAAGAATTATAAAACGTCATAGTCTACCCACCAATCGCAGGGCCTCGTTCTCTTCTGATGTAGTCATTGCCCTAGCGATGTTATCAGCAGTTGCACCTTGGACTCGTTATGAGCAGGACGTGCATAGTTCGCTCTGAGGAAGGAGAACATGCCTTCAAAGAGCGACAACGAGAGCAAAAGTTTAAATGGTCGTGAAAGCGAAGAGAAGCTGCAGCCGCCGAACGCGCAGCGGGCGACGGGTCGGGACTGTTGAGTGGTTGCTCTCTGATCGACGTAGAACAACAGCGTGCCCGTCCACAGCATCGGCGGCAGCAGAAGCGTGAGTGTGATCGACGTCTTTGAGCAGAAACGACCAACGAGGAGTGGATTGCCAACGCCAAGCATATGCGATGCGCTCGTCAGGACCCCGAGTACCGCGAGTTGGAAAGCGCAAGGCGACGACGTGGCTACAATCCGTCAGAATGTTTCCCCGGGATGACAACGAGGCTCGAGCGGGAGTTTGTGGCAAACTTGTTTAGTGCCATGTGTGCGGTGCATGATTGACTGTGGTTTTCCGGAGACTTGACCACCATCGGCGGCGTGCGTGATCCATATCAGCGTGATTGTGTAATGGTGGCGTTGCAGCAGCGGGTGCAATCGGAGTGTGTCGACCAAGTGCATGTCTGCGGAACATGTCGCAATGCTTTGGTAAAAGTTGCTGTGCCTCGGTTCGCCACCATCAACGGCTACGTCGGGGAGGAAAGACTAGCGTCCGCGCAATGTAGTTGTCAATATAGTCATCCCAATACAGCTTTGCTGGTTATCCTTCTTTACGGAGTGGAGGGTCACTAAGTTTTTTTATAATACAGTTGAACATAGAGAAGAATTCCAATGGCTGCATGTGTAACCTATAGCAAGGTAATGATGAAAAAGGGTAGCTACAGTAAAATGAGTGTAGCTGTTTTATGTTTAAAAACTTGGGGACTGAAGATTGTTGCTGGTGGTTGCCAAATTTTGTATTCTCTGCTTTAGTGAATCAGATCTGTTCCTCACCATTGGCACAGTCTGAATCCGGTTCTGCGTACATGAGATCCCTTTTTGTGAAACCGGAGCCTCATGGGATGCCATCTGGACTAACCAAAACCTCTTCTGTTCATGGAACTTTGTCCCACCATGACGAATCTAGTTCGGCGATTAGGCATGAGGCTAATGCGGAGGTTCTAATTGGCACATTGATTGGACAGAAGTCCCAGATGAGCGTTGACACACCCAATCGTGGGATGGTGTTCATTTTTGAGCGCACAAGTCTTTCTAGTCTAGGTGGTGCTGTCTCACCAGGCTGTGTGACGCATCCCTTCCAGCTCTTGTGCAAGGTTAACGTCCTGGAAGATTACGGCTGGGAGGTGGGCATCTGGATGGAGAAGCTGAGGCAGGGCCAGCACCTCGAGCTGGTGCGGTTGCTCCTGGAGTCAGTGAAGCTGGTGCTCAGCGATCCTAACGGACTCAACAGCGAGGTCATGCGGTGCGTCACGGCTCACGGAGCGGCCGGAGGCGTGGCCGGGCTCAACCTTCGGGGTAAGCGCCTCTGGCTTTTTATGGCGGCAGCTTTTAGTGCCCCCTTTCCAGCAAAATCCAGCGGTGTCCGTACGCAAAGCCCCACATGATTGTGGGACGTGCGCTGCACCATTGTTGCCGCTCTGTCACTTTTTCCCCCATCGCCATTGCTTCTCGCACAACTGCATCATCTGAGGCAAGACATGCTATCACTCCTCTTTTCTCTCTTCCCTCCCCTACTTAGTGTCATAATCTCGCCAAAGGCACATCTTGTAGAAGCCCATCCTGTAAAAGCATTCCGCTAGGCACACATCCCCTAAAGCCCATCTCCTACAACTATTTTATAAAAGCAAAGCTCCCAAGGCAAATATTCTAAAGCACATTGACTAACAACAAATGTTCTAAAACATGTCTCTCAATAATGCAACAGCTGCTGCTATCAATTGCAGCACACTTTGTAGGGTCATTTGCATTTTTCTAAAATGGTAAACTCCATTTCACTTTGTGATGGATCACAGCAGATGCTGCGAACGTTGGAGCCAATCCAATGCAGTATGAATGTAACACAACCTTTGGGAGAACCACAGTGATGCACGCAACACGTAATCACATGGTATGTTCACAGCGCTGGATTTACCGGGAATGCGCGTAGCATCTGCTGCTCTCCATTGCAAGGTGAAACAGGATCTTCATCAAACTTTGACATAATGTAATCTTGGAAGTTATTGCATTGTGAGCAGACAAAAATGACTAATATATGTGTGTAAAGGCTTTGCGAATGCTTTTCAAGTATCCCTGGAGCATGTGCCATATGTGTCATGCAATAACCATGTCAATTAAAGAAAAAAAAAAAAAAATGAAAGCCGTTTACAACTCCCTGTAACGCCGAATTAAAGCGCAGCTTTTGAGGAGTAGGAGGAGGGGAAGGTGCGGAAAGGGGGCAATGGCCTTCCTCCTCTCCAGCTCGCCCCCATTTAGGGGAAATTTTTCTGCTAGCGGGGAAAATTTTCCGCTACATTTAGCGGGGAAATTTACCCATCATGCACTGCGCGGTTACGCCGACGCCGACGTTGCTCAAGCCGGAAACGGGCGCCTAAGAGCTGCGCTCTAATATGTGAACTGTAAGCATATGATAGCACATCTAGTGTACTACATCGGCTTAGAGCCTATGGTAGCACATACCATATTTTATTCTAAGGAATAGAATATGGCATAAAATTAAGTTGCTACTATGACACATAATGTAGAATAGTAACTGCTGGGCATAACTGCATTAGAATCACATAAAGCGTCACATATTTGCTTATTTCGCGTGTTTGTTTCAGACATACTGCAACAAACTGAAGAAACGCTGGGTGACCTGAAAGAAATGGAGTCATTCCAGGCTGGGTAGGTTTTGCTTCCTGCCGCTGTAAAGTTTAATTTCATGACCAAAACAGAATATGGCAGTTCATTGTTGAAAGTATTAGTGAAGCTAGGAATGCCGCATACATGGAAGGAGTTAGAATGTTGTCAGAAGTTGTGGGCTATAAAAGATGTTATGAAAACAAAAGTGATAAAGGACAGCAAATCCCTCATAGCCAAGGCACTTGCAGTATGTTCGCAGCTTGATAAAATAATTCAGGCAACTTGGTCTTGAATGGATTCCAGGCTAATAGAGGGGTAGACTTGGTGGTAAGACTAAATGGCAACTTCATATTCTATCTTAGGGCAGACAAACATTTCGTAAGCCAGCTGTCATAGAACAGGAGGTGGTCTGTATGTAGGCAGTGTTAAATATGACCCGGTGTTCTGAAAATATTGGCAGTTCTTTATCTAATACAGTTAGTCCAGGACAGATGAGAGGTATTTTCATGTGTGGTGCTGACTGGAATGGGAGATTTGCTTTGTGCCTTGTTCTGAACAGGTGCAAATATTTAACAGTTATATATTTAATTGGTCTTTTGACTTGCATTGGAAAGGTATATTTTATTTATTACATAATACATAATACATATTTGAGAATTTGGGATATTTTATAATAGTGTCACATTACTTTTTCTTCGACTTATTCTAGCTCCCGTAAGCATACTTTCCCATGTGGCACGGGTGCACTGTGGCTGGGCACACCTACAGCAGTGTTGCAGTTGCTTCTTTTCCACATTGCAACAATGCAATGGCGTAGCCGGGAATTTTTTTCAGAAGATGGCGGCTGAGGTGCTTGGATGTCCATGCCTTGTGACTTGGGTTGGGAGGAGGGGGCGGGCGTCAAAATGCACATGTAAATTCTAACGTCGGCTGGATTTTGGGAAGGGGGGAACTGAAGTTCCGTAAGCCTCCCCCCCCCCCTCTATTTCTCCTTTTGGCTATGCCATTGCAACAATGCATTTAGGAAAAAACGCCTTTTGGGCAGGTCTTGTAGATATTGTAACTTTAGATTTGTGTCTGTTACACTAGAAAACAATTTTATTTTTGTTTACAAACAACCAAAAATCGGTTCTTGCTTAGGATTCACACACCGTATTTACTTGAGTAATAGCTGCACTGTTTATGAAGAAAACCTGAGGGTTTGCTTTTCCGTGAAGCATGCGGATTGCCAATCATTGTGATCGACAGCATGATTCCAGCTGTTTACAGGACAGAAATAACGTCTTTGCGCGACGATACAGTCTGTGAAGATTGCATTTGTATGGAGACTCATGTTCTCGATCTAGTTATTCGCTATGTTATTTATGCGCGACGCGATGATTGGCTGTATGTGTGCTTTGCGGGAAAGTAGACACAAGGGCCTTGTTCATAAGTAGTGCGCCTATTACTCGAGTAAATAAGGTATAAGATTTTGCTGATGTCTTCTATTTTGTGAAATATTTGCAACTGAATTGTTGATTTTGTATTGCAATATTGTATATATCATGATATAAATGACTTATTTTTCTCGGGCTCCATATTTCGCGATTTAGGCCAAAGATGAAGTTTTGGAATAATTTGCGGGTTCTAATTTTCGCGGCGCCGGGGGATCTCAATATAGATCCCAATGTGTTTTTACATTTTACCGGAATTGTTCGCGGGACCTATTTTTCGCCAAATGTAGACGATCTGCGAAATTCACGAAAATGAGTTTTTCACGAAAATTAAGTCGTTTACAGTAATCTAAGTAACTTATTTTTAGCTTTCCTATTTTGTCAGAACTACTATTAGGCCCAATATTAACAATTTCTATTTAATGTTAAAATATTTATTTGGATTAGAAATTACTTGAATAGTGGGACAATTTTGTTTACCGTAATATCCCGAGTCATCGCCCATCCCCGAGCCATCGCCCACCCCATTTTTTGGGCCAATATCGATTTCCGAAAAAACACCAAGTCATCGCCCACCCCTTCAAATACCCCAGCGCGGACTCTGTGATCCGCGAACACTCATCCTACCCGAATGACGCGGCCGCGGACCTTACAGTTGGAGGACGTCCGTGACAAAGTAAAACGAAGGAGGGGAAGACACTTCTTTTTGTTTACGCATTTCCTCCGTGAGCGACCCCGAAGTGGTCGTGTATCCGTGCGAAAAGAAAACGATGGAGATAACAAAATAGGAGTCTGTTAACGTAACCGCGGAGTGTTAGGTCAAAGTCTGTCTCCGCCGAAGTAAGGTCACCGCGAACCCGCTCCTTCTTCCCGCCCGTCGCGACCGCGGTTTGTGCAATATTTTAGGCACAACCAAAGCGTAAATAAAGCTTTGCTGGAACGTCCTACACAGACGTTTGCAGAGAGTCCCAACCGTGCATTGATAGCCCGCCGTGCACGGACGCACATATGTACGCACCAAACAAGAAAGTTGCGCAAGAGCTTGCAATTGACAAGGCGCCCGACTTGGCCCGACGCCAAAGTATTTGCCAACGCTACCGCCGGCTTTCCCGCTTTCCCAGCATTGCTCTTGGTCGCTTCTTTGGTCCGCTCGCTCGCTCGTTGCGCCTGGTCGGTTTTTCTATTTTCTTGTAGACTTTTCTTTCTTTTTTTTTACTAACTAGGAGAACATAATGGTGACATTCTTTCACGGAACAAACGTTCGTGCTATATGCAGATGGGCGGTGTTTCTAGCGCGTATGCAAGCAACGGACTTCGCTATAGTAAAATATTCTTTCGTGAGCATTTTTTTCTATAAAACAATGAAACTAAGTCGAGTTTTGAGTTTGATGTATCTCTTGTGCATCAGCGCTAGATACGCAGAGAAAAATAGGCGGTTTTTCCGTTTTTTTCAAGTGTTTGTGCTCACCCACCGAGACATGGCCCACCCCACTTTTTTAACGAATTTCAGGCGGTTGGGGGGTGGGCGATGACTCGGGATATTACGGTATATTTGATTTTATCCCAAAGGAACCATCTTCACATCCCTAGTGTGTTGTAATTTTCGTTTTCATTTTTTTGCAGGAAGTACTTCAGCCCACTGCTGCCAGCTGTGCTCAAAGCACTTGGTGACTCATCAGATCCCCGTAAGTGTATTTCTTGAACTTTTGAACGTGTAGAATTATTGTCCTCCATTTGTGGCTTTAAAAGCCTATTACATCAAAGTGCTCCCTCTGTGAATGTGTCCAGGCATTTTGCATGCATGTATTGTAGAAGGTTTCATTGTATCAATATGGGGATAAGTAGGTAGTTGACACTATTTTAGCACCTCTTTATTATACGAACAAGCACCACTATACCATTTACAAGTTGACCAAGATGCTTCCAGCCTGATGAATGCAAGCCACAAAATAGGTTGCTAGAAGGTATGTTTGTTCTAGTTGTTTGATGAGCATCTTGGTTTAAAACAGTGCGACGAGACAAGGACAATTAGTAAAGACAAGACAAACAACTCAGACCAAGTAAAGACGTGACTGCGCTGTCGTCTGTCTCGTCTTTACTTTGTGCTTGTCTTGTCGCACCTTTTAAAACCAAGATACACAAGATAGGCTTTAGTTGTATTTTAGAAATCCCCACATGATCTGCCTAAGTTAGTCATGAGTTCTTCACTGTTTTTTTCTTTGGGTTGTAAATATAGCAATTTCTTTTGTTTTGAGGTGCTAATAATTAAGTGCTCTTTTTCCGACAGCATGATGCAAACCTATGTGGAGAGCAAGGTCGTCTGCATCTTGCGCAAGAGTTGCGGTGACGTCAGAGAGTCGCCGAGCTCTGATTGGCTCTGATCGAAGGATAGTGGGTAGACCTGAAAGCAAGCTGCCTCGAGGTCTACCCACTGTCCTTCATTCAGAACCAATTAGAGCTCGGTGTTGCAAAAGAAGCAGACGGACTTGCGGCCCGCATAGGAAGGTGCTAACTATTACGAGTGACACTGTTACATTTTGTGGGTTTCCCTCGGCAGGCAAGATATCTCTCCCAGCGTATTGTACCATGTTTGCAGGTTTTGATTCAACATATTCCATTCCCTCCCTGTCTTTGTCCACAGTGTGCAAGCTGTATGTCCACTCTGTGATCAAGGACATCCTGCATTACCAGCAACAGCCCCAAGCCCTCTGTAAATTTCTGAACGAGCGATCAGCATTGCTGTCCAAGTCTCTGAGGCGGTATATCAGCATTTGGTCTGGCGGGGCCATGCCTCAGAAGGTAAGCAGGCTTGGCATTGTAGAAGGGTGGTGAGCTGGGCTAGTTGGTAAGCATTATACATGCTCTAGCCTGTCTCCTGTACTCCTCAATAGTTTCCTCACGTTACTCACAGACTTTGACCATCCACTATAAGGCGTGGTACTGCCCTTTGAAAACTCTACTCTTGAATAGTGTAGGTTTTAGTATTACATTATTAATAAAGCTGTGAATGTTTTTTAATTGGCTTCTTAGATACCTAGGGGGTCCCATGGGGCTCCCATTAACTTTTTAGGTATTGAGATTTCTTTGATACCCCATACCTTGGTTTGACAGTTTCAGATTGGAAGTGGTTACAGCATTTCCTTGAACCAAACGGTTCTAGCTTTTTCCCTAATGCATTGAACAGAATTGTCAGCACACTTTTGATGGACTGAGAATCTCTGAATTCATGATTCACTACATGAAGAGTGAGAGGTAGGGAGAACAGATAGTACAGCTCCAAGCTCATATGTTTGTTTTTTTATTCTTGGCACCAGCTACTGACCTTTGTTGCAGGCGAATGGTAGCCTCGGTAATGTGTTGTATTAAAGGCCAGATATTTCTCGACTGCCCATGGCAAACCAAATGACTACCAGCAAGGTCCGAGGCCGCATGCAGTTTGGGAAATGCACAGTGACGGCTTCATGGAAATATTCTGACTCCACTCTTAGGAAGGTTGATGAGGTTGACTTTGTTTATCTATGAGGCTCCGTGTTTTCAGTAAATACCGATGAACCTAGGAAAATGAACACTCGAACCGGTTGCATCAAAATCGTGGAAAACCGAAAAATTCTGAATTGGAGTTTTTTTAAGTTAAAAAAAGCTTAAGCTTTTCGGGAAAAAAAAAATGTCTACTACTATATTATTTTGCGTTGCCTCGAACACAGCCTCACTGAACTATCCGTGAGTCTACTTCTTTCTTCTTTTATTTGGTACTGAAATGTTCTTCAAGTATTCCGGGCTCGAGCAAGTTCTCTGGAGGTTGGGGAATTCTATGCCCGTGTCTCATTTACGAGGCCCGACAAACGCCAACTTTTTATTCAACGCCGAAAAGTAATTCCGAAAACGCCAAATCTGCGGGGGAAAAAATAAACACAAGAAAAGGCATCCCCGAATTCGAAGGAAAATAAATCCCAAAAACATGCAACCTTATATATAAGGTCTTGTTAGGTTAATTATACTAATCCTGTTTTAATCTCCCTTCTGCCGGTGACCAATTGACCTCGCACACGCATTGTTGCATTGCCTGTAGTCTAACACTGGACACAATTGCAGTGCGATCTTGGTTTGTTGCGATGATCCTAACTTGATCAATTATGCGTGTATTTTCTGTTCAGAGGCCACAAAAGGACAAAGCAGCCGGAGCATTCTGCTCTCCAGCTGCGGAGGAACTGGAGGACGCATTCCTCGACCACCTGTTTGTTCGCAAAGACACCACGAGCGCCACCGTGCGTCAGATTGTTGAGGATGTAAATTCGTGTGACATGGCCCAGTGCAAAGCCCTGTTTTACCAGGTTCTCTTCTACATAAAGGCCTGTTTCGACAGCACTGAGGTGAGGCCCTTATTGTTGGGGCTGTTTTGTACGGCCCGCTCTTTTACTGCGACCCATTTGATGAAAAAGGAGCTATGAAACAAGGTGTTTGCAACACTACTTATTAAGCAGGATCTTATAAGTACATGCAGTAGTTATATCGGATGATTATGTTTTGTACCAAGAAATAGAAAGGGTGGGAACCTTCTATGGGAAGACCAATCTTACCTTGGAAGGTGGTTTGTTTTTAGAGCGCAGCTCTTAGGCGCCCTAATTCCGGCTTGAGCAATGTCGCCATCGGCATAATTGCGCATTGCATTCCCATAATGATGTCACGTGTCATGTCACAAGGGTCACTAAGGTCACGAGTGACGTCATGAAGGTCACTCATGCAAGTCACGATGAAGGTCACGGCCTTCACAGTGAAGATCACGACCGTCATGAGGGTCGCTAGGGTCACGAGTGAAGTAAGGGGGGGGTGGGAGGAGGAGGAGGAGGAGGAGGAGGATACCCTCCTCCCTGTACCCTCCCCTCTCCTCCTCAAGAGCTGCGCTCTAATTCGGCGTTACGAGGCTGTGCTCTGATTCGACGTTGTAAACATATTTCATTTTTTTACTTAGAAACAAGGTTTTAAAATGTGCCAGAGTTGATTGTATTGGTCACGAATAAAAATGGTTGACAAATGTAAAACTGAAAAGTAATTAATGATGCAAGCTTATGCCTACAAACTAAAAGAGAAGGTATCGAGCATCTTGCGCCGGCGACAGAAGGGTGACTAACATGGTGCAGCCAGTCTAAGCTTCTTTTATACAGACATTCTGCTCAAAAACAAGCAATATGTTACAAAATTCTACTATTAGAATGTTTAGAAGAGTTGCTGGATAAAACGAGTGGTAGGGAATTGTAGGTTGGTGGAGAGAGATGGGAGAGTGTAAGGGAGAAATCGGAAAGGGAGAAGAGATGGGAAGAGGGAATTGGTGTCACGTGACACATTTTCCGGCTAAATTTAGCGGAGGCACTAAATTGTTGTATAGCTCACATGACATCAGCTACTTTGACGTTCGATTTCTCCGTCTAAATTTCACAAAGAAACTTGATTGATGTTAAGGTCATGTGATGCGAATTTCCCCGCTAAATCTAGCGTTGAAACTTAATTGACGTCTAGGTCACCTGACGTCAATTTCTCCACTTGGTGCACATGTCTCGTGACGTTAAGTCGTGTGACATCAATTTCCCTGCTAAATGTAGCGGAAAATGACGGACAGACGGATGGACAAAATTTTGGAATTGGGGGGTTCGGTTAAAAAGCGTTTCATGCTTTAAAACTAGGCTGGTGAGATTCGAACCCCGTGCCTCCGTGTGGGAGCTGCACACGATGCCAACTCGGCGATGCACGCAGCGATATTTCCGAGACTCTGTCGGTAGGAGTGTCATTACCTCTGAATATAGAGCCAGCAGCATAGTTTGATTGAACCTGATGCAAAAACGTTTCAAGTGCATTCAAGCTAAAAATACTTCACCTAGCCTTTTTGTGACACTTGAACCGTTTTCCCGTTTCCAGCTTCTCGGTGGTCTTCGAGCCTTTCTGAAGGTGTTAAGGAAGCTCTTTGAGCGGTGTTTGCAGCTTGAGGATGGCCAGGAGTGCTGCCTTGTGTTCTTGGACACCTTGCTTCGTCACGAAACAACCCTGTCATGGTACCTCAGGGAGGAAGCTGAAGACGCTGGGGCTTCTGGAGCCATGCTCGACTACTCGAGCTTTCTCTTGGACATGATCACGCTGATTTTGCTGGTGGGCATTTTTCAGTTTCTTGTTTAATCATTAGAAACATTTCTGTGTATAGGCTGGAGTGGCCTTTAGAGAATGTTTGTTGGCTTAAAGGGACTGTACCTGATACACACATTTGACATTTCTTGATGTAGACAAAATTTGATGAGTATGGTATATGTTCTTCAAATGAGGATAGCCTGATAGTGTGTAAGCGTGATAATTTCTAGATAGTCTTATGGTCTGATAGCATTATGGTTCAGCAGTGATATGAGCTTCGTGATGATTGAGACCTCTCCTCCTGTGCAGGGTTTCTTTTTGGATTTACTTGAATAGGGTCGTAGCTCCACATTATAAAGGGGGTTTGATTCTATGAAATGCCGTGAAAGGTACACTAATGCAGTCTATGCACATCTGTTATAGGGCCAGGGGGACATCATATAGGGGGATAATTGTAACGATAAGTCGGATAATGAACAAAAAGTTGTTTAGTTAAATTTTTGATTAGTGAAAATGAATGTATAGTACCACTTATAAACCTGCTGAGTGTCCTTTGAAACCCCTTAATTAGTCAATGTTAAAAAGACGCAGCACATGGTAAGTTCAGGGGGGCACTAAAGGTACCACTCGTGCTGCAGGTGAAACGCCGGCGATATTGAAAAAAACGCGGGTGATAATCTTTTCACCTGTGTTTTTGAACCGCCATTGTTACACCTGATGCACAAGTGGAAACTTTAGTGTGCCCCCCGCACTTAGCAGGTGCTTTAAATTATTTTTTAGAATTGACTGATTAAATACTTTTAGATGATACTCAGCAAGTTTTCTAACTAAAACTATGTGTTTATTTTCAGTAATTAAAAAAGTCAATTAGTAGTTTATTATCCGACTTATCATGACAATTAGTTCCCTGTATTATGTCCCTTTGGCTGTATAACTCACCTGCACAGACTGCACTAGTCTATCTTTTAAGGCTTTTTTAAAAATAAATATGTTCAAACTAAAACCAAACACACCCTGTATGTATACAAGGAAACAAAAACCAAAGCATTTTCTTTCCGTTAGTTACACTTAACCTACATTTGGAAAGTTGAGTTACTTTTAGTTAAGTGCGTGTCAGTTTGGAAGCTTTGTCTAATATGCAAACAAATAAACAGGTGCACTGGGGTTCAGTACCGTTTTCATGGATGGCTATAATATTGGGTTTCATCTTGCCGTTTCAGGAAACACCAAGCATCTCCTCAAAGCTTGAGGTCTCTCTGCGTTACCTGAAGGACAGATCTGTCCGTGCAATCATCAACCAGAGCCTTCCCAAGGGACTAGACTGCACAAAACTTGTGGCTGCCTTTGCACCTGTCCTCTCAGAAGTGGACATTGTGACTCTTCTGAAAGCCGTGGTGCAGTCCAACTCAAGACAGCTGAGAAAAAGCATAGAGGAGCTCCTCTGCGCATCATTTGCCCACTCGAGCTCTGACAACGCGGAAAGTGCGCCCCTGCTGCCTGCCACCACAATTTCCAGGATACTTTCTTGCTTGCTCAAGTGTAAAAACAGAGAAGCGATGGAACATGATGGGAAGCCTTTCCTCTCAAGCTTTATGCGATTCTTGGAGCGTCGGCCCATTTACATGCTTGCTTTGAAAGTGGGTGAGTTGAATTTTGGGTCTTTTTGCAGGACTAATGTTAGGTCGTCAAAACAGCTGTAGCAATGGTCTTGTATGGTCCTTCCTTCCTTTTTGTGGCACTTTCCTTTGGGTCACTCGTACGAAAGAAATTGCTGCACCACTTTGGTCACTGCAGTGTAGGAAAACTGCCAAAGATTGGGGGAGGTGTTCTGTCACGTGTGGTCATTTGAAGGAAAGGTCCATAACGGTAATACTAAATGTTTTGCCAGGATAATGAGATCGTCAAGCTAAAGAAAAGGAAACAACAGCTGCTATTTTGAGACTCTCGAAACCTTATACCATGAGCACAGTTTAGTCGTGCGGCTTGTAACATTTGGCATACATATTGTTATACTAAAAGAGTATGGGTTGCCTGAGTATATAATGTCAGAGTAGAGTAATCCCTCATTAGAATGAAGTGAACAGGACGGCAGAAATATTCTATGTAAGTAGTAATTCGATAAGAGCGATAGAGCCATAAAAACAGTACCAGCGGCCTTGAAGGTGGGCGGGAACACTGCGGAACACTCTTGACTCTATATTTAATCAAACAAACCTTGGTTATGAACATCTTGCGGCAGCTTTACCCAGTAAAAAAATAATTAAGTGGAGCCTGCCGATAATTTTATCCGGGCATCAGTTCTCCTCATACTGCTCCAGGCATCGCAAGAACACTGCCACCTCTGCTGCACTCTTTGTTTAGGAGCTGCCGTAGGATGTTTTGCGTCTCCGCATTTGTTGGCGTTTCCCGAGGTGCCTCTCTGACGTCGCTTCGTGTTTACTCTGGCTGCACGCAAGGTCTACGATTGCAGCATCTGTGGCAGGGGCAACAACGAGAACGTCCGCGTCGACAAGCGCGAATGAATAAGTTATCCTCGGTGGCTTGCCAACATTTCTTCAGACACTCCTGTAGAGATAGTTGCAGATTTAGAAATCGTGTGCCAGCGCGGCAAGCATACTTGCGAGAGAAATCATCTTCGGGTCATGGGCGTGCTTTCTCCTCTTTGAGAAACTTCTCAAATCCGTCCAATATGCCTTGCTTATTCCGCAAGATGGTGGATAGTGTCGAACAGCCGATGCCAGAATGTCGAATTTTTTGGCGTTCTCGGACTTGTTTTTTGGCGGTTTCGGACTTGGGCCGGCCACTTTTCTCAACCTCGCAGATCTAGGCGATTTTCGGTAAACACTCCCTATCTCCCATACGACACGTATGCGTGTAGTACCTGTATTGGCAGGCGTGCCCGTGCAGGCGTGCGCATTGTGAGCTCCCGAAGGGATGATCTCCTCCAGGCTCTATCGCTCCCTTGACCTGATTCTGACAGGATTCAGGCAATGTCTGCTGCGGGCAGGCGTTGCCTGCGGCAGATGGCATGATGCCGTGATTAGTGTCGGAACGTTGACGCTGCTCCTGCCCGCGTCTCCGCGTCAACGCATTGGCATCGGAAGCAGCGCTCTGCCAGCTCTGTGCGCTCTGCCCTGCATCACCCGTTTACTTTGTTTTCCCAGTTTGCTGTTTGCTTTGGAGGAGAAGGGCGAGGGAACGCAAGGGTCTTCTTGCGCCTTCATGTAGGCTTACTTGATTTCGGCACTTCAGCTTTCGTAATAAGCGTGGTCGGCCCGTTGATACACTTAGAATGATTCGGTTAAAAATGCATGCATTTCGGTCGGGACCACGCTAAACTTCGATCAAAGCAATAATTCGGAAAAAAAGATTTCGTTACAACGAGGGATTACTGTATCTAACATTGGGGTGTGGAGTTTTTCTTCTCTTTTCATTTTATTTCATGCAGCTTGTTTTTCAACATGGTGATTACCATGTGAGCCTATTTGTGCTCTCTCTCTCTCACTTTCTCATAATCACAACTTTTTAAGTGATGCCTTATGCCATTTTTAGCACATATTATAATGTAATCTCACTTGTAAATGTCATTTATCAAGGTAGAAAGCAGACAGGGTCAGTGCTTTTTTTTTTCTAGGGTTCACAAACTGGGTTCCTAGGAATTGGGGAGTTTCCCCGAGTATATTCCCATGGGTTCCAGAGCATCCTCATTCTCAAGCAAAGTGTCTTTACAGTTTAGGCACTGTTCTACCGGATCCGAACAATTGATTGATGCGTAACTATGAGCTAAATGCACCCTAGTATGTGCCTTATTGTCAATGTTTGTAGAGCTCTGCACTGCTTTATTGCTTTATTATATCAATGCCGAAACCATCAAGGGTTCCTCGGCTCTCGGGCAAGCCAGATAGGGGCTCCTCGAGATTGAAGAGTTTGAGAATCTCTGCTTTAGTGCATGAATCCTTTTCTTGCATGTTCCCTCTGAAGATGACCTGAAGCAGCTGCTGGGTGACAAGGAATCCCCAGCTCACCTCGACATGCTCACCTTCTTGATGAGACACAGCGTCCTTCATCGGCAACATCTGCAGCAGCTGGTGCAGTCCCAAAGGCCTGTGACTTCCCACTTGCCTGCAGCCAGTGTCGCCAGCTTCTTGCGTGCTCTTATTACGGGCCTCACCCAAGAAGAGAAATCTCAGAAACTTGGACTCTGGCTTGCAAAAGCATTCATGATGCTTCTCAAACAATGTCTGCCAGAGGAAGAACTTTCTTCAGACGTTGTAACGGATGTCCGCTGCACCTTGGCATCGCTGATAAAGCTGAGATTCCTTTGTGAGTTTTGATTCATCATCTTAGCTCCATTTAGTCATGGGGTAGGGTTTTTTCAAATCCTATTGCAATGGGGGTCTGCTGATTTCTGGTCGAATATTTTATTCAGTCACAAGAATGCTTCTTGATAGAATGTCTAATCAACTTTATTATTGAAGTTGATCAAACACACAAGTTGATTTTTATTTAACTTTTTTTTTGTGTGAAAGAAAATGCTGCTTTCATTTTTATGTTTTTGAATTAGGGATATTGCTTCTGATATAGTACTTACCTTATCGACTAAGAGTTTTGGCACATTGAACAATGAGTCACTCTAATGGACATGTAGTTTCTTACTCCACATAGTGGTGCAGGCTTCCGTACATCCACTCTACATAATCACCACTTCTCTGGTTTACAGGCAAAGACAACATATTGATGGTTTTGGAGCTGCTGAACGACACACCAGCAAAGCACTTGGAGTTGGCACTGCTTAACACACTGTGCAGCAGTGTGTCTCAGAGACTTGAGGACACTGCTGTTCAGGATGCCTGCCTACACAGGCTTCTTCAGTGCCTTGCATCTGCCTTAGAAACAGAAACGGAAGTGTCTCAACCAGTGCTGGAAGCGGTTCAAGATTCTCTGGCTGTTGTCAAGGTAACTGACTTTGCTGCATTCTCTAGGCACAGAGGTAACTATATTGACAAACACGCTGTAAGTCTCAAATGAACAACAGATAGACAACATGGTGTTGTGTGTGTGTGTGTGTGTGTGTGTGTGTGTGTGTGTGTGTGTGTGTGTGTGTGTGTGTGTGTGTGTGTGTGTGTGTGTGTGTGTGTGTGTGTGTGTGTGTGTGTGTGTGTGTGTGTGTGTGTGTGTGTGTGTGTGTGTGTGTGTGTGTGTGTGTGTGTGTGTGTGTGTGTGTGTGTGTGTGTGTGTGTGTGTGTGTGTGTGTGTGTGTGTGTGTGTGTGTGTGTGTGTGTGTGTGTGTGTGTGTGTGTGTGTGTGTGTGTGTGTGTGTGTGTGTGTGTGTGTGTGTGTGTGTGTGTGTGTGTGTGTGTGTGTGTGTGTGTGTGTGTGTGTGTGTGTGTGTGTGTGTGTGTGTGTGTGTGTGTGTGTGTGTGTGTGTGTGTGTGTGTGTGTGTGTGTGTGTGTGTGTGTGTGTGTGTGTGTGTGTGTGTGTGTGTGTGTGTGTGTGTGTGTGTGTGTGTGTGTGTGTGTGTGTGTGTGTGTGTGTGTGTGTCACCGTCACCCCATAGACATACATTCTTCAGCTTCCTGATTACATTGCTTATTGCAACTAACTTCCATCTTTTTTTTGTTTGTTGAAGTTACGAAACACCAAACATTATAATCTGCAGTTTGATTTGTAGAATTAATAGATTTTAGACCTGCCTCAAAAACTTATATACAGTAGAATCTTAATAATTTAAACCCGAGAGGGACCAAAACTTCTTTTGAATAATGCGAAGTTTGAATAACTGGTAGTTTCTTCCCTAGAAACACATAGGACGGGACCCGCATGTTAGTTTGAATAATCTGTGAGTTTGGATTAAGAGTTTGAATTAATGAGGTTTCACTGTATCTGAAGTTTGCTACAGTGAAGAGGCCAGCATCACTTTAATCATGTCATTGTTTGGCACGAATGGTCAAGAAGTAGATGAAATACAAGTGGTTGACTGTTTTAATGAGAAGGGTTAATGACCACTGTTTTTTTTTGCTAGGTCCTAAACCAAGGTTTATTTGCTCGTGTGGTGCGTCAAGATGGCCTTTGGCCGCAGTTTGTCAAGAGCTGCTTGAGGTCTGGATTTCAGTAAGTGTGGCCTTTTTGTCTTTTTTCGGTGTATGCACCAACTTAAATGAAATGCCATCTTGAAATATGTGCTGGCTTTGAGACAAGTGAGTTGGTTTCCTTATCGCCCAGGCAAAAAATGCTAAGTCACTGGGCTGTGGACGCATGAGCTGCATCTGATGTGTCGCAGACGAGAGCTACTGCGCGTCCACGCACGAATGCTTTCCACAGCCCAGCAGACAAAGATGGCAGCTAGCCTGAGGTGGTTATTGATATGCTAGTCTAACTTACATAAGATGACTCGGTTTTTGTAGCAAATGATTGGACTTGGCTGACACTTTTGCAAGGTCTTACCTACCATAGAATACCGTGCATTTGCCCATTCCGTACTAAGCGCCCACCCCCAACATTTGAAGTATCTGAAAAAATATGCACAGTACATATATATGTAAAAATGACTTCACATGCGCCCATCCCCTATTTTGTCGCGATTATCTTCAAATTTCAAGTGGGCACTTGCTCGGTATTTTACGATAGGTTGTAAAATCTACTACAATTCTGTGCTAGGCTAAAGCATAGGAATGTGACGCTACTTTGAACAAGATTTGATGAAAGTTTGACTGCCGTTCAGTTTGGCTTTAGTTGAGGACTTGATTGCTGTAATGGTGAGTAAATTGCAGTTTGTTGAGTTTGGCATATTTCTGTGACATGAAAAATAGACAAGTAATGAATTAGACAGATTTTTTGATGCAAGTATAATTTTTAGTCAAAAATTATTGGCAGCCTTTTGGCCAGGAAAGAGATGAAAATGTGTTAGCTTTATTATATACTTTTAAGATTTTATGTTACTTCCACTTTGGTGATATTTTCACAGCATCTGTCCAAGATTGAAAGCCTATTAATGTGATGTTTCTCACCCATTTATTTTAGGTCATCCACCTTCGGAAGGGTCTCATTCGAGCTTCTCTCGGAAATTTGTCGTAAAGTCTATGAAACCGAAAACGTTGGTGACATCAACCCAGCGGTGTGCAGGGTCCACATGATGATGTTTGGCCATTCAAAGTTCTTGTCCCTGATGCTTGATACCAGTGTCGAGACCCAGCCAACCAAAAGTGAGTGAACTGCCTCATACTTCAGTTCTTTGCACAGTGCTACCTAGGAAAGTTGCTCAAGCCTTCTTGAAACCCCTGAGCATAGCATCGTCATTGTTTGTGCTTTCTCTCTGTGTGCGATGGCTTTTCCAGACAAGATGCTCGAGCTGATGGTGACGTTGGTAGAGTGTGACCAATCCGTCTGCAAGGCAGAGCACATTCCCGTCTTTCTAAGTGCATACGGTGGAACCCTTTCGATGATTGGTAAGGGCTTAATCTTCTCTTTGTTTCTATTCCGGTTCTCATCTCTGCATATCTTCTACCTTTCTTTTTGTAAACAAGGTGCTATCTCAATACTTTCTACAGGTTACTGTTATTTTGTTGCCTTTTTTCGAAATTGTGTGCTCATTTTCAAAGTTGGTCTTGAAAAGCAACTGATAATTTGTGGCGATTGTTTTGGACATGTAATTTTTTTAACATTTGTTTGACCCTTGCCTTTCTTGTACTGACATGAACCGACAGATCATCATAAATTAAATATTTTACTTTGGAGTGTGATAATTTTGGCAGTATAAATGCTTATGATGACGTAATGTTCTAAAGGTTCTACATGTTGGTACTAAATATCGTTATATAATATAGGCTCAAGTACATAGTTAACAGGACAACCACTACTGGACGTTTGTGTAACTCGAGATAATGTTTCTTCACCGAAACAGTGTGACAGCATGTCCTCTTTTCGGGAAAAAATTTTCTTTTGATAAGTGAGGACGAATTTTGTGGGTAGTCAGTTTTTGCATGTGTGAAAAATCTGGCATAATCTTGTTAGATTTTTGGGGGCCGTCTCTTCGGTTACTCCGGTGGAAACGTGAACATGAGAGTCTTGTCATAGAAGTACTAATTATTGTCCTTTCTTACTTTATTCCAGATCAAAGGCTTCTCTATCTGATGTTTCTTTATGAAAGAAGTGGAGTCGACATGTGCAGCTTCAGGTGAGGATTGGTTTGGTATTATATATGTAGGGGGGGGGGGGGGGGGGGGAATTCTTCGTTTTCGGGTTTTATATTTTTTTTAACTCTGGGGGTAAAAATCGGGTGCTATTTATTCAAGCTGATAATCAGAGAGAAATCAGGTTTTTTGTGGAACCATTCTGAAATTTGGGTTTTTTGGGTTAAATTTACAAAAGTATAATTAATATATTCTTTTTTTTTTTTTTTTTTATTTGGAGGGTAAAAATTAGGGCTATGTTTCAAGCCGGTAATTGGGCGAAAATCGGGGTTTTCTAGCAAATACTCAGAAATTCTGCATTTGTTTGAAAATGAATAACATAAGTGCTATTGACAGTAAAGAGCATTGATCACTTCTAGAACATGAAGCATTTCATTCACAAAAGCTGGCCATAGATTTTTTACAGATCCTTGTTAGCATACAACATCATCTGCATGCGCAACATTTCGGTCTACATCTCAGACCTGTTCGGTCTTTGAACATACCTCAGCAGAGGAAGTTCTTTTGATATCACAGCTGCCATTAGCTAGGCACAATACTGTCAGTACAGCATTTGCTAGCCTGGGATAATGTGCAATAGAGTCATGCCAAAGCTCAATGAGTTCAACAGCTCTGTTAGTACTGGTTAAGCTCGTCAGCAAGTACTGGTTAAACTCGTCACGAAGCGAATCTACGTCATCAGTCACAGAAATGAAAAGAGGTCAGTAGTCATCAAATGACTGACTCAGCGGTCACTTCTGGAATGGATCCAGTACGGCTCCCAATTTCCATAACATCAGTTGGTTTTCGTCTTTGTCCGAGACATTCTGTTTAACAGTGCGGTACCATTTTGTGGCGATTTTCATGCAAAACTCTTCAGAACTTGTTTTCACTAATGTGACGCTGCTCTTGGGTAACATAGACAAAACAGCTCTTGCCTGATCGCTTTTACCTATCATTGTGGAAAGTTCACTGGCAGTCTGCTGCAGCTTGACATTTACGAGAGGATAAAAGCTGGGCATCAGAAGTTTTCTGCTTTCAAGCGTTTTCTGAGCATCTAAAAGTGAAAAACAATGCGAAAGGGACAAGGACAAAAAGGAGGGACTACACAGAACAAGCGTTGACTAATAGCTAATTTTTTATTGAAATGGGTTCATGGCACTATGTTCGCTCAGGCATGGGGCGCACCGTGGATTTGGCACTTTTTTTCTTCTTCGTTTCACACTCCACGTGCTTACCAAGATCTAGAAAATGAATCTCACTGTTCGTTAGAGTAGGTGACGGTTGGCTCACTCAAGACGGTCTATTTTTTTTTTTATGTAATAGGTTTCCTTTATTTCTCTACACGTTTGTTCTTGGTGTTGAGACATACGGTTGTGTTGGAGAACTGCTGTTCGCTCCCGCAATCTCGACCATAGAGTTATTAGTTATTACAATTAACGCTAGAGGCTCAGCGGGTGCTAGTGTCTATGGGAATTCCGGTTTCAAATTGAAGCAGACAGCAACCAGTCTACTTTTCTAGTCTTCCTGGGTATTCCTATGGGAAAATGTATGTGATATTTTTCTCTTTGCCAGAATAATAGAAATCAGCGTCGTTTCTTTACTCGTGACGGGTACTATGTAGCTTTATTTACATTATACCCGCAAAGAGTCGCATGCGGTTCGCGAGCCGCGGTTTGGCCACTCTGATAAAAATGAATTGTAACTTATAAAAAAATACTTTTTTTCCAGTTTTTGTTTTTCAAGTTTAAGAAATGTTTTGTATTAAATGTTTAAACTTTCATTTAAGCGTTGACTTGATTCACCTTAACATAGCATGTCCTGTTTCCAGGCCATTCATGTGGGGACCTTCAGCGGTGTCCTTCTACTCTATCCACAAGAAGGTGTCGGTGAGCTTACTCAAGCAGCCAAAGACAGAAGAAATTCTCAGCCTGCTGGAAGAAGAAAAGATGATGGCATCTGTCCTCCGCTTCCCCCTGACCTTAGACCTGCAGGTGTGATCAATGATTCTATCTACTATAATAATTTCCGTGCCAATATGTTTTTTTTTTGTTTTTTTTCCTGCCAGGCATTATTTTGTGAACACATTAATGTATTTTTTGGGCTTGGTAGGTTTCGCCATTGGAGGCTGTTGCTGATGAAAGTCTCTATGATCCGAGGTTTTTGCTGCCCCTTCTCTACACACTGCTTTCTCCTGGTGAGTAACTTCTTACCTTGTGTTTATTATCTCGGGTTCTTTTCACTGAACTCGCACAAGTATTTAGAAGTCGTGCATGTGGGTTGAGTGGTGTGGATGTAGGAGTATACCATCCCGTTTGTAAAGTGGTTGGCTGGCCTACCCTGCCTATTTTGCCATGTTGCTTTGGCCCGTCTGACAGCTCAGAGTTTGAGCTTTTTCTGCTCCCGCCATAACAACATAAAAGCTGCCAAGTATATGGGTTTAATAGACACTGATGAGTTTATTCCATCAGAGTTCAGAGTACTGATATTTTGCTCTGGGAAGGCTGCTTCTCTTTTGTCCTTCAACTACAGTTCACAGCTAAGTCAGATTTTAGTGGAGTGTTTCCCAGTATGATTGGGGGCATACTGCACATAAAGGCTGCAAGTTTGAAGTTAAACCCTTCTAAGTACACATATAGAAGAACATCTTTCATATCTGCCAGCTTCATATAACTTTCATTAGCTCTTAAATGTAATTCTGATGAGATAAAGTCGAAGAAAGGGTAAAAACACTGGCAATTGTGTAAGCACACCGTCCTTAGGATTGGACAGGGATATGAAGCGTCTTTTGTATATCTAAGGTCTTGTTTTGTGGTTTTTTTCAAGAATAGTAAAGGTTGAGTTGCCTGTTATCGCTTGTGGCAGGTCAGCCCCCAAATGAGGTCGTCAGGGTGGTGGTTGTGGTGAAAGGAGGAGGGGCACCATGAATCATTTTGGATCTGTCTGAGTGTGTGGCTTTCGGTGACCTTGTGGAGAGAAGTGTTTTTTCTTTGGCGGAGAGGGTCTTGCCGTACATATAAGAGCGTTCGTTGTCCAAACAAACTAGAAGCTCTGTTTGAGACTTTGTTGTCTGTCTGTTTTTTTTTATCATTCCATGTCTCCGGTTACTATGGAAGAGATAAGGTCTCAAATGCTTTGAGAACATTGAAGTTGTGTTTGGGTGTTCCTCCATGCTGGCAGGTGGTTTCAAAATTTCCAAGGAAGCTTTCCTTTCCGTTGGGTCCCGGGTGTATTGTGCAGTTAAATTTGGTCAGAACCTTTTGCAGAATGTTTTTCTCTCCCGACAGGCTCGCTGGTGAACTGCCACAAGCTGGTGGAAATGCGCTGCCTGGCGTTCCTGCTGGCTTCGCTGAGCAGCGAAGTGTTCCAAATGAGGTGCCTGGGCTGCAACGTGCTCACGCTGTTTCACCACCAGCTGCAGGGATCGCGCTTGAGCATCAGCGAGTTTTGGCTTTGCGTGCTGGAGAGCTTGCGCAACGCGGTCACCGTCACGTGCGTCCGCATGCCGTGCCTCGTGACTGGCTACTTGGGTTCAGCTGCTGACGTGGTTGGTTCCCCAGGTGCGTCCCCAAGCGCCAGGAATCCCTAGAGCGAGCCATAAATAGGGACGAAACTTGTGTAATCAAGGAATGAACTTTGCTGTCGGAATGTTTATTTCATTTTGTTTTCTGGGCTATTTTATAAGGGCATTACATAAGGAGGGGGCTGGCAAATGTGGCAAAGTGCAATAAAAAGAAACAACAAAAGCATAGTAAAAACAAACAATATGAGTCTTAACTCCTGCAAGTAAAACCAAAAAAAGCACCAAAATGCAATGCAAAAGAAGTGGGAATTTATTCTTTTTTTTTTTTAAATAGTGTACATTTGTAGTGGTTAGCGGGCAACCGAATATAGGTAATGTATGGTTGTTGTATTTGGAGATTATCTAGAAGATGTAGAAGTGTCAACTTATTAAGTATTTTCTTTTTTTTTTTTGCTATAAGAAAGGATGCTATGGTAGTTAACATCCGTTTCTGTGTGAAGTGAACTTGTGAAAATATATCTTTAAAAAGTGGCAGTACTGAGATTTTTTTATGTGTGGCTTCTGTTTCAGAGAATGACATGTTCAATCCTGTCCTGAAATACTTGCTTGCCAAGCCTGTGCTGGACATAGGAAATATGCCTGATTTTTACAAGATGTTCTACAACCCAACTGTTGAGGTGCAATTCATTTCTACAGACCTGCTTGACATTGAAGTTATAAAGAAATGTTGCATGGCTAGGTTCCATCGATTACAGCCTTTATAACAAAGTTTGTGGGACTGCCAACGTTTTTCGTTGTACAGGTAACTTCGTTGTAGTAGCTGAGTGAAAAAAATCAATCGCACAAAGCCGAATTGGTGTTATCGCATATTGACATACCTGCACAACATTCAAGGCATTTTACGAAAACATATACAGTTGCCGACCAATTTTTCGGACTCGGAGGGGACCCCGAAATTGTCAGAATAATCAAGCGGTCCGAAAAATCGGTTTCAGCAAAAATATCTAAGTTCCGCGCATATTCCGCTGCGTATTGGCCACTTTCCACTTGCTTCGTGTCAATTTTAAGTTCTCGTGCAACTTCCGCTTTATATTGTTCACTTTTCACTTGTTTGTTGATCTGTTTGATCATGGTGCTGCGCTTTGTCGGCACCTTCGCTGGCGCAAACTGCAAAGTTGAAGTTGGCGCGATTTGGCACTATTTGGAGACAACGTTTAGTCCACCAAAACTTTCGCTTTCAAAAGCCACAAGAACAGCAGACGGCCGTTCTTCTCGCGGTCACACTCGAAAAACACGACCTCAAGAAGAACTAGAAGAACCATAAGAATGGGCAGACGGTGGCCATGTTGACTAGAGTGGAACCAGAAGACCCGACTATAGCCTCAACTCAGCTTGTTTATTTGGTAGGATTTGGTATCAAGGCTACAGGGCAAAATCAAAGCAACCAAATTGGCGTTCACTAAGCTTGCGGCGCTATCGCGGTAGGCTGTTTTGTGCCTTTAAACTGAGAAAATTACACAAATTATGTCGGAAATATTGAGCAATAGGCTTAATGGTTTCTGAAATTTCATTTAATGTTATACATTAACTCTCTGAGGTGAGTGACAGTTAGCGAAAACGTCCGAATAATCAGACGTGTCTGAAAAATTGGCGTCCCAAAAATCGGTCGGCGACTGTAGTGCCAAATATAGTATGAGCGACATCAGAAACAAGATTTTGTACGTTGACAATTGACTTATCAAAAAAGGGAACGTTGTCCAAGTCTGCTAGCTCATTGCAGTTCAGAGCACGTGGGGCGAAAGCCAGCATCGCAGAGTCCAAGCATCTTTAGCTCAACTACCACTTTCTTTTCTTTTTTTACATGAAAGTTGTATTACCGGCGTTTGTGTACTCATAAGTGGTTGACGCAATTCGAAGACACCAGGCCATGCTAGTGGTCAAACCGCCAGTACCTCCACTGGCAGAATTTGTCATCTACAGCCGAGACACGAGGCGCTCATTGCTGCAGACTAATTTCCCGCTGTCCAAACTTCCACACAACAAACTTAACTGACTTATCAAAATATGAATCGCAATAATCACTAGACCACCAACACCGACCCCCGATCACATAGCAAATGAGAGGCGTTCGCCGACTGTGTAAATTTGGCCTTTTTTAAATCAGACGGTTGGCTTGCACTGCCATGTGTCATTTGGAGGAGTCTCTTGAAGCAGCCGCGTTGCTCTTGTAGGAGCAGTTGCAGCAGCCGCGACAGCACTACCATAGCAGCATGGCAGAATCTACCACGGTTTCGGCATGTCGCAGCTGTAGCGTGCAGCGCGGCGAGAAGCGAGGATGGGGAGAGGTGCACAACCGAGCGGACTGCGCCCTTTTTCACATCTGTCTGACACGGGGAGGGGAGCGCGATTTTCTGTGCAGCTCTGCTGATTTCTCTTAGGTTTTGGTGTCACGGGTGGAGTCAGAGGTCACATTTCCTCGACTGTATATTATCGCTCCTACGTGGAACATTTGGAGCTCGGATTGAGCAAGGTTCGGAATCTTGGATCCCGAAGGAGATCTGCGTGTCGGTCGATCAAAGGCCAAGACAGCTTAAAGAAGTTGCGACTGCCCACGAAAATGCCTTTTTTATATACTACTCTAGTATACATATCCTCTCAATTGCGTGGGCCCTTCTAATGTGCTGACGTACATGTAAAATAAGAAAACAAGTGCGCGCATTGCCCGAACGGAGCGTTGAAAAGAAAACTAATCTTGGAGCTGAGTGGCACGTACTCAGTCAATGGCGTGAGCGAAACGAAAGCAAACAAAAGTATGCCCGAGCGCGCGCGGCAGAGGTGGTGCCACATGCACCGAGCCGCCTCCATTGTGCCGCGCGTTCTCGGTTTAAATAATTTGGCAGTGTGCAACCTTGTGACTAGATGGCGCTATCTGACTGCATTGCTGTGCACAAGCTTTCTAAGCAGCAATGTAGCCATGTAACGTCATCTAAGCACAAGGTTGCGCATTAACAAATTATTTGGACTAGACAACACTTGGCATGACAACGGCAAAGGGGCGCGGCGGCGGTGCCGACCATCACCGCTGCCGTAGTATTTCTATTTTCTACGCGCGTAACTTGAGGGCTACAATTTAAGCAAAATTGATTGCTTTTAAGTTTTAAGCTATAACAATAGTACTTCCGGTAATTTTTTCTTTGTGGGGCCATGTAATTGCTTCGTTAAACAGATATATTTGTTAAACAGGAATTCGCTGTAGTGGTCAGAGAAACACATTGAACAGATAGGAAATTGGCCGGGACTTAATTTTACTTTGTTAAATGGGCGTTTTCATAGTAGAGGCGTTCGTTATAAGAACATTTGACTGTACATATGACTGTAAACATGACTTGCTGTGTAGCACAACTTCCGGCGGTCTTGGTTCCTGGAAGTGATGGCCAACTATATGCGGTGCAGCCTGGACTTTCATATCTGCAAGAAACGCTACATCTTCAGCATTCTGCTCTCCTACTTCATGTCACCGTTGTGCCACAAGCGGTCAAAAGTGAGTGCCTACTCTCTATGATGAACAACGGGGCACAACAAAACAAGGACAGAGTGGGAGAACAGACACAACACATAGCAGAGCACAAAGAGAGAGAGCAAAGGAACACAAGACTGTGCTTCTGCTCTGTCTTTGTGTGCTGTTTTCACCACGTTTAGTGTTTACCAATTAAACCCATCGTACCAACTTAGTACTATGCATGTTTTATTAAACAGAACTGTCTATGATATAGTGGCTTGTTACTTCCATTTTCTAAAGGTGCTAGTACTCAGAGTCCTGACTGCAGCTGTGAAGATTCCGAAGGCTGCACGGATACTGTGTCGGGAGCATGGGCTGCTTGCATGGATATCTGCGGCTCTCTCGAGGTAAAGTATGCCATCATTGTGTAACAGCCCTAAAATCATAGTTCATGCAACCTGTAACAGGCATCAAATCCTTCTTGTGAGCTGTCTACCAGTTTATAGAGAAATAGCATTCTTTAATTCTCTTTATAAAAAAAAAAAAGATGCCACAGATAAAGTGTTTGAGCATTATTTTATAAGTCTTGCATACCTAATGCTTGTGGGTGCCAAAGAGGCCTAAGAGGTCTCAAAAGGTCATGTCGTGAAACAGTGGACTTTAAATAACTGCACGTTGGACTGGAATAATGATGTAGGAATTTTATTTTATACTGTACCATACTCATTTTCTCTATACTACCAACACACAAAAAAAATTACCTTGATTGCAAGTGTTAAAACTCATGGATTTGCAGTGCACTAAGCAAAGCTTTGATTATCACTGCTTCAGAAATGCCGATGACGAAAGTGTTGCGAAATTGCTGCTTGATGTGCTACACCACCTCTGGGAGTCCAGTGCGATCAGGACGTTCAGACTGGCAGACGTGAAAGCCGCAAGGGTGAAGGCAACTGCAGAAATGCGAGCTTCGAGCCAGACACGCAAGACCGTGGATGAAAGCGACGACGACATCAGCGACGAAGAGGACGGTGGAAGTTTGCAAGAGACGAGAGACGCACATTCAGAAGTCACTTCAAAGAGATTTTACCAGCACTTTCCGTTTGAGTACCTTTTGACGCTCTTCAGTGTCCGGAAGCACGTCAGGTAATTCATGTAAATTTACATATCTTGTTTTGGCTGCTGTGTGTGATCCATACTCATTTCAATTACATCATTTTGTTTCTTAGAAGCCACTGCTAAAGTATTTGTACTTGCCAATATTGTCTCCTGGTGGTGTACCGGGGTTTGGGAGGGTGTTCTTTAAAGAACACTCCGACACTCTGTCTTCTGACCAAATGTCTTGAATGGCTGCATACTCACTTTTAAGTTTTGTCTTATTACAGGCAGTTTATTGCAAATATTACTTATAATTATAAGCCATCCCATTGCATTATGCTGTTTAGAAGTGTGAGCATCACAGTTTTTGTTTTCTTTGTTGTGTATTTCATGCAGCAGCCAGTTACATGTGAGATATTACCATATTTATTCGAAAATAGGTTGACCTTTTCATGAGCAGACCTTTGTGTCTACCTTTCCGCAGAACCCACGGACACCAATCATAAGGACTTATAAAAAGAGCCGGCGAATAGCAGCGCAGAGATAATGTTTAAAATAAAAAGAAAGAAAATGTGATCCACACAGATCTATTTTCTGCGTTCTGACGTTATCGATGCCTTGTCATTCGCCGAACCTCTTCCGTAAATCGCAATAATTGTCTCTTCTTGAGCGTTGCAGAGAAATACACACGCAGGCATTGTTAATAAAAAGGTCGACCTATTAATGCGAAATCATTAACTGTCCCATGGAGCGAGCCGACGTCATCAGCCGCACCAAACGCACGGGCGGATCCAAGGGGGGGGGGGGGGGGGGGGGGGGGGAGAGGAGAGGAGAGGAGAGGAGAGGAGAGGAGAGGAGAGAGGGAGGGGGCGACAAGGGCAGCCGCGCCCCCCCCCCCCAAACAAAGTCGATCCCCCCTCCTCTCCCCCCCCCAAGAAACGGAGCTCTGGATCCGCCCCTGGCCAAACGTCATCAGCCGCGCCAAACGGCAGATAAATTCCCGAAGCTGCGATCTGAGGCATCCCAGCTTTGAAACCATGCAGAAAACCACGCAAGACGGCAGTGATATGAAGCCGCCGCATGTCAGTTTCATTTAGCACCTCCCCATGGCACTGTGTGTCCTTGAGGCAGCAGCTCCACCGCTCCACGTCCAAGATCAGCGTGGCGAGGAGAGCATGCGGAATAAGGGAGCAGAGGAATGGCCTGCATGCTTTCGCATTTGCTACTCATAAGAAGTGCTTGGGTGTACCAGCCTTTTTTCGAGTAAGCGCGGTAATATACTTTCATATACCATATTTTGCAGAAAGTTGTTATCACTAATTTGGAACACTCTTTCGAATAAGCCTTTTTTTATTGACATTGTTCCGCCAGCCCCTGCCGTATTTATCCAATTCTAGCGCACCCCGGACTCTAACCTGCACCCAGTTTCTATTCCAAGCTATAATAATTCTAACATGCTCCCGATTTCGGTTTCATAGCTAATGTCCATGCGTGCACGCAGCGGTTTTTAGGTAATATCTGTTTTCCAAAAAAAGTGCACGTTAAATTAGGGCATGTATGGTACTTGAATTCTATGCGTAACGAAAGCTAAAATTGACTCGACTTGAGTCAACACCATTGTACCTCTGCAGAAACTGCATGGACCTGTCGGCATTCAGCCAGTTCGTTGTGGACCTCCGGAACGCCTTGGAATTCGTGTGTACCCAGGAAAGGAACGAAGAGAATGTCGTGGAAAACCTGTGTATCCCCGACGAGAACATAATTTCGGAGCTCGTCGGCCACTGGGGCCACTTTGCGACTCGTAGAGTCGACGACGACAAGGAGTGCGCAGCCGCGGGACAAGCTGTCGCTCAGATCTGCCATCACTGGCCTCCAAACAAGAGCACACAGGCTCCTGCATGGGCCCAAACTTTGGGTTTCGTGCTGAGTCACGGAGAAGACAGCGTCGCCTACAACCTGGCCACGCTGGGTTGGGTGCAGCGATGGATCAGCGGCGCCGAAGGTCACGAGCGCTCCGCGGAACTGGTCGAGACCGGAAAGACGTGGCGTCTGGAGAGGCTACTTGGGAGAGTCTACCGGACGCTGGGGGAGCTCGCGACCGGTGGTGGCGACGAAGAAGCGGCATCGGTGGCTCTGGGCGTCCTCGACACGCTTTTCGGAGCGGCCGTGACTAGTCTGCTGCCCAAGGAGCAGAGGAAACCGTACCGGAAAGAGCTGGCGAATTTACAGGCATCGCAGGCTTCTGGTGCGTAGCCAGTGTCTGGAGTGTTTCATCTTGACATTTCCTATAAGTTGGGCACTATGTTTTAATTGGTGCAAGTGTAGTTAAACATTGTAAAGGCAAGGGGTGACTGAAGGAGTGTTTAAGGGGCAAGATTGCTTCTGGAGCTTTTTATTTTAACTTGTGATCCAATTCAAGTGACATTTACATTGCTTACTTGCCTTTACAATGTGACTACAAATATGTAACTTGGTTTCTGATGTAGCCTAATTAGTTTTGTTAATATTGAAATTTTCATTTGCAAAGAGAGTGGGAAGGATTAGGACAAATTAAAATATTGAAATCAGAAAATAAACATATCGCAGTATGCTGAAAGGGCTGTGGAATCCAACAAGCTATAAACAAAAGCTTTAGGACGATTTACAAGCTTTTTATGACACACTTCTGAATTTTCCAGTTTTTAAATTATTTATAGCAAGAAGTATAAAAAGCATCTGAAAGAGGAATCCCAATGTCATATTTAACATATTTATATCCCTTATTGAATGTCTTGTACATACACCTACTACTAGAGAAAAAGAAAATGAAGATTGAATGTGTGCAGGTGGAGATATGTCTTCCATAAACTAGCATTTTTAAAGATTTTTTTTCGCAGAGTGAAACTAAGTAATTTGGATGATCACTAATGTGCCTATTGTCATGTTTAAATATTTAAATACCTGTTTAAATATGTGATGAATGAAGCTAAAAGCCTTTTTTATCATTCCCCTCTACCTTCGTTACTGATACAGAATACAAAAAAGTTCTGGAGTGTCATTGGCTGATGTATAACTGTGCGAGCACTGTTGAAAATTCATCTCAATTTTTCGTTTCAGGGACTGACAGGGCTTTGGCCTGCACTCTCCTCTTCCACGAACTGCTGCTGAGGACGATCAAGGGTCCTCATACTTGTACATAACATTTCATTTATGGCACTCTAGGTCATATCTTAAATTCAATAAAGTATGGCAAGTAAATTTTAAAACTGTGTTGAGTTTCTGCTGTATTACGTCATTTGTCGGTACATTTCTACAAAACTGAAGGTGCCTAAAGACAGATGTGGGAAGGACACAGCAATGATTGTGTTGCGATGCATCCTTCCTGCGTCTGTGTATTTCGACACTTTCAATTGCGCAGTGAAGCTCCCTGTACAGGGTGTAAACACGTTGAAGGTGCTCTCTGTACAGAGGCTAAAATGTTACTACTCTAAACATATATTTTCTTTTAATTAAGATTTAGAAAATTTTTCATCTGCAGTTTGGTAATTAAATTACTAGTATCATGCCATAAAGTGCACATATAATGTCATTATTGTGGAGAATGTGGTGTTTTCCCTCAAAAGAGTGTTCTCTCGTGCATTTCAGTGCCGTCTACAAAGCGCCAGAAAGGTAGGGGGCCGTGGGCAATCGCGTCCTACGAAGAAAAGTCTGCTGCCTCCTTAAACTTAACACATCATTGACTTAAAATTTGTCGAAGTTCAAGCACTCAAAGTTGGGCGAGTGTGAGCAGCAGTTTAGGGTCCGAAGAGTTCCACTCATGTCATAGTGTAGGACAGGTGGAGCATGATGCGTGCTCCACCGCTGATTTGTTTTTATCAAAAATTGTGAGCACAGCAAGCACAGTGATGTGATTGGTCCAAGTCACTTTGGAGAAGCTCTTGGATAAGTCAATTTTGTAGCAGCAAAAAGAGCTTTTCAAATCTAAGCGCACTCTTCTTTTTCACTCATATCACTGCAAATATTATGTTACTGTTCATGTGTTGGCCTTTCCAGCTAAAAGGCAATGTCTACTTTGCCCCTAACCCTTTAATAGCATCAATTGCACAGCAGGTGTGATTTCTTAAACACAGAACTAGTAGCTGTTTAGTTGCATGTAGAAGCACCAGACAAGCTGTAACAAGACAGCTAATAAAGGACAGCACAAACTGACACGAGTAGTTCTTTCAGGTATGAAATCCCACTGACATAATGTCGGAATATAGTAATTTTAAGCACCTATATGTATGTTTTTTTTTAAGATTTAGAGGAGGAAATAAAATTGCAATTCTTAATTCAGATAAACAATGAAGCATAAAAAAAAACAAGAAAACCTACAGAAGAGAATATATAAATCTTGTGCTAAAAAGTACCCTCGCAAAATCTTGATTTAAAAAAGATTCTGATGGTGAGCATCCATAGTGCTTTTTCAACGTGCATTCCAATCCATCAAGATTCACCAGTCTTATGCGAGCTCGTTCTGAGAATGCGCTATAAATGGCACACTCAAATAGGGCGTCCAGTAAATACCTCCTGTATACTCTGTTTCATACTTGGTATACAATGCTGTCGAAGCTACTGGCATGAGCGCGTGGCTTCATCTACGATTTTGTTTGCGCGAGAACGTGTGCAAATGATCTGAGAGATCAAACCCCATGCTCGCGCCGGCAGCTTTGACAGCGTTGTGCACTAAACATAAAACAGTATAGACAATTGCAAGCATGGTGCCGTGACTGGTGTGTGCAAGCACGTGCATCGTGCGTGTAGCTTTGGCAAGCTTGCATTTGCACGGGGTTGTCCGCTCGAGTAGAGATTCAACGGTGGCCAATTGCACCCCGTGCAATTGTCTATATTCAAGACAAAGATTTGCTCAGAAATTAAGCGTCTCGCTCTGGAGGAGCGCTTTTCCCTCACCATGCGGGTGCGCTGCGGCGAAGCAGGACACATAAAATTGCAATGACTATGGCTGTCGCTTCACTGCAGTATGTTGGTGTGCAGTGAGAAGCGGACTCAACGAAACTAACCCGCCAGAACAACCAATGAACACGAGTATTGCAAAACTTCGGACCACTGTCAGTGTTCGATGCAAAATCAAGTCGAACAGTATGTTGAGGCGATTATCCAAGTTTGGAAAATCCGCGCTAGTATATCGTAGTGATCCGGCCAGGCAGCGAGGCCTGAGCTATTTATTTTCAGTATTATTAAAGTGAAATGAAGTTTTGGTGCAATGTTGGCACAAATTCCTCACATCTTGGTAAAATTTAGCAGAATGCAGCAAGGTAAGCGCTTTGGCATAGTTTGGTGCAAATGGTGCAGGATCTCATCACTGCAAGCATAGAGTTTTGCAGTGGCAACAGTCACTATAAAAAGCAAGAGTTGAGCAGACAAACACAAACAAGTGTGAAGAAGTGTCAAGATATGCGGTATTGAACCTGTGCTTTGGGTGGCTATTGATATCAATGCCCCAAGCATGTTAACTGTTGCACTATCAAAGCAAGCTAGAAATAAGCCCATTAAGTTTTACAATACGGTTTTCTATATAAAAAAAAAAATTACATAATAAATATTTATGGCCAGATATGCTCCCAGTCGGCAAACTTTACACACACAAAAAAAAAGGGCATACTAATTTGAACCTGACTATGCTAAAAACATGCTGTTTTTCAAGTGGGCATGGCACTTGTATGCCCAGCAGGAGTGCCGTTGGGTTGCACCCTAGACCACGACTTTCTCTTGACACTACGAAAAGAAATACTAAGAGGCAATGAGGGCATCCGAATTACTTATTATTCATGCTATTGTGCAGAAGGAAAAAGAAAAAAAAAAGTATGAGCACTGTTGGCTTTTGAAACTACAGAACAATTGTCCAGTTAATGTGTGATGACGGCACCCATCTCTAATTTACGACGCGTCACTCGTTGATATCTCCGAGCCGGTATTTGCCACGCATGTTTTTGGGCAGCGGCACTATCCCAGGGCACGGAACCTGCCCGGGCACTTCACAGATGCAGAACTTGTCGTAGTTTCGACCAAAGTTCGCCGGCGTGTCCCGCTTCTCCCGCAGCAGCGCCTCCTTCTCCAGCTGCTCGTACGTTTTGCCCAGGGTGACCATCATCTGCTTGAGAATTTGGTCCTTGTCTTTGCTGTCCACGTCCATGATGACTTCCTTGCCATCCTCCAGCCAAAACCGCACAAAAGGCGTGGGGGTCATGTTTTTAAAGATGACTACTTGCACGTTGGGGTTCTTGTACTGCACTTGCGGGAGGTACCAGAAAACAAAGTCCTTCATGCCTTCGTGGCGATCCCTCGCTTTTCCAGCAGTGTTGAAGTTGAGGCTCATAATTTTCACTCTGTCCTTGAAGACAAGCCGACCTCTCTCCAAGTACTGAAGTGTCCTCCGAATGGGAGCTGCTCCTCGCATGAAAGGCATGTTGGCTACCTTTTTCGTGGAGTTCGACGTTATGAGATTACACTAATTCAAAGTATGCTCGTTTGTTGTGCTCACCGAAAAGCCGCGCACAGCGTGCATGCCATTCCCCATGCACCCAACCCCAGAAGCCATTAGAATTGGATAGGATTGGCTTCAGATAGACTTCTGGAAAGGCTTCAGTAAACACGGCGTCAAATGAAACGAAGCCGAAGGGCGCAGAAGCAATGGCTAAAAATGAGGGTTGTAAATTATCATGGCATAATTTTAGAATGGTACCAAATAAATAAAATATATTGGCGCGTGAACACATCGCTATTTTAAATGAAACTGCGCAACACATTCGAAATGCGCAGTCGTAAAAGGGCGTAGGTGGCGTTGCCCTCCGCATCCGATTAAAAAGTAAAATGCGAGAGCAAAGTTACTGTCGATTCTGTTTTTCGTTGAGTGAGGTGTGATTCGAGCCCGCACTTTTGAATGTTCCAGGGGTTGTGGCAGCGGTAGTTCGACGTATCGACCGCGGCTCAAGCAAATGTGACAATGGACTTGTACTACCCCGCAGTGGTCGTACTCCTAATAGGCGCGGCGGTAACTACCGCAGCAGCGGACAATGTTTGTGACCAACAAGTTGGCAATCTGAATGGGCCCCTCATATTCAGGTAAATTGTCATTCCACGTTTCAATCTTTCCGCGAGCGTTTGTCCTTGAGCATCGATGTGTTTTTGCCCATTTCGTCTCTGTTAAACGTTCCGAAAGTCGTGTTACTAATGTCTCCGGGCGTTATTAAGCGTCTGTCCCAAGAGAAATCAAAAGGGATGTTCCAGCTCTCGTGACTCATCTGCGACTCCGCAATACAAAGCATGCGCTTTCGCGGAACAACGGAATAGCGTCGTCATTCGATTACACCATGGCACGCGGGTTCTGCTGATTCATTTCACTGCTCATTGCCAAATTTACGTATCGGCGTGAATTTAACGCGTACGGTGCCGACGTTTTGGGGGCTTTACTTTTCCCGTGCCGGTTTCACTCGTTGCTCGTTTTTTGGTCTTCGCGATTTCTTGACTGGAGCGTTTGTTGACTTATCAGCGCACGCGATGGCTGGTTTTGTCACCTGTTGTGACAAGTCGCCGCTCATTGTGAACTCTATGTCCGCCTTCCACCTTTATTGCTTTTTGATGTTCGGTTGATAAGACCGAACATCAAGGCCGTATTGCGTGTCGAACGATGTTACACCCGCATATCGTTGCGCTGTCGAGCACGGAGGTTTCAAGCTCGTTTTTCGAACAGAAAGATTTTTCGTCCTGTGGTGCGTCGCGGATAGATTTTTACGCGGTGAAATTTGGACGTGTCGCAAGGTTTACTGTTCTCGAATGCACTGGCATGCCTCAGGCGCGCGTTGTGCCTATGATTCATCGCGCAGCGCTTGTCACTCTCGCTTTTAGTACGCTCTAATCTTGTTTGTTCGAGAGAGCTAGTGATTGTTTCCCCGAGGCTTTGCTAGTTGAGATAGCAGTGCATGCTTGCAGATAAATATTTGTGAGGACCCAGAAAGGCAAAAGCAGAAGGTCGGAACTGGTGGATTGTTATTTTTTGTTTCTTTTTATGGTTTGTGTTCTTTTCTGCTACTGTAGCACCGACCAGTTAGTTCATATGAACGCACCCTTTCCCAGGCCCAATAAGCCTGGGAATGGTGGCAGAGGTGCAAAACAAACGTTTTAATAATACTAGTTTGAAACAGTCTATGCTGAGGCCAACTTGGGATGAAGCAAGTTCCCTGCTGTCTTAAAGCAGCTGTGGCCTCCTCAGAAATAACCCGCGTAAGGGAAGCTGTATTGATTCAAACATTTTAATGAAAGTTGGTGCCATTTTTCATGCCTGGAATGGCGAATTTTAGAACAGTTATCAAACCAGGAGATATGTATAGGTGTGTGTCGTGAGATAACATCGTGTATCCTAGAGTTTTTATACAGTTAAATTCATGATTCACAGAGCGTTTGAGATCTGAAATCATTTATTAGGAATTTCGTGAGGTGTTGACGCGAGCAATTTCCTCGTATATATCTGCTGCCAAATGTTGTATTGTTCTTGAGAAAGGAGAAGGGGGCAGGTGGGTGCTACCCTTGTGAGGAGCCGATGAAATATGATGACACCTCCATCACATGCTTCTTTCAAGAGTGTACCCTCACCTGTCTGAGTCAGGGAGGCATGTGATGGATTTTTTTTTGATTTGTAGTTTAATATAATTCGGTTTTATTCTGGGCCAGCTGGGAGTTAGATGGGGTCGGCTCTCACATGCTCTATGGTTCAGAGGCAGGTGCAGGCTTGTGCAGGAAATGGGAGCATAGGAGCAACGAGCCTTCCTTATTTGAGGCAAAACTGCAGCTGTAGCTGGTTTGTTGCACGTACGAGTGCAAACATAAATGTTGGCAAATTTAGACTTGGTATAGCAAAAATATTGCTGATCTATCTTGGGCAGCTTCTACACTGGCAGAGCAAGCTTACAGAGTCAAGTGTAATGAGGCAAAGAAAGATGTTGCTTTGTGTTGTTCTCATTAGGTTGAGGTTTTTCTTGGCACCTGGGATGGCATATTTTATATTGTCAAGCAAAGAAAGATTTCATAAATTATTCTTTTGCATCTGGCTTAAAGGAAATTATTTCCTGGAATATATGTTTCTAAGTTTACGCATTATGCGTTAGTAAAAAAGTGGATGCTTGCTTCCTTCCACTCAGTGTTGCTATTGCAACTATTGTGGAGTATTTCATCTAAAGCTTTATAGAACATTCCATTGACCCTATTGCAAGGGCTGCATCTGTTGGGATTGGAACAGATGTGTCTGAATCTTCCTTTTGTCAGGGCATATTTTTTATTACAACAGGCCGACAACAAGATCCGTAGCTCGTACAGGACACCATGTTTATTAGAAGTGCTAAGATAAACTTTAAACATATTACTGCATGTGTACATCTGTGTATGCATTTTTTTTTTCGTGAAAGTAAAAAAGATTTGCCACTAATTACGATTTTACTTTGGAGGTGAACAACCCATTTGATCTGATATAATTCTTTCAAAGCAGTTAACTTTCTTGGAATCTTCACACCACTTTAAAGTGTTTCTGGTCTTTCATTTTCTCTGCTAAATTTAGCGGGGACTCCATATGACTATACAGAAGTTCAGTTCCCCCTCTAGATTTAGTGGGAAAATTGCCGTCACATAAGCTCAGCACCCATTAATTTGAGTGTAGGTCATGTGACCTACACTCAAATTTGGTTTACATGCTATATTTTGTTTGGAAAATTGACATCTGATCAGGCTACAATTATGTCTGTAGTTAATCCATTAAAGGTTAACTTGGGTTGAAAACAAAACCAAAATAAATGACTGGTATTGCTTTAGTGGCACACAATTTGATCACAGCCGAAATATTACGTCAAAGTGAAACCGCATATTCCACTAAAGTTTTAGCGGGTTAGCTTTTAGTTGAGCAACACTGGGTGATGCGTACCACGTCACCCCTGTGTTGTTACATTGCAGTGGTGCTGCGGTTGATTCCACACATTGTACCATTAAAGGGGCCCTCCGGAGCGTTCTGCGATGGTCTATTTATGGCGGTAACTCAATCTACGGGCCCTAAGGATCCTAAAATTCATAAAATTACGGTCATGCGCGGCAGATTTCCCGGCTAAAATTGCTATCAAAGTCCCGGGCACACACCCTTTTCTGAGATGACCTCGAAAAATAAGAGGGGCATCTCTTTACGCATCAGCCAATAGCAAGCGAACGATTCCGGCTTCACTGTGCGTCACCAACGCGGCCGACCGCCGACATGCGGAAGAATCTCTTGAACGAGCTCAGACCGTCGTCAAAGAGCCCGGACTGCGTGCTCGGCAGTCGTCGTTCATGGCACCGCACCGTCGCGCTGCTACTGCAATACGCAGTCGCATTCCGCAGATGACAAGGAAAAGTTTGACTCGTTGACGTAGAGAGATCGCCAAGCTGGCTTCGGAGTCGGGATCCACGGGAAGAAGGAACACGTGTCCTGCCAACGCACGCCTGCACACGCCCCGGGAAGCAGACGACCCGACGACCCGACGCATCACACCCTAGCAACAAGCTTGCGGGGAGAAAACATAGTTCGCTGGTTTTGGAGTGATAATTGCGAACTATGTTTCTCGCACCACAATCAGTTTACATTTTTCTCAAACTCTAATTTACAACAAGCTTAAAAAGTGTTGCGATAATAATGTTCGCTTTCGCCAGGATATGCAGCATTTCCATTGGTCAAGTTTTAGCAATGGGCAGGGAGTGGGGGATTGTCTTCCAAGAGAAAATAGTCCCGATATATTTCTACTGCCATCTGCTTAATAAATGGTTTCATAATCTAAAACTTTGTATACATATTAACTTGCACCTACTACGCAATATAACAACATGAACAGACGATCTCAGAAAGCTCCGGAGGGCCCCTTTAACCACAGCACCCCCGTGACATTGCGTCACGGCTGCACAGCTGATGATCAGTGTTGCCACCCTCTCTAGCAGATAGTGTAGGTTTTGCCGTAGTCGCCCGAAACCAAACCTTTAGCCGTGATATTTGTAAAGCTACACACAATACCGAGACGGGAAAAAAAAATTGTACCTTGTAATTCAGGGACGTTGACTAAGCTGAAAACATTCGTAATCCCAAATTCGAAAAAATTGATCGGAGTTGCTCTTTAATTAAACGACAACATAGTGTTCTGTCCAAATTTTTTGCTTGATGATTCTTTGGCTTAAGTTGGAAACGTTTTCCTCTCTCCTAATATGGAATAACTGCGAAGGCTATGAATGCTTGACTGGTACTTCCGCTGCACGAGCATTTGTGCTGAAGAGGCTCTGTCAAATGTAAGGAGCTCGCACTTGTAGCCTTTTTGGTAACCGTATTATCCCGAGATATAGCCCATCTGAAATCAAGAGCAAATCGGGTGAAAATATGGAATGGGCTAAACTTTCGGTGTGCAATCAAGAAAAGTTCAAAAAATCCTGTTTTTTGGTCATGTGTCCCTTCCATGCTCGTTATCGTGGCGAGGGGAAACAAAGCAAAAGTGAATTTCACAGTCAGCAACGTTTGCTTATATCCCGCTATAGCTAACTAGCCGTAATTTACGCCGAGGTCATCATTGACCCCAACACTAGAATATACATTTTAATAGATTACCCATGCATCAAAAAGAATGCTGGGAATGCAGGCACACTTGCTGTGAAAGCCTTTGCCTTATCTGTATTAAATATTTGAAGTAAACAACCAATTTAGAACATTGATGAATGCATGTGCAAAATGCCATTTGTTTTGGATTTTTACGTCACAGTAGTTATTGCTTCAGAAGGCAGTACGCGCAGTGCTTGTAACTACACTCGCGCACACTCCCTGAGCTTGGGTAATTTAGTGAAAAGTCTATTACTAAGATTTGGGTATCTTTCGGTGTAACAAAATAAAGCAAATCAAGCCAAAAATTAGGGGTGGGGCATCTCATTGGGGATATTATGGTAGTTCATTTTAAAGTAAAACAAGTATATAAAAAAAAAACAAGATCAAGCTTTTGAATTTTTTGACAAGTTTGATTTAAATTATGATCCTCATCATCGATATCTAAGTAAACAAGTCTAAAGGATGTTGCTTTTTTTTTTTTCTCTTCCTTCTGGTTCTAGACACATCTTTGGGTTACTATTTCTGTGATGCAATATGTAGAATAACAATGTAACATATTATTGCTTGTTGCTATATAGCATCAGAGGTATAACAAATGAGCTTCCTGCATCTACATTGTAGTTCAAGAGGAGGTGTCTTTGGGGTGAAAGAAGTATAGCTTCACGACAGGAACTTGCCTATTTGGCACCATATGGCTTTACATTCCTGCATCTGTATTCCATTTTCTTCCTGGATTGAAGCTTCGTTTTTATTCATTTGCTAGACAGATATTAAAATATTACTCTTAAAAGAAAAAAAGTTATCTTCTAGAAAGTGGAGTTTGACTTGATTGGCTGGTTGGATCTTTCACTGTTAGAGCAATATACAAACATAATTCTGAAGGAAGCTTTGTTCTTATTAATTTGCTTGATGGATATTTAAAATGTCTGATTGCTTTTCTTCAAGAGCAGTAAGCAAGCCCATAGAGACTGTGGTACGGCTGGCTTGGTTGGCTGGTTGTGCGATTTCGGACTGTGCGGGTCTGACCGCACAGTCCAAAATCTGAAGGCCAAAACGGTCCAAAAGCCAATGTTAGTTTTTATCTATATCCTTTGCACTTTCATTCCCATGCCATGCAGCTTGTGACGCACGACTTTCAAGGATGACCTCCAACCTCAAAGACCCAGGCACACAAATGATAATTTTTAACAAAGGCACACAACACGTCCAGTCAAAGGAAAACACGGATCAGACTTTTGCCCTCATACTTTGCACACCCTTTCTTAACGAGGAATTTGTATGCAATAGTTCAAATCTTTTACCTTAAGCTGTCTCCTATGAGGTGGAGCACTGGAAGGCATTCGGAGTGTGCTCAGTAGGGCATCGATAACATAGTCAAAGGACTGTAGAGCTGGAATAAAAGTAGCCCTAATATTTTGGCTTGCTGGGCCAGGCATTCAGGCCGATTCCTAGGTCAAAGTGCTAGCAGTATTCTAGTTGCAATTGTTTTCAAGCATCCTTACGGTTGTTGAAATATATTGTAAGTGGAACTACTGCACATATTTGAAGTGAACACATGCCGGGCAGCCTGCACTAGCCTGCGTGCCCTTGGCAAGGGAAGGAATTATATTTCACACTAAATAGCTCTATCATGTAGGTGCAGTGGCTTTCGAAGTACTCTTCGAACCTATTCAGTTTCCTCGTTCCAGTATGACCACTGCTTTCACAAATGCTTGCATGTCTATTTCTTATTGTACTTGCACTTCCAAGAGATTGGCCAGATCTGCTAACAAGTTAAAATGTATGTATGAAAACCAACCTGCTTATCACCTCTTGTTGCTAAATAGTGGTTATATGAGCAAACTGAGTGAAGGCTAGTTGTGTGTTCAACATTTCAAGAGTGGGAACTGGTGTTTCAGATGACTCAAAATTATAATTAACTTCCCTCAAAGCAAATTGTTAGTCAGCAGCACATGAATTGTCTTATGGTGTGCCGCTGGGTACTACTTAGAAAGTAGTACCCAGGATAGACTGTTACCATAATATGTACTCGGGAAATATATTTCACACTGCCATGAAACATAGTAAAATTGGACATACTGAACTTGCTAATGGTAACTCTTTATTTTTGGTTTAGAAATTGATAATAATTATGGTAGTCATTTCAAAATAACTGTTTTTGTTCTACTTCCCTAGGCCCCATTGATATAAAGATTGGAAATGTTGCTGTCGTATGCTATTTCTGTTGACTGCCTATTTCAATGTTCACCATGTCAATTGGTACCGTGAAACCCTTGATTGAGGCTAGCCACCAATTTTCACGAGTTTTCTAAACAGCGTAAGAAATCATTGCAGTGATGTGATTCACTGCAACTGTGTCAAAGGGATTACTCTGCTACATCCTGCTACATTTGACCGAAATGCGGGCGATTTGCACCTAATAATACTGAAAATAAATAGCTCGGGCATTGCTACCTGGCCGGATTGTTGCAATGAACTTGTGCGGCTTTTCAGGACTTCCGGTGATCGCCTCAAATAACTATTCACACCGTGCACAGACGTACTGCAGTGAAGCGAGAAGTGCAGAGTAGTCATCGCGATTTTCTGTCCCCTGCTTTGCCGCGGCGCTCCCCCCTGCTAAGGGGAAAACGCCCCTTTAGAGTGTGCCCTGGCACAATTTCTGAATAAAACTTCGGCTTGTGTATTCACTGGACACAATTTTTGAGTGCACTGTTTATAACGCATGTTCAGAACGAGCTTACATAATAGGCTGCCAAGACCGGCAACCTTGATGTTGGGTTGTGCACGTTGGAAAAGAACTGTTGATGCTCACTGTTAGCATGCGGTCAGCAGTTGCAAGGACAGCTATGGCTGCCATTGCTACTTCCTATTTATAGAATAGACTGCAATACCCTTGCGGCATCTTTTTTTAATTCGAGATTTCGCAAGAGTACTTTATATGAATATGAGATTTATATAGGAGATTTATATGAACTCTTTTGTATGTCTATTTTTTTTATTATCTGGATTAATAATTGCAGTTTTATTACAACCTCTAAAACCTAAATCTGGAAAAAAAAAAAAAATTTAGGTGCTTAAAAGTATTGCATTTTAACACGATTTCAGTGGGATTCTGTACATAAAATAACCATTCACATCTGTTTGTGCTGTCCTTTATCAGTTGTCTTGTTACAGCTTGTCTGGTGCTTCTATGCACAACTAAACAGCTGGTTCTGTGTTTGAGGGAATCGCTCCTGCTGTGCAGTCAATGCTAATAAAAGGTTACACATAAGTGATAAGGCAAAGTAGACATTGCCTTTTAGTTAAACAGGCCCATACATGAATTTAAACATAACATTTGCAGTGATATGAAGATGAAGTGTGCCCTTATGCTCCAAGAGCCTTTTTTTTTTTTTTGCTTCGAAATTTACTTTTGACTGCTCCAAGAACTGCTCCAAAACGACTCGGACCAATCACATCACTGTCATTGCCACAAGTATTTTTAAAATGTTTCCTACGCTTACATACTCTTGGAGCTGTGGGCATGGCAAATCTGGGTTTTACAGCAAGCAATAATCACAGATGATCATGTGTTCTGATGTCTCTGGGTCTGATTGTTTGCAGGCATTCTTGGCAGTTGGCAGTGCCGGTGGCAAAAGGGAGTCCTGCCTTCATGTACATTTCCCTCTGCGAGCCGCTCAGCTTTCCAGCCAGCTCACCGGCGGCCATATGCAACGGGAAGTCCATCTGTCGTGTGGCCGATGGCAAGGCAGAGGTGTACTCCGACTTTGTGGCCAACACGACCAACGTCGAAGTGAATGGTGCCTGGATGTTCGTGAAAGGCAATCAGTGCCGAGAGCGGGAGGGCAAGGCTTACAAGGTGTCTCTGAGGATGGTGTGCGCATCCAACTATGTGAGTGGAGTGTTCTTGTGGGCGCGGGCCACACCTTGCTTACTTTCATATTTGTTTCAACTAACACACTCCCAACAAAAAGAAAAAATGGCACAAAAATGCGTGGATTGGGGAGAAAAGTATTCGAGACAAGCGCCGACTATTTGTGCGCCGTTATTAAATTTCTAGTTGCGAACCGACTCGCTTGCATTGCCACTCTGATCCACTTTTCACGGCAAATCTTTTTTATCTATGGAGAAACCTTCATTGCTGTTTTAGTATTGTTTTCAAGGGGTGGTTTAGTGCAAGCAAAACTTAAATGTAAATGAAATTTAAAAAAAATCAATCTAGCATTACTGGAGTGTAAGGAAACATTATCCCTCAAATGCAACTGAAAACTTGTCAAGAACACATCTCTAGGCAATCTATTCACTTCTCAACAGTTCTAAGGAACAAAAAAAAAAAAAGAGGGTGCGACAAAAGCAGGTTTTTTTTTTCTTTAGGCTTTTGTTTTTGCTTTGGGATAGGCTTGAACACCTTTTACTTGCTTTTCATAGGTTCATTATAATTTTGTCTATTGAATGCAGAATGTTTCTCGTGTTGTATCTCCTGTTTATTGCTGTTTCTATTTTGCTTTCTTTCTTTAGGTCTTTTATAGGTAGGGTTTCTGGCGTTTTGCCCTTTTGGGAAAGCACCAATAATTTCATGTCGAACATTATTTTGAAGACAATGTGTTCCATTGCATTTATTTTTACTTACTTTAGAGAACCTTGCACTCACAGGTCATTTTAACGATGATGATTGTTATTAGCCCAGCTGTCACCGTAGGATTGAAGTTTATTGGAAAAACAGAGCAGTTGCCTGTTTGAGTTGAGGCTGGTTTCCAATTTAATGTCCGAGAACAGGTACAGAAAGGGAAGAGTTGTGGGGGAGGACGGACAGACGTGCATTTGATCAACTTTCTAAATGCATGCATTTAGGAGTTAAGCCTCCAAACAAAGTAGGGTATGGATCTTGATTGTTATACCACATCACTTTGCTTGTTTCCCTGAGATATCATTTTCCTCTCCTCATAATCTATTTGACCAATTTTATGCACCAACGTCCCACTTGCACAGAATTGGTTATGTCTTCATCGTAATGCAATGAACACCAATTTATTATGTCAAATAAAGTTCAAAATTTAGCCCCGGATACCCTATTAATGGGCATAATTTTTTTTTTTACTAGGGGTCAATTTATTTGGCGATAAAGTCAAAGCTGTGGGCACCTATGTGCTTGCACACCTTGAGCTTCGGTCGAAGCTTTCTGTTTGGGACCTAGGAACAGGCGGGGAATAGCTTGTGCTAATTTACTTTTTGTTGCCACATGGCTTCGCGCCTGTAGCAGCCGTCGTCGCCATGATGTAAGCTGCACTACACGACCGGCGTTATCATACTAGGAGTCCCACTTGACAAGCGATAAGCTGTGGGTCCTTCCTTGGGTTGACACAAAGCCTTTGTTCGATTTCGTTGCAAGCACTCGCATTCAGGCAGACGGTTGTCTTAGAGGGATGAATCATATTTCTCTCTCAATCAGAAACAGCTTATTCCGACCTCCAGTGTTCCTACGTTTTCTCAAATTCAGGTCGGGAATTTTCGAAACTTTTCAATGTTGGGGAACGCAAGTCTCTGTTGGGAGAGAGTCGGGAAAATGGGGAGCTTGGGGAGCCGATGAGGATGCTTTGGGGAATCCTTTGGTTTCGAGGAACTGTTTGAGAACTCATGATCTACTAGATCTAGCCATAGAAGAGAATTTATTTTAATGTGTTGGGAAAAAGAAAATTAGTCTGTGCAATTGCAATCTTTATGGCCTCTCTTCTAGATATGTTATCTCACAGGTATATCAATTAAATAACAGTTTCATTATTTAACTATTCACATTAAAAAAAAAAGTGTTTCTAATATCGCTGTCAGAACAAATATGTGACAAAAATTTAAGGAAGTGGGCCTCGTGACAATTTATATTTTCTTGGAATAAAGTGAAGTCACCAAGGGGGCATATGAACACATAGACAAGTGTTTTTTTTTTTTGTTTGTTTTGGATTCAAATATGAATGGCAAGCACTTTAACCTGTGTGAAGAATACAGAACTTGCTGGTCTTGTTGAATTTGGAAAATATATTTTACAATGTTGCGCTGTTTAAATGTAACAATTTTGCATTCAAGAATTATGCTTTCAATTCAAATTGTCATAGTTGCCCATGCCACCATTGCTTCGTGTGTGGCAAGCCGCCCTGACATGCAGAACTCCGAACTTCTCCAAACTTTTTAATTATCTCTCTTGCAAGCTGCATCCATGGCTCGGATTATGCTGTGAAATTATAGTACCTACGGATAAAACGTTAGGGCGCAAACAAACTGGTGAAAGTTTAACATTTCAGACAAAACCCCTAGACTGGGGAGATTTTGCCCCCAAAAGAAGCGTGTGAAGCATTTGTTTTATATCTGAGGCCAGTGCATGCAGATGTGCAGCAAATCCCTAGATTTGCAGTGACTACTCTGTCCTGAAATTAGAGTTGCAAAAAGCAATGGAGCATGGCACAAAAAAATTGTTGCAAGGCAAAGTGTGAGCAGCGAGGCATGCAAATGAGATGCACATGCACAACTTTTAAATATCTCCAAACAGGGTGCAAAATTAAAAAAAAGTTCCACAATCAATAAACCAAAAACTGTCAAATGAAAAAAAAAACATAATGGTAATTTTGTTTATTGATATGAAATTGCAGCAAAGGAAATTAACATTTTTTTTCTCCAACTAAGAACTGAAAAAGGTATGCCAAATTTTGGAAATATTCGAAACAGAAGAGGCCAGTTTCTACTTGCCCTATATCATGCTGCAGAAGTCTGGATGTCCAGTCAGTCGGCCGAGGATTGTGGAGTTGCGTGTGACGGTTCTGTTGCCTCCTTCTTAGGGCTCTCCCGAGTTCTACACAGAGGCGATGTGTCAGGTGTTCTTGCTGTGGAGGACGTCGGCAATTTGCCCTCGGGTGCCGGGAAAGCCGGCCAGGACGGAAGTTCCGTGCTACGTCTACGACGACCGAGGGTCCCGCTTCGACCTCTCTGGACTCATCAGGGCTTCGGGGGGACACAGAGTTGAGACGACAGACCCTAGCGTGGACCTGCGCATCAACGTCTGCTCGGACATGTTGCCCGGTGAGCCGCCATTTATTACGGCGTGTTACCTCCGGCCTGCATGACTGACTCTTATAAAGCTGCATCAGAGGGTGACAACCTGTCTGAAAACAATGTTGACCTTGTCAGACAGCTTTCTAAGGCTGCTGGGAGGAGAAGGGGTGTAGGATACCTCTGGAGGTGTTACTGACACCTCTGGTCGCGAAATATTTCCGTCAATTCTTTTATGGGACAGCTTTCCTCGGGGAAAAGTGGATGGGCAATCTTTCGGATCAGTCTAGACACCTGGAAGATGGCTGGATAGATATCCATGCTCGCGTCCTTCTAAAGTGTAGTTTGTGGAACTATGTTGTTGCTTGCTAGTTTCCTCTACTGCAGCTAGGTTTATAATAGTGTTAATGTTCCATTTGGAAGAAATGATGTAGCGATAGAGAAAAAGCTTCTGTTTGAAGCTTGTTGAGCCTCGAGCCATATCAGAGGTGATAAAAATAATTTTGTGCATTTCAAGCAGTACACAATACTGTAAGAAATCGCGTACCGCAGCCGATACGCCAGTTCCCACGTGGTCCGTGAACAACCAGAGTCCAGCCTGGTTCTTTCACGGGAGCGAAGTTCCGCTCCCTTTTATTGGTTCACAAAACAAGATACTCCAAAGCACTGACTCTAAACTACAAATAACCGCGACATCACATATAGATTAACACTGGACATAGATTAACACAATGGCACAAAGAGGGCCCCCAGGCCTTGTGTCCCGCGATTACCCGAGATCCCGTCGCACGCACTTGCCTGTTCTTGTTTCGTTTTCCTTTTAAAGCATAATACCGTAAATTGTAAACATGACTTGTATGTGGACTGTGCGTCATGGACTTCCGCGATTCCGTACTGGGATCTGTAGCGCGCATCGCCGAACCGAGTAAGCACTGTGCTAATGGGGAATCGACTGTTGTCTCTTCTCCAGAAAACGAAGTTTCATACCCACCTTTGAGCGGAGCTTGCTTGATGAGTGGCGGCACGGGATGCACGTCTGTTGGGGAAGTTCGCTCTGGTCTCAAGTTTCAAGGACAGGATCTCTTCCTGACGTACCTTCCCAAGGAGGGAGCTCTTCCCATGCCCGGCTGCGATGCCGCTCCGAGGACGACCATCAAGTTTGTGTGCCCCGGTCGTAGGAACGTGAGTGGCTCCTTGCACTCTGTCTCGGTTGTGTTGCATGTTCTCTTTCCGGTTAATTGTGGTAGGTGACACTGAACCAATGCTTAAAGTTGAGAGGAATGTCAGACCCTCCACCGATTTTGACTGGTGGTCTGGGAACCCTCCATTGTAGCTCCAGTATTGGTGAAACCCCCAGTCGTAAGTAATAGATCTTGAGATAAGACACAATGGTTTTCAAGTTTTGTTGAGTAGTCATGTTGAGAGAAAATTAATGGTGCGAGTAGCCATGCGCCTTAATTTCGTGTACAACAAAAATTTATTTTGGTTTTATTTACAGATAATTCCTCAGCACCGAAGCTTTACAGCAGGGGAGCGGGTGTTTAAATATTGGAAGACTTGTATCAGGCTGTTGGGCATTTTGGTTTGACAAAATTTGCCTGTTTTGTAGGCACCTAATTCCCCCCCCCCCCCCCCCCCCCCCCCTTCCCCTTCCAAATTAGAGTCGGTACAGAACCCCCTCAACTTACGGAGAAATTTAAGCACTGCACTGAATTTGTATCGACCCGATAGACCTCAAAAAGAAAGGAGTCGGAAAAAACTGGTTGAAATGCACCATCTAAATTTCACTGCTATTTGAATTGAGGAGGCAAAGTGCATTATTTCACAGTGCATTTTTTTTCCCGTGCATTGGGCACATTTTGTCACTAGCAGTCTTAAAAGCAGAAATATTGTTGAAATTTTCCTGCAATTTTAATTGCATATATTAGTCATATTTTGTGGCAAACCAATCTTTAAAGTTTCAAAGCTCGTGCAGACGAGCTTGGGTAAAAGGAGTGAGGTTTTCTTAGGTTGTAATGTATTGCAATACTTCAAGGTAAAATTGGCCAAGTTAAGTTGTCAGGTCAATTTTTGGCATATGATGCAGAAGGCTTAGCAAAAGATGCATTGTTAGCCCCATCCATCTTTGCACTAATCCACCATTTTCCAAAGAACTGGTGTCACCTATTGGAAAACTGGGTTGGAGGATTCCTAGGACGAAACATTAGTGCCATTAAAAAGAAGAGGGTAGCAGTTATTAACTAACTTGGGGGCGAGAGATGAGACACAATGGGCTCAAAACGGGTGTTGGGAAAGCTCAATCTAGGTCACTGAAGCCAAAGGAATATATGCTTCTTTGCTGGATTTCGTTGTACTCAGTTTAGCATATGCACTCAGTAGTGCATATGCACTCAGTTGAGCACATGCTCACATAAAGACAGTTTTCGTGCAACTGTTGTATAGTTTAAATGGGACGTAGTTGGGTTGGGCAACACACAATAACATAAATAGTAGTTTATGCATAACTACAACAAAAAAGTATGGCCAAGAAAAAATAGAACTATTGGCACAAACTACTTGAATTCTAGCGCCTTCCAATCGGCAAATAAATAGATTTTCTATTCTGCCCCAACTCGGCTACGTTGAAATTCGACATTGCGGCTGTCACGAAAAAACTGTCTACCGTAAAATACTGGGGAAGTTCCCACTCCACTTTCACTGAAAACTGGGTTAATCCAGACATGGGCATTTGTCCGGTCGAATCGGGCGCTTAACGTATAATTTGCAGACTTCCCAAGTTCGGGATATGTGAATAGTGGGCGCTTGAATGAAGTGGGTGCTTCCGCAGTATTTTACGGTATATTCTTTAAAACCTGAACAAGTGGTTTCTGAAAAGGGTGCAGTGCCCGACCCCAGGCATGCAACTTCTAGGATATTTTTAACCCAGTTTCTATTTTTATCAGCAGATTTTTATTAGCATATTGCTCCGTAATTGCAAAGAGTCTCGTTAATCACCAATGTTTGAGCTGCGTGTGTTACCCTGCCACGGCACAAAATTTAATGGAATGTTTCTTGAATTCTTGAATTGGCAAATTACTTGCACCTTCCATGCTCAGTTTATTCTTATCAGGTTCTTTTTCTTACAGAGCCATTTGCCGAGATTGCTCTCAGACATGGACTGCCACTACTACATTGAATGGGAAACCCAGCATGCCTGTTCTTTGGATCAGCTGAGCGCAGATGTTGCAACATGCAAGTTTACGGGAGATACTCACGGCGTGGACATCGATCTCAGCCCGCTGCAGAAGACTGAGGGTACGGTAATTTTGTTTCTTGAAATTAGTTATTTTTAAGGCGAAAAGCATATCTTAGTTTCTTGTGTGTATGTGTTTGCACTGCAAGAATGTCGGTGGGAACCACTGGTTGCTTTTTGTCTCCATTGTCCACTACTGCATCGAGTGACGTTTGAGTGTCTGATGCTGTTTGTGGCTTGTGGGTGAAGCTATTTTGTTACCTAGCCTCATGGGTATGCCATGGTGACAGCCAGCTGGCATATCGGCAGGGGCCAGTTTCATCTAGCTATGCACCAATATGACCTCAGCGATAGTATTTACTTTTCAGTGTAGCTTATTTAGTAAACCTGCTGAAAATGTTTACTAATTGACAGCAACATCCTTTCTACTGCACTCTATTTTGCAATGAACAATTCTATCCTCTTTTCAAATTTTGTACCCATACTTTTATTTTATGTTGTAGCATATTGTTCTGCTTGGTTGTGTTCCTTCTCAGTGGAGCCGCTGGTTTTATTTCTATTTTCTATTACAGTGAAGCCGTTATGGCTAGGGTTCCGTGGATTTTTCGTGTGCGTCGACAAGAACTTTGAGAGGGCTGGCACTGCCCTCTCTTTGCCGTTTTTCCAAGCACTTGTGGTGCTTGTCTAGTTTCCTTACCTTCCGCCGGGTGGCGGCCCCGTCGCACGTGTCTAGTATCCTCCAGCACCTCGGGGCGGCGATAGTCCTCGACATGTGTGTGCGAACCTTTCGTCACGATGACCGCCGATCAAGACAATGAATGTGTTTGTTTCTTTATTCAAAATACTGTCGTGTCTGTGTGTGCACTAAACAGCTTTGCTCGTTATTTACCTTCACAGAGTGGAATGGCTCATGATGTTTTATTTCTATTTCTTTAGGTTATTACAACATAACTGGAGTGATCAATGGCAGCACGGCGTTGCTTTCATTTAACGTCTGCGGAAGAGGCTTGGGGCGTACGTTTACCTGTGGCACAAGGAGGGTCTACGACGTTGCCATGTGCCTTCGTCAGGGCTCCGAATCGATCTCTCTTGGCGACACTAGGGACCCGACGCTTCTGTGAGTAGCTTTTTTTTTTTCTGATCTTGGCGTACGTGTGGAACGTAGCGTACCTCGCTGCAGACACAATTTCTCCCTTTATCTGTCACACTTAGTATGACAAAGTTACTATACATGCAGAGTATGGTAGTGATCATTGTTACATTGAATGCCACGAAGGTTTATTGTGTCGAATGTTCTCTGCTAGGTTGTGCTGAACAAATATAAAATGAACCTGTAGTGGCCAGTAAAGCAACAGTATGAATAAATAAATAAATGAAACCTCTGTATTTCAGGCTTGTGGACGACGTGGCTATCATGACATTTCGTGAGGGCAGCCCTTGCAAGCCCCAGGTATCCTGGTCTAGTGCTATTCGTTTCATCTGCAATGAAGCTGCAGGTTAGTCTCGGTCCCAGATTCTCAACTTTATTAGATACGAATGGTTAAAGTGGGCAAAGCAGGGTTTGTACAGGCCCTAGATTTCAAAGTGGTGTCTTCAACATATGCAAGTGATAGTTATGGCGTTCCAACTAGTTTATTAGCTGTTCTTTAGTTGCCTGGCCATTGGGAGCAGTTTCAATTCCTTTGTTTTGTTTTCCTACTCTGTAGTCCTAAACATGCGAGCGTCAACCGATCAGTACTGCTAGCGGCGCCTCCGCGCATCATGGAGAGGGTAAGCGCCTGCACAGAAAGGACTAACGCGCTGTTGCAATAATCTGTGTCATCTGTCGTGCTTTCTGAGGAAATAAAAACTACTGACTGTTGCGTTTGGGATAACATAACGCATGGCACGACAACAGCAGAACTGAGCGCGTTGAATGCAGTGATTGCATAATTTTGATGGATGCATGAAGCTTATTGCTGCATCATACCCAGACAGACATAAAAGTGGAATAGTGTATGCATTCTCGAAATAGCCCATCTGTTCTTTGTGCGCAGGTGCTTATTCTCTTCGCGATTCACGGAGGCACCACTAGTTGCCACTGGCAGTAGCGATCGATAGACGCTTGCATGTTTATCATCATATCGAAGACAACAGTATGTGGATGTGTTTGAAATTGGCCCCGCCCAGCCGTGACCAGCGGGACATTGTTTCAGGTGCTGTTGTGCCACGAAATGCTTAAGAACGGACTCTTTCAGGTGCTGGAGAAATGCAGTTCGACTGGGTGGACATAGACACGTGTGTCTACAACTTTGTCTGGGAAACTGCCTATGCCTGTCCCGAGGTGCGGGCCACCGACTGCTCCATTCTGGAGGATGGTGTGCACATCGACCTGAGTCCTCTGTCCCGCTCGAAAGGTCAGAAAGTCTCGCGTCATTCAGAGTGGGACTTCCAGTGGACAGCGATTTAAAAAGAATACAAACCCTGAAATTGAAAACTGGGTTAGACACTGCTGTGTCTAACCCAGTTTTCATTTCTATAACACATTTTAAACTGCCTACACAATATTCTCACGTTTCCAGCCTAGATGCTCACGGCTGCGTTAAGGGTAGGTAATCTGAATGTTTGGGCTTCTAAAATTGTCTGCTAACCGAACGATTTTTTCCAAATGACTAACCGGAACTTCCTCCTGGTTCTTATGCTGGAGTTTGAACACCTCTACAATATCAAGTTTCTGGTGTGTTGTGGAGTTCTTTGAAATTTTATTGGAGGGATGTGGGGAAAGGTTTAGGAGGTGTCACTGAACTTGGAACTGTGCTGCTAGTTTAGGAGCCTAACACACAGCCTGTGCAATCTTTCTTTGTTACAGCGGAGCTGTGAAGGGCTAGTTTCCCTAGTATCGTGTCTGTGGGCAAACAGATCTCGGCACAAAACTCTGGACAGCTACCGCCATCTATTAGCGACAGTGGCAACGAGACAACCGGCTTGCCAGTTGTCTGGTTGTTGGTGTCTCTCATAGGTGGCGGCAACCTTTCCAGCCTCTCCACTCTGGTTTGCAGACTTACGGCCAGCCATTACTTCATTCTCACCATAGTACAGCTTTGCTTGGTCTTCCTTCTTCATCAGAGTGGAAAGGCTGAAAGTTTTTATAACTAAAGTTGCTTTTTTTGTGGGGGTTTCCTCTAATAAGTTTCTTTCCCCACAGATGACACTCCTTGGACTGCATTCGGTGCTCCTGACGGAGATGGCAACCGCACTTATTACATCAATGTCTGCACAGAAATTAATGTGGCGCAAGCAGTTGTGGGGTGCAACAAGGGCAGCACCGTGTGTGCAGTGGGCAAGTTCATGGCAGCTTTATTTTTTCGCTTAGTACATACAAACGGCGAAACCTTCATAGTCGGACAATTCTTAAAATGCATGCACTTGGACATCATGGCCTGTGTTTGGGGGTGCACTTCTGTCCAAGTTGGAGAGGTCTGGAAACGTGGTCTGTCCAATATTGATAGGGGCAAGTCACGCAGTGCAGAGATTCAGTGCCTTACAACGTGTTTACCAGGTTCAGTGAACATTCGGACTTGCTGCTTGTTGCTGAAGTATTTGCATGCCCATTGTTATAGGAATCTTCGTTACTAGAACATTTTGTAAAAAATTGCAATGGATGAAAATTTGGGATTTTGATAACTGCCTCTGGGGATTCTTTACTTGTTTGGACTTTGGAGCAGCTTCGGCGGTGCACTCTTGCTATTCAATACCCTGCTGGTCACAAAGCTTTCACCAGAGTTTGGTTCAGGATCAAAAGCTGTCACCAGGTGCACCACTGTCGTTAAGGAGGCATTTTTGTTTGGCCCCTCCACTTCGAGTGTAAGCCACTTCAAATTCGAGATTACAAGCAGTTTACGAAAACAGCTTCTCGTACACTAAACTTCTGTTGCGCTTGTTGTTAATCACTGTGTACAAAACACTGGTCATTTGTTTTTGATCTCTAACAGCAAAGCTTACAAATAAGCACTTTTGTGTGTTTTCAAACAAGACAATGCTTTTGCAAGTAAAAAAAAAAAAAAATAAAAAAAAAGCTAGGCGATTGAGCGTACAAGTTTTCAATGCCTCTTCTTGGTGATGCTGCTCGCAGCTCTAAATTTCGACGATAATGGGTTTGAGAGAAAAAAAATGAAAAGGAATGAAAATATTATTTTGGAGATTTTTGCAGGTAGAAGGGTTTGTGCAGTGAATTGAGTGTACTGAGCCAAAGACTTCCATAAACAAGATATGCTCTTCGTGCAACAGCATATCGCTGCAGCGTATGGGCTCATTTAGAGAGTTCGGAGTTCCGATACACTTCCTGGTTGCCAGATTCCTCGCGGTACTTTCTAGGTTGGCTGCTGTTGCCCTCTTGTCGAAGCCAGTGCCGCGCACGGTCGCGTACTAAACTCTTTTGTGGTATTATGGAGAAGTTTGGTGACCAGTAGTGTATTGAAGGTCTCCAGTCTTACCAATACCGAGGCTCGTTGCAATGCAGGTGATGTGCAACTCGCGTTTTGGTGAATTCAACGAAGTTCATTTGATTCTATCTATGTCCGAATAAATTCGTTGGCACCACACGAGCTGTATTTCTAAGGATGCGTTTCGGTTGGTATAGCTTTTGACATTCAAGGATGTTAATTTTCTCATTGAAATGTTTTTTCAGATCGGGCTGGACAAGCCACCAGCTATGGCACACACCCCGCAAAACCTGTCTACGACAAGAACAGCAAAGTTGTCACCGTTACTTCCTTCGGTGACACTTGTGAGACTGGCAAGAAGTACCGCTCCATCATCTCTTTCATCTGCAAACCAGGTGAGGGAGTTTGAGAGGTTGGGCACTTTAACTACAATTTTAAATATCCCTTCAGTATAAGATTCTGTAACCGTTATCGTGTAACCTCTATCATGGTAATCTTTGTCTTCTGCAAAGAAATGATGTCACTACTGGGTAGCAAAAAAAAAAAAAAAGATACATAGTTTCACTGCATGTGCACTTTTTAGTATGCAGACTATGAGAATCTTGTAGAGCTGGTATTTTTCTATATCTGGGATTGACCTTAATACTAGCGAACTTTGTTTCTATGCGTTCCAGGTGCTGTGACAACTTCACCGGAGCTAGTGAGGGAGGTGAAGTCTGAGTGCCTTTTGGAGTTTGAGTGGCACACTGCAGTTGCCTGTCCACGGAGAACCAAGATAGGCACCAACTGCAAGGTTTCCAATGAACAATTGGGTGAGTACTTGCTCGTTTATTTCTATTTTCCAGTTCTTGTCGGGCCTGGCAAGATTTTTAACGGCGGCCGCGGGAATTGGGGCATGTGTAGAAATTGTAATCGGAAACCTCTGGAAAGTGGGGTTGGTTTTTCTGCATTGTAAAGAGCAAGTTTGCATGTATGTGGTGGTGCCATCTGCCATCGGTCGCATCAGTGTGCGTATGGCCATGCTTGTCGCAGCTGAAAGGCAATGTGCGCTATTTACTTATATTTACTTGTTTATTTATTTATTTACCATGAATGTCGCATGACATTCTAGAGTGTGTGGGGGGGGGGGGGGGGGGGGTACAGCAGGCAGCAAAAAATATGGCAAAGTTAATATGCAGGTATGGTTTTCAACACACAGCTCAGGCATTTTTAAAAAGTAGATATGTCATGAATATCTACTAGCTGCAGTTTGAGGAAGATGGTGGGGGGGGGAAGCCAAGTGCACTGCCGTGTGCACCAAGTGCACTCGGCAGTGCACTTGGCTGTTGCGCCGGTCACGATGGTTTGATCCCTGGCACCAGTTGCTGTATTTTCTATTTTTTCTTTTTTCTTTTAAAGATTATTTTGCAATTATGCGACTTCCAAGGTTGCTTGGACCTGTAGATTAATGCGCCGTTTATAAAGAAGCCCTCACGAGGTGTCGGAAACTGTGCAAAAACCAGATTCGCGTCAAGTGGAGTGTTTGCACGTGCGCCCTGCCAATAGCAGCGCCACCGCAGCAGTGACTTTGGGGCCGCATGTTGGTGTGTTTTAAATATGTGTGAATTCATTTTGAATTCATTTCATTGACTTATTGCATTACTCGAGCCAAGGTGTTGGATAAAAGCTGCATACTCACGCTTCACAAAACAAAACTTTCTTTTTGAAAGACATTGTGCACATTTAGCTGTGTTAACTCTTTGATGTGAAGCTTCCAGATGCACCCATTAAGGTTGACAAAACAAATGGCATTACGACAAGACACGGTGGTGTTTAGTTCTGTTGGCCACGTGTGGCACCACAATTATGGCTTACCTCATTTCAGGCTTTGAGCTGGACCTGAGCCCACTAAATTCTCTCAAGCCATATGAAGTGGAACACAAGGGTTACAAGTACTACCTAAATGTCTGTGGGAACCTGACTGGGACTCCCTGCAACGTTAACAACCAGGAGGCTGGGATCTGCCAGATGTCCATAGCCAATGGGTAAGGCAAGCCTCCTGTTCCGCATTGGCGTGATGGTTGTAGATAAGTGGTTAACTAGGCCCCTAAGCCCCCAGTGACATGCGGTAAAAGACTCTAATTGATCCCCCCGCCTTCATCATCTTTGCACCGGGTTGCAATGCCGTTTTACTCACCGCAGTCGAGCCTGGGTTCTTGGGCAAGCCAACTCCAACCTGACCTACATCGATGGCATGGTGAACCTTACGTATGTGAACGGAACGCCCTACAACGACCGTGCCAAGACCCCCCGGTCATCCAGCGTAGTGTTTCTGTGCGACTACGACGCCGGGATTGGCCGGCCAGAGTTTCTGGACGAAGCCAATCGCACCTACTCGTTCGTGTGGTACACGAGCTATGCCTGCCCGCCCTCTTACTTCACAGGATGCGTCTATCGCGACCCGGAGACGAACCTGACCTACGACCTCTCCAGGTGAGCTTTCATTGCTGCCTGGAGCAATCTTGAAATTAGTTTTGCTAGAAAGGGCAGTGGGATTTCAAAGGGTTTGGCATATCCATGGCTGTTTGTAGGAGCTTTGGAAACTGTTGGTTGATTTACTTTCGACTAGATTTTTATTTTGCCATTTATCTTGTGAAAGTTCAAAGAACCTGATAATTGCAAACTGAGACAGTTCGTCGGGTGCAGGATAATTGGCTGCTCGACCCACGATTTTTGTGTTACCACCGCTCGTGACAAGATGCCCTGTATTTAACCAAACTGCACTAACAAAGTTTCGTAACAAATGCAAATTTTTTTTTTTTCATGGAAATTGTGAAGTTTGTTTTTAATCATTTCTACTATATGACATTTTGACTTCTAATGAAAGTTCTTTGTAATATACAACGTAGGCTGAAGGATCGCGGTGTCTGGATGGCAATAAACGTCCGGTTTTTTGGTGTTTCACATAGGCATTCCATTGACTGGCTGGAATGAAGAATTTTAAAGTTTGTTTGCTTAAAAGCTGGAAAATGCGTTCTTTCTCCTTTTTTGTTTTGTTTCTAAGGTTGAACCAGGTGAACAGCGGGGGCGACTGGTTTGTGGAAGAAAAGGAGATGGGCTTCACGCGCAGGTTCCACTTGAGCGTGTGTCGACCCTTGAGGCGGGCTCCTCTGGGCTGCTCTTCGAGGGCGGCAGCCTGCGTAGTCAATTCGTACGACAACGGAACGGTGAGCGACACCTTCAGACGCGTTGCTAGTTTCAAAGCTACTGCTTCTACTTCTTCAGCCACCTTGCCGATTGATTGCCGTATTTAGAAAGTGGTGCTTCTTCCCTCTCCGGTAGGAGGTGGTGGCCGTCGGTAACGCCGGTCAAGCACGCCACTCTCCCACCAGAGTGTCGGGCACCATTTCCCTCGAGTACGACATGGGGGAGCCATGCGTTTCGTTTGGCAAGAACACCAACTACACCACCGTGATGCACTTCCTCTGCGACGCTAGACAGGTAGGTTCTAGTTTTTGCCGTTTTAGGAGCTTCGCGACATATTTATTGGCGTCATTACCAAATGTTCGAGATTGCAAACATGAATCTGGTTTTGTTAGTCATTCATATTAAATTCTCGGAACTGTCTCCTTGGAAATTTTAGATTACGCGACCAAATGGCGAGCCTCGGTATTAGTATTAACTTCTGCTCGAGACAACAGCGATGCCGCAGAAAGGCAGCGGCCCGTGCCGAGGAAGCTTATGGTGTCGTGTTGTAGAAGGGTAAAGGTGTTGTGAATGTAGACAAATATGAGCAGCTGACTTATGACCTGCACTCCCCTTGCATTCTTAGAATTGTCTTGTTTTATGGTCGTATCTAGCCATTTTTGTCTTTACCAGTGTAAGTTAATTGTAAGGTACTTCGTATGTGTGCAACTGAGTACGTAGGTGCCCGGATTTCCCTCTTGTCCCGCGTCACTTTCGAGAGTGGTCACCGCAATGGATCCGGCGCGACCCCGTTGCAGGCGGAGAGCCTGCACCTGCTGACGAAGGGCAAGTGCCGCTACACCTTCCTTTGGGTCACCCACATGGCATGCCCGGTGAGCCACCTGGAGGCCAGGGGCTCCTGCTCTCTGACGGACAGGGCAGGCACGACGTACAACCTGGCTTCCCTGCACCTGCCCCACAGCTTCTACACCGTGACGGACGGAGACATTGTGTACGAGGTCGGTGGACAGGAGAAATGGCCCTCTAAGAATCGGCATTATTTTAAGTCGGGTGCTTTAACGTCTTCATCTCGAGGAGCCTCGATCTGCATGGAATGGCAGCCTAGGAACCTCTTTTGGTCTTGCTATTGATGCGGTAAAGCAGGGCAGAAGCCTACAGACTTTTTAAACAATGATGCATGTGGGGGTGTGTGTGAGCAATCTCAAGTCGGCTGGGTGATACCCGAGGAGCTGCAACTCTCTCGTCCTCGCAGCTGAACATCTGCGGGCCCGTGCACGGGGGCCACTGCTCCAAGATGGCCAACACGAGCGTCTGCCGAGTGGCGGGGAGCAACGTGACCCAGCTGGCCAGGACAGACTTCATGGCTCTGACCTCGGACGACCCCGGATCACTGCGCCTCTCTTACGCTGGCAGCTACACGAACCAGTCGGGTGAGCCGCATTGATGTGCATTTGCTCGCAGGTTTTTGTCCGTCGAGGTAGGTGCAGATACTCCAAGCAGAAAGGATCCCAATGCATTTCTAGTCCATCGCCTTAACCGCTCGGCCACGACTGCGGGTCGAGTAAGGGGCTCTGAGATGTGGTAGTAACTCAAGAGCTGCAGGTTTTCTGTCATGGATGAAACGTTGCATGTAGCCGTTCAGCGTCTATACAGGAGAGGGCGCTGCGGTCAAATGCGTATATAATCGCGTTAAACTTTGCATTCATTGGCTCAACGTTTATAGACGAGAGGGCGCTGCGGTCAAATGCTCAAATGCGTATATAACCACATTCCATACCACACATTCTCTTTCTGACGTGGACCGTTGACTTGAGCGGTGGAGATGCATTCCCACGGCTTCTAGCGGATCCAAGCTGATCCGCGCTAGAAGAACCACTGGCTCTGCATTTCACCGGCCATAAAGCAGTAATAACGAAGTCGAAACGCAACCCGGAACTGAGCAGTAACTACGAGCAATAAAATAAAATTGGCACCATCAGCACTATCTATGAACAATATAGGTAATCAGTATCATCAGCACCACCTGGGCTTCACCCCAATCAACATCATTCACCACGTGGAAATGCGGTAATTTTTCTGGTCATCATTTTTCTGGCCTCCTAATGCACAGTAGGTATGCGTAGTAGACCATTTCACCTCACATTCTCACATTCAATAGCGTGCCTGGGGTGCAGGCATTTGTCGATTGCCTCTGGGGTGCCACGGTGTTGGTGCTTAGTGCAGGGCGGACGCGATCGGCGATCGTTACAATTAGAAAATGCAATTTCCCGAGCTTTAGAGCAGCGTCCGGAAGCTGAGGCAATGTTGTTTGGCTCTATTGCAGACCGTTTTGACATTTTTGGAGGATGCAAAACCGTCTCCTCAGATTTTGGATAAAGCTTCGGATCGCCGACAACGACGATTTTAGGCGCCGAGATGGCAGAAGTGTCGTTGCTCCGAACCGCAGCTTATTTAGCGTCTCTAGTCCGCCCTTTTCGAGAACCCTCCCCCTTTATAGACACGTCGCTCTTTACCAGGGCGTGCCAGTAGAGCACCGGTAGATTGGAACTTCGCTCCTTCCTGATGTCGTCTAATTCCCGCCATCGGTCTCGATGTTACCGTTCTGTCTTCCAGCCAAGGCTTCCCTGGTCTTGATCGAGGTGACCTGCGACCGCGGGGCTGCCAACCACCGGCTGGCCTTTGGTCGGAGCGAGCCGGGCCTGTTGGTGTTCAACCTGGCCACGGTGTTGGCCTGCGAGCCCGTCGAGGTGGACTGCACCTTTGGCGGCCCGGGTTACCGGTACGACCTGACTCCGCTGGTGCGCCGCGTCGGCAACTGGGACATCCCGCACCCGACCAGCCCGAGGCTCTTCCACCTGTCCTTCTGTCGACCCCTCAACCCGAGCACATTTTACTCTTGCCCTCGTGAGTGCGCCATAGTCTTTTTCTTCTTCGTATGTGTTAAAATGCGAGGTGATGACAGTACGACGCTGACTATTGGCGACGTGCGCGACCGAAAGCGTCGCTGTGGTCGACCCTCCGCGATTGGCCAAACGCTTACTACGATGTCTTGAGTATGGCAGCGTTTACGGGGATGTGGCCGTAGCGCATCGAATCAAGATCTGACTGTGTAGAGCGCAAGTTTGTCTGCTTCTTTTGCAGAGGTTGAGGCAACGTCAGAATGCCGAGCTCTGACTGGCTCGGATCGGAGAATAGTCTGCAGACCTCGAAGCAAGCTACCTTGAGCATCTACCCTCTATCCTTCAATCACATCTAATCGGAGCTCAGCGTTCTGACATCGCCACAACCCCTGCAAAAGAAGCGGACTAACTTGCGCTCCGAATATTTTGATTGGTTGTAGATAAGTAGAAGTGAAAGAAGTAGGGTGCATGCAATTGGTCCCTGCTCGATTCAATGCGCTACGATCACATTTGCGTAGACCCAGCCTACGACGAATTCTACTTTCATAAACAGAAATGGGAGGAATGCCCGGCCGTCACTTTCGACGGTGGTGGTTTAAGGACACAATGAATTTAAGCTTCCACCATGCTCTTTATGCGCGCCATCGAAATCGTCGCTGGCAAACGATAGTTCCAGTCATGACGTCGCAGATAAGAACTAGAAGAGGAAGCGTCCGAAACATGTCGTCGATAATAGTCCCGCGCAGCTGAAGCATGGTGAAAGGCAAGGAGTGCGTGCTGGAGGCTGGGCATTTGAAAGACACTCCCTGCTCTTCTCATTCTGCCAGTGACTATTTTTGTCTGTCTTCTGGTTAACTGCTTTGAGGTGCGGTATTTAATGTGAGCTATTGCAAAAGAAGCTGATTAGATGAAATTCATTGTTTGCACATGTCAGACCACCTCTGTGTCAACAGTCAGTACCGAGCATAATCTGTAAATATGAAGGCAGACTGTCCGAAACTCTCGGTGACGCCTAGTGGGATTGGAAAAATTTCAAGTGCCTTTTGTTCGTTTCTGCTCTTCTCAATATACTGCCTTACAAACATTTTGTTTTAGTTTGTTTTGGGTGCTACAGTAAAACCTCGTTATAACAAAATGGGATATAACAAATTAATGGATATAACAAAGCAATCCTAATTCCCCTTGCTTGCTAATAGGGAAGAAATGGACATTGGCTATAACAAACTAATGGTTATAGCGAAATAATTATGATCACTCCTTCAACTTTGTTATAACGAGGTTTTGCTGTACTTGTCTTTAACAGCATTTTATATTCAACAAGGTAGATTTTTCAGATTTGAGTTGTATGCAACCTAGATATGGGGCCAGTCCGTTTTCTGCTTAACGATTAGATATTCTTGGATAATGCATGCTCCCCAAATGGGGTCAAAATAGCGCACGTGTGAACCACCTCTTGGGGTTCCGAGTGCCTTCGCAAAATCCCATAATTAATGGACGGGACAATGTTTACTAACTAGCGAAGCATTACCGTATCTTCAGAGGCGCATGAAATATGTGCTTAAGAATTTGGCCGCCTACACTGGAACGTGGCTCAGTAATAGAACACGATACATTTTCCATCCCCGTCGAAAATTGGGGCTTTGTTTAAATTGTCGTACAACTTCAGCCGTCACTTTTTTTTTTGTCATCGTTGGCGAAAGCATGCATGAGGTTGTCGCCACTCGTTCCTGGGTTCTCCCACCTCAACATCAAGCTTCAGACGTGGACAGAAAGAACTAAAAGAATCTGCAGTACAACTTGGGGATTTCAACTGACGAGGGCTCTCTGCGCTTCTTGAGCGTACAATTTTTTTCATTAATCTTGTCGTACTCGTAATGCGTCCAGAGTCAGTGGTAGGGTTAGCAGTCGACGGCCTCTGCATTGCCTTATGTGGGACGACATTGGTGTTTTCAGCTGGTGTGGCTTCGTGTGAGACAGACAGCTTGCACCCGGAGAAGACTGGCATCAGCTGGGGCGTCCAGACCGACTCTCCCTTCGTCGCCCGTGACAGTAATACAGTGATCATCCAGTACCGCAGCGGGTCCCCTTGCAAGAGGAGCAACGATACCAGCGAGCTCCAGGTCTCCAGGTCAACCATCATCGCTTTGATTTGTAGCGAGGAGGTGAGTGTGAGCGCCCTCCAATTGGTACTGGGTGACATTACATGCTTTGAGCTGTTGTTGCCCCAACATATTATCGAGCAGGTAGCGTTACATTATTTGTAGCTATGCGGTGTGTCTCGCCGAGTTACCGTGGTGCTGTCGTCTTTTCGAAGGCGTTCGAGTGGCGGCAAGGCTGGCCTTTACGGTCTAGCATTGTGATTGCTCGCCTGGTGCTATAGACGGACACTCTGTTTACAAACAAGTCCACGTTTGCCCACACCAGGTGTGGGCACTGCGCGTGCGCAGAAACCAAATTTGCGTGAAGCGAAGCGTTTGCGCATTCGCAGTGCCGTCGACAGCGCCACCGCAGCTGCGTGACGTCAGGGCCGCGTGTTGGTCTATAGCAGCATATTTTAGTCTTGATGTCCCGTTTCCTACAATGTTGGGCATCCACTTTTCTTGGACGATTTAATTTCTTTTGGGGGTTTAGTAGTTCTGATCCGGTAGTGAATTGAAGGCTGTCCACACCTGCCAACTCTTCCGAAGTTTTCGTAAAATGTACGAATTGGGACTAATTTTACGATTTTACGAATCTTGCTTCAAAGTTTACGAAAAGAAATTTTTTTTTTTTTCTTTTTTGTAAAATTGTTGCTGGTGGTATCTTGCACTGCCACAAGAGGGCGATAGGTACCGTCCACGGCAGCGTCATAGTTTTTAGTATCCGTCTATCCGGTGGCCATGGATCCAAAACCAACCCAAAGCCCAAAGCCTTTGTTCGTGTGTTCGGCTGGTTCGGCGCAAGGAGGATTGGTTCGGCGGCGAACGTTGGTTCGGCATGTTCAGACGTGTTTGGGCCTTGCTGTTTCAGCCAGTTTTGAGGCGAGCAATGTGGCGTCTCTGTGTCTGTTGCACGTGTAATCGTAGCATTCCCCTGGCCGTGGTGGCTTTGCGGCGCAATCGCATAATGGCGAGCTTCATACTTCAAAAGAGGTACTTTCATGTGTTCCTGAAGTCCTACACGGCGAAATTCCCGTGCTTCGTGCCGACCAAAAAGTGAGAGAAGTTCGGATTCTTTAGCACGTGCACGTGTGATGTAAGCATTTCGCACGGTGGCAAGATCGCTTCGCATAACCCCCGCCCCCCGCCTGCCCGCGCACGGCCGCGGGAGTTTTGCGAATTCGAAAGTCCACAGGGTTGCCAGGTATGGCTGTCTCAAGTATGTGTCAGCCTGTGTTGAGAAAGAGAAAATATCTAGGATCGAAAGCTGTACCACCCTGTGTGCATTTTACTATGCTGGCTACTTACTTCAGCAATCTTGTGCTGGATTAGTAGCATGTTCTAATGCACTCTTTCTTCGTTCTGGGGTTTCAGGAGCAGCCGATCGTGGTTGGCGAGTCCAAGAACTGCGAACTCGTCTTCAACTTTGAGACACCAGCTGCCTGCCCCCTGATGGTTAGTTGCACTTTCTCTTTCAAGCTCTCGGCATGGTTCTTTGCATGATCCTCGGTGACAATTTGCAACTTGGTGAGAGTCTGTCCCCGTAAAAACTTGGCAGTTCATTTATTTTTTTTTTTGTTTCAAAACAAATGCGTTGGAGTATTCATTTCGTAATTACGTTTATTCTTACTTGGGAAACTTTCTGTCTGAAATGAAGGTTGCAGAAGGTGACAAGTGCAAAGTGAAAGACAGACGTTATGGCTACGTGTACGACCTGTCGTCGCTGGCGAATGCGACGTCGGATTACGAGGTGTCTACGGCAAACTTCACCTACCTCATCAATGTGTGTCGACCCCTTGTGACTGACCTCGAGAGCTGCAAAGGAGCTGCAATGTGCCAGACCAAGCCCACGGATGCCAACTTCGGCATGCATGCCGGTGGGTCCTTGTTTCACAAATTCTTCGTAATGATAAGAGTGCCAAACTAATTGCATGCTTTTGCTTGTAACTATCGTAAAGTACCGAGCAAGTCGCCCATGTTTTGTAATCTGCCAAGAAGCTGAGGGAGAGGAGGAGGTAAGGGTGTGCAGGGACGTCGGATTGCCGAGCTCTGATTGGAACGATTAAGGGGTAGACCGAAAGCCTCGTTGGACGCAAAAAAACATGAAAAACCAGCATCCGGCGTTTGGCTTTCGCATTCAAATGTGTTCGAGTGCAGGGAAAACAAAGGCCACTAACTTTAGGTCTATCCACTAATCATTCGAATCGGAGCTCGGCGTTCTGACATCCCTGCGCGCTGTTGTCTCCCCCTCTCCCTCACTTTCTCGGTGCATAGGTGTCCATCTGGTACTACTTATGAAACGCTATCATGCACCTTTCTTTAATTTTGCATTCTAAGCGGCCCATACCCCAGTTTTTTTAAGCTTATCTCAAAGTTTCGGCTGGGCACTTACTTGGTATTTTATGGTTGCAGATTTGTCTTAATTGATTGTGAAGCTCCGTTTATCGTATTTTCACAAATATAATGCGAGGGCAAGTTTTGATGCCCTCAAGAAGAAAAAATTATTACTATTATAACACGAGCCGGAGGCCGCGTAAATTTTTCGCACTCGGGGGGAGGGTGGGGCATTGCAGAAGTGAAAAGGCAATGAAAATAGAAGAAATTTCAGTTTGTTTTGACTGTACTCATCCTCACTGCTCAGGTCCTTGGCGACTACGCAGATAAGCAGCAGAACAGCGTTGGTTGTCTGGCGGTTCCTTTTTTTTCGGCCTTGTTATAACCTTGTTATATTTGTGCAAATACTGTATATCCTTTCGGATGTTTTATGCACATCTAGTGAACCCAGTCAATTGAAATTGCTGTCCTCGTGCTTCACCCATGTTTTCCAAGTTTTTTATCAGTACTTCTGGTCTGGTGAAGAAATACTGGATGTGTTTTATGTTCGTAGAAGTTTATTAGGTGGACCCCAGACCATACAAGCTTGTCTCGTTTTGCGACGTTTGGTGATCTCGTCTCAACGCAGTTCTTTTCCTTTTGATTCAAGGCCTGCCAAGCAGCGCAGTGACCTACAAGAACGGCTTGATCACGCTGACTTACTCTGAAGGCTACGGTGGCTGCAAAGGCATCAACAACCGGTCCACGGTGATCACCTTTGTGTGCGACCACTCCGCCTCGGGCAGGCAGGGGCCCGCCTTTGTCTCGGAGTCCGAGGAGTGCACGTATGCGTTCGAGTGGCGCACATCGCTGGCCTGCCCTCCGATCGTGGAAAGCGAGTGCAGTGTGCAGCTGGACAATGACGGGGGCATGGTGGACCTCTCACCGCTGTCGAATCCCAGGGAGAACTACATCGTGAGTGGGCCCGACGGGTCGAAGTATGTGCTCAACGTGTGCCGGAGCGTGGTCTACAGTCCGGGTGAGTGGTGGCTGTGCTTTCGTTTTTACGGCGAAGCTGTTAAGGGCTAGGTTCCGGAGGATCGTGTCCGGTACAAAACACTTGTCGACAAAAACTGTTCTAGACAGCTACCGCCACCTATAAGCGACGGCGGCAAGCACACAACCAGTATGGTTGCCGCCGTCGCTGGCAGATGGTACCAACCTTTCCAGCTATCATAGAAGAATGGATAGTTGGGTGGCGCGTTGGTGGGAATTCATCGTAGGAAACAGCACGAAAAACGGACGACGACAAAGAAGCACACATAACGAGCGCAGCGTTCGTCATGTGTTTCTTCGTCCTCATCTGTTTTGCGCGCTGCTTCCTACGCTCTTATTAGTTTCGGTTTGGACTCGGGATGGGTCAGCCGCGTGCCCCTTTGGGGAAAGAAGACTGGCTGTGGAAGGAGTGGCGACGTACGCAGCAGTGCGAATGGGTCCGTAACCGCCGCAAAGTCGCTGTCGCCTCGACATCACTGCGCCGAGCGCTTCTGATTCCCTTGCCAAAGAAGAGCACATCGCTCGCCTGGAAAGCCGCCGCCGAGAACAGAACCAGTGATGTAAAGGGTGCCGGCGGGCCAACGCCACGGATGACTATTGTGCCACGGAGGCCAAGCGCAAGCGCGAGGCCCGGCGATGACTGCACTCCACGCCGGCTGAACAGTTCCAGGGCGCGACGGGGATGTTCCGGAAAGAGTTCATGGATTACCCGTTTGGCGTCACGTGTGCCGTGTGCGACCGACTCTGGGTCGCCGGAGGCGTATCTTGGGGAAAGGCTGAACATTTCTTTGATTTGTTGCTTTTTAACCTGTTGACAGCCGTCGCAGTGTACGGCGGTGGTTCTATATTCACAAGTTTCTACCTAGATGTAAAACTGCGCACGTCCCGGCAGGTGCTGCTGCTGTCTGCCATGTTTTTGGGGAACTATAAAAGTTGTACATTTTCATACCCAGTTTTGCTTTCGTGGGACCATTTATAGTTTCGCAATTAAACAATCCATGCTTGAGATAGGTGCGTGAGGGTCACTCAGCACGTTGGCTGCTTTCGTGGTAGCGGCAGTCGGAGCACCGATTCTTCTGATATGCTTCTAAAAACTGAATTATTAGGATCAGAGCTCATCATCTGAGGGAGAGGGTCTGTAAGGTAGTATCTTCGGTTCAGAGTCCGAGACCGCTGGAATGTTGCAGAAGTGGACGCGCCAAAATTAGACCACATGAAAGAAAGGTGACCACTTTTCGCCTTCAATACAGTCGCCGACCGATTTTTCGGACACGTCCGATTGTTCTGACGTTTTCGCCGAATTGTTGCTTACCCCATAGAGTTAATAATAACATTGACTAAATTTCGGACGCAATAAAGCTTATTGTTCGATATTTCAGACATAATTTGCATGATTTCCTCAGTTTACAGCCACAAAACAGCCACCACGATAGCACCGCGAGCTTTGTCACCGCCATTTTGATTGTTTTGATTTTGCCCTGTAGCCTCAATGCCTTGTTTACACAATGAACAAGCCGGGTTGAGGCTATAGTTGGGTTTTCCGGTTCTGCGATAGCCAACATGGCCGCCGTCTGCCCATTCTTATGGTTCTTCCAGTTCTTCTCGTGGTCAGTGTTTTTCGAATGCAACTGCAAGAGGAGCAGCCTTCTGCCGTTCTTGTAGTCTTTGAGTGCGAAGGTATTTTTGGAGATAAGCTTAAAAAATTGAAGTGAGCTTGGTGGACTAAACATTGTCTCCAAATAGTGCCAAATGGCGCCAAATTCAACTTCGCTGTTTGTGCCAACGAAGGCGCCGACAAAGTGCAGCACCGTGATCAAACAGATGAACAAACAAGCGAAAAGTGAACTATATAAAGCGTAAGTTGCACGAGAGCCTAAAGGTGACATCAAGCAAGTGGAAAGTCTTCAATATGCGTGGAAATGTCGTATTTTGGCTGAAATCTTGATTATTGAAACATTGTCAGGGTCTGCTCAGAGTCCGGAAAATCGGTCGGCGACTGTGTATCCATATGATGTTTCTAAAGCTGAGTAGGCTTGCAAGCACTGTACGTGCTTCGGCTATATACTCAAGAAAAACTCCTGCGCATTGACCTTTTTTTTTTTCTATTCCTTTGGAAGTGGAACCTGCCCACTTTTGGAAAAAGACAACCAAAAAAAAACACTACCGTCAAAACGTTTTTTTTTTTTTTTTTGCCTAAGCTAGGTGCAAGCTACTACCAGTTACAGAGTACAGCCATTAACATCCATCTATCGATCCCTCTAATGTCTGCAAGGTGTCCAGGTGCCACACAAAGTACCATTGTTTCCTTTGCCGCTACCCACCTCTTAGGATGACACAACACGCTGGTGCAACTAGTAGTCATTTGTTAACCTTCGTCGTTGCACGCTACGTCCCCAAGAATCCTTTGCGCATACTTCTGGGCTGTCCTTTCATTAGTGGCGGAGCACCTCTTGCATAAATGCATGCTCTTGGCCACTTGGGAGAGGTGGTGATCAGAAATAATTAGCATGTGGGCATCCTGATTGGATGTTTCGTACTATCATTCTGCCCATAAATGTTAGCTTTCTAATGGTGGTGCATCTTTTCTTGAGAGGTGTACTACTAGGGATACTGTATACGAGTATGCTAGGTGCGTTCTGGCATAGGTTTCTTTTTAACTGGCTACTCAAGTTTTTTTTTTTTTTTTGTTTTTGTTGGGGGTTGCATTGTACAATTATTGTTTGTGCTGCTCATGCTGTTTTTTTCTTGTTCTCTTTTCTTCCTCACTAGGTGCAACTTGTGAGAACACAGCAGGGGCCTGTGTCATTTCGCATCCCCAGAAGTAAGTTCCCTCCAATGGGGAATTATAGCTGTGTGTGACTGTTCCTCGAAGTAGTGGATGTAGGCGTTTCCAGATCATTCTGGAAAACTCGATAAACACTTGCTGGTGAATGTTCTAAATGCGATGGCCTTTAAGAAAATTTGTATTTGTAACACGAAACAAACTTGCATGTGCAGGAAGTGATATGTTGATAAATAGAGAACAGAATTCTGAGCCACTAAACCAAAGGATGTGGGGGAGACTTGTGAAGCGATGGTCAATGTAAATGTAATAACATTTATTTCACCAACTGACACCGCAGATTGTGCAAGCATTACTCGCGCTTGTGTTTGTTTGCCATTGTGCAGGGATTCCACGGCGTCCAACAGATGCATGGTTTTCTTTTTTTTCGTTGCAGCTCTCGCAACCAGGGACAGGTGCTATTTCCGCCATACGTGGAAAACGGTCGCGTGATGCTCAAGTATTCTTCGGGCGACTACTGCAACAGTGGCATGACGGCGCGTCTGGAAACTGTCATCGAATTCATCTGTGACAAGAACATCCGTGTACGTACAATTGATCTAGTCAGTGATGTTATCTAACACGTGTGGTCAGATATATCTGTGCACTTTTTGATGGAATCCTCTTCTCGCATTTACGTTCATACAAAAGGACTTCTTCCTTCCAGTTTATAAGCATGAAGGAAGAATTTTATTGATCAGCCGTGTTCTTTTATACAAAGCCTACCACGTGCAGTATAGCTGCATGGCTGTTGCCAGCACATCTCTGCGGGTCTGCCTGGTTGTGTGTGTCCTAAACGTCCCCTGAAAGGAGTTTTTTTTTTTTTTTTTTAAATCTGGTTGGGACAAGTGTGTCAAAAAAATATTTTATGCGCAAACAAAATTTTTTAGAGCAATATTGATGGCGCGAGACGCTATTTAGTTGACAGTCACCTCCTTTCCGCTTGTTTTCTCTCTCTGCATTTTGGGCATGTGGAGGAGAGATGGATCGGCTTCGCCTTCACGACCGAGATGTTCATTCCAGAATGACGTCGTGGACTTTGCGCGCAGAATGTCAAACAAATCTTTCGCCGTCAATATTGCTCTAAAAAAATATATATTTTTTTTTTTTTGCGTAAAATGTATTTTTTGACACGCGTGTCCCAGCCAGATTGTTTACAAAGAAACATGTTTTTCTTCTCAGGGGCCGTTTAAGAAAAAACATAGATCTTTGGAGTCAAAAAAAAAAAAAAAATCTTAAAACTTAATTCTTTAGAAAGTAGCACTGTTGACCTCTACAACTGTTGTTCCTTACAATTTTATGGATGGATATTTGAGGTATAAATCAATTTACAATGTCTATGTGGGCAGAATATGTGTTGAAGTTGACCCTAAACCCCAGTTTTCACAAATCGCAAGCTCCTCGCTTTGGGTCGCGATGGCAACAGCAGGGAGTCGTGAAAAAAAGTGGACTTTCAGGACTCCGCAGGGTTTGACATCAACGCACTGGCGCGGATCGCGCAGAAACTTCGAATTCGGCATTTGGAAATTGTTTTTTTACTTCACAAATACTAAATTCCCAAGTTTCGAATTTTGAGGGTAATGTCCCGGCATCGTTTTCAATCGTTTCGGATAATAAAAAAAACTATGATTTTGATGTGTCAGTGCCCCTTAAGTATTGTCTTATCACTGCCGGCTTCACGGCGGTTTCGGTGACGGAGCATCTGCGTTGCTGGGCTTTTCTTTGCGCTTTCACTCAAGGTGAAAGCTTAGCTTTCACCTTGAGTGCCCCTGCCAGCTTCTGTGACGGAGCATCTGCGTTGCTGTACTTTTTTTGTGTTTTACTTCTGAGGCGCATCTGCTTTAACCTTAAAGGGGCCCTGCAATCATATTTAAGCGTCTCATTTTTTTTGCGGTTTCCACGTCTCTTGGGGTTCGGGCAAGCCAGTGGGCACAGAGCGAGTGACTAAATATCAGTGCATCATATTTTAACCGGACGACGCGGAAACCTCCTCTACCGACGGGGGCGACCCGTGGTACCGAAAACGCACGAAATGTGACGTCTTTGGTCCTGGGCTTACTACTGGTCAGAGCCGCTAAAAGCTTCTGTTTAGTCGAAATACAAAATATAAGTTGCGCGAACCGTTTCAATTATTTATAAAAGTAGTTTTTGTTCAGTATTTTAGATCAGAAAAGAAACAAATGCAGTTTATAAAGTACGGAAACAAGAAATGACCGGTCAACATACCCGCCACCAAGCGGTGGAAAAGACGGTGCATACAAGAAAGGAATAGTGGGATCAGGTGCCGACACGGAAAGGTCCCGGATGTACGCGGCGGCGCTGCGGTCGTTTACGGGCAGGAGGATCAGACCGGCTCCGAGCGTTCCGAAGGCCTTCAGCGAGCAGCTTTGTCTCGCGTTTTGGCCGTTTCGCGGTACGGCAGCGCGAAGTGGCTCCCATTCTGAACTGATCTTTAGCCCGTGTTTGCTGTCGTTTGCGGCCAATGAAGTGTCATGCCGAATTAGTGTTTAATCACGCAGCAAATGAAATGAGAGCCGCTTTGGGTGCCCGCTGTATACTGCCTATCCAGAACACGCTTTAGTGGCGCCCTCTCGCGCCGTCGACACGGAGTGCGGCAGCCGTGAGCGCTCGCTAAGCTCACTATCCCTCCTCTAGTTCACGGCCACTCAAGCAACCAAGGACGTCACGAAGGAGGTTATTTTTTGCTTGTTTTTGTAATTTTAATTTGCCTATAACTTTTAAAATAGAGCGAAATTCGAAAAAAGAAGTTTCATTAAGTTACTACGGTCAGTGTGCTCAGGTTCGGTGCAAATTAAAAACCAGTAAAAAAGTGCTTGCAGGGCCCCTTTAAGTGGCGTGTGCTTGGTGACGCATTTTTATCACCATCTTTTGGGCACAACGCCGACGCCTTTTCGCGTAATGGGACAAGAAAGGCTTTTGTCTTAAAATAAATGTTTTCCCCTGCCGGTCTAGGCTTGGGTAGGTCGGACTGGCCAGATTTTATTTTCGTAGGTCGGACTGGCCAGGCTTTATTTTCTTTATATTTCAGTTTTCATTTAGGACAATGGTATTTCCTTAAATTTTTGCAAATGTTCCCGAAGCCTTCCACGATGGTATGGATTTTGTGCAGCTTGCACCTCCCATGTCAGCGTATCTCACGGCAACGCGACCGACATCATAGTCCACGTCACTCCTCGGAAGCACACGAAATACCTTTGTCTTGCAAAAAGCAGGGAATCGTCCAGTATTTTCCCCGAGATAACTGAGAACAGCGCAATTCGTGCCGAGCGCACTTTCGCGGGTTTTTTTTTTTGTCGAGCACGATCTGCCGCCGAGCCTGAGTGACCACATTGGTCTGTCGTTTTAGAAGACATTTTCGAAATGTGACAATGCGAAGTGTTACGGGGGCAGACGTACGGAAACGGCTATCCTTTGGGTAAATGACTGCAGACGCATGAAGCTTGATGCTGGAGTCTCAGACGTGCCTTGCTTTTGCAGTTGCAGTACACCTTTAGCGTCCGCGTCCTGTGTGCTGGTCTCCCATATCTCAAAATTGATGGAATCTGTGGAATATCATCATCATCAATCATCAGTAGAGTTTATTGTCACGAGTTGCAGCGTACAAAATATTGAGAACCATCTGGGCCCATAGCCACTGAAACGGCATTCAAGTGCTGTCGAATGTAGGAAGCTCGCATTGGAGGCAACTGAAGCTTCTTCCCACTTCTCTTATCCTGCCGATGGCTACAGTAACATGTTGGAATATTTTTTTATTTTTTTATTAAACTTCGTATTTCTTTGGTGCAGCTCATCCACATACAGTGCAATCCACTTATAATGAGAAAACTTGAAAAGGCAATCGTTATAACAGATTATCGTTGTATCTGGACTAGAAACTGATCGCTTCTAGTCCGGAAGCTCTATAAACTCATCGTTATAAGCGGTATATCGTTATAGACAAACACGCGGCTCTGACGTCATGCCTCTGCGGTGGCGCTGTTGTCGCCACGGCGCATGCGCAGAAGCGTCACCTCACGCGAATCTGGTTTCTGCGCCCGCGCAGTGCCCACACCTGGTGTGGGCAAACGTGTGCTTGTTTGTAAACATTGTGTCGGTCTATATGTGATATCGTTATAGGGGGATCGCACTGTAGTATATTGCTCCTGCGATCTCTGACTTTGTGCACGTTTTTCCCGTGCGTTTCAGGCCGGATATCCCACGTTTGAACGGGTGGACAAGTGCACGACATACTTCCAATGGCGCACCACTTTCGCGTGCTCCATGAAGGATGATATTGTGTTCCGCAATTGCACGGCACTGCACCCCCTGACAGGTGAGGGCCAAAGATTTGCGGTCGCCCGGCACACTTCCATACTTCGTTTCACCTTATGAAGAACCACGGTTGATGCTTTGAGCCATCTTAGTCAATCCGACTATATGAATGTATCACGCGATTGTGCTCCCAGTGTCCCCCCCCCCCCCCCCCCACCGAAAGTCGTGAGAGACTCTCTGCACTTGATTGGCTTCAATGGCTTGTAGCGTCCGCTGCGGTTCCATCAGTAGTTTCAACACTCTTGAAGAGAGCTCGGTCCTTAATGGGGGTGGAGGGAAAAGGGGGGATTTCTGAATGTCGGATTTGAAATTGTGTTCTTTAAAATGTTATATCAATGCTGAACATACTGTTTTCTGTATTAATCTTATTCAACTGATAAATGAGAGCTGGATATCATACTGTTTGTCTGACATGTATATTGACTGTGTTCTGGATATAGCATGGAATTTCCTATAGCAGTGGTTTTCAAATGGGCGCCCGTGGACCCTTTGAGGTTCCTGAAGGCCTTCTTGGGGTTCCCAAAGCCTTAGACTGTCAGTCGAGCCAAAGGTTAAACTTTCTTTAAATTAATGCTGGCTGAACCACAAAGTTAAATACGGTCACCGACTTGAAACTGCTTATAACGAACGTTGCAAACATTGTTTGCTGTATACGGGTATAAGTAAAGCTCGTGGGTCTTGAGAAATGTTAGTTTCATAGCTGAATTTCCATCTCCTTTTCTCTTCGCAGAGCAAGAGTTTGATCTGACCCCGTTGAAGAGTGCCCAGCCTTACAATGTTACATTCAAGGACGACGCTTACTCTCTGAGCATCTGTGGGCCACTTCCGGACAATCTGTGCGGCCCTGGTGCAGGTGACGTGACATTTGCTCATTTAAACGTGCTTGAGATGCTGTGCGAGTTGTAGCAGCTTTTCTTGAAAGACTGATATAAATTAGGAAGGTCACAAGTTGAGGACACTGATTTACATTAGAGAGATTTTAGGTAGCAAGGTTTCTTGTTGCAAAATTAGATTTTACGATTAAATTTAGGAGAGCCGTGCCTGTCTTGTTTCCGGCAATGACATTGCAGAGACTCGTGCGAAGCAGGCCATCATACCTTGCATCCTCTATTGCTGGTCACATGATCAATGAGCATTTCTTTGCTTATGTAACAAGGATCAGTTGATCCATTATACTAGCAAAGTGAATGTGGAAACATTCTTTTCTTGCAACGTCTGAAATTGTTTATGTGGAATCAAGGTGTGTGGGTACCACTTGTGAAAATTTGTGCTGTGCTGTGGTGGCGAGAGCAGAGGTAGCAATGTTTGCCCCGTGGCACTGTGTCTTCAAGTAGCCGACAAGTGTGGGCTTAAAAAAAAACTCATTTTGTGGGATCTCGTCGCTTTGTTCATGACATGCACAAGTCACCGGAATTAAGAGCTATGTTGCACATCTTTGCAACATGCCGGACACGAAACAGACAAGGCTGATATAGGTGCCATGCAGGTTTCCAGCGCACGCCACCATTGGCACAATTAGACATCCATCTCAAGTTATGCAATTCTAACGGAATTTTTTTTACACGTTTTAGGGCATTTATTTATCTCCAACTGAGTCTCGTTTGCCACGGCCTTGACAGGAACCCGCAGAACTTCGCGCCTGCTAAGCATTGGGGTTTGCAACAGTCCTGTACCCAACGGTGCCTACAGCTTCGACGTTTGCTCTTCCGCGACACCCGATAGCAACGTTAAGAATACAAGACCAAAAACTCTCGAATCAACACCTTCGGAGCAATGCACGAACAGCTCCTCGGGAAAGCAGGCTGGCAAAAGGGCCTTCCCAGTGTTGCAAATATTTTGAGCTAGATGGCACAATGTGTCGCACCAAACTCGATTGCCCCGAAACTATAGCCCTGTTCCAGCCCTTTCACAGCACTGGCATATCGCTGTGTTAATGCTTAGAACCTACAGAAGGTATTGACACGACGCGACCACCGTGCAGGGGTGTGTCTGAGGAAGGCTGGAGGGGGCGGAGCGGTCAGCCTGGGGCTCGCCAACGCCGACATCCACTTCCGAGAGGGGGTGATGTTCCTGGAGTACACGGAGGGCGACACCTGCCCGGGAGGGGCAGGCAAGCGAAGCAGCGTGGTGCAGTTTGCGTGTGCCATGGCTGGCTACTCGCACCTGGGTCCCCAGCTGGTGCATGTGGCCTCGGACTGCACCTACTACTTCATCTGGCACACCGAGCGTGCCTGCCGTAGGGTGGTGAGGATCTCTCTCTCTCTGCACTCTTTGTGGTCTGTTTATACCTGCAACACTCTTTCTGAAAGAAGCAAAGGTATGCGGGCGAGCTGGTTGGAAACGTTGTAATCTAAAACCTTGGTTACGGTTCTTTCTGCTTCGGTTTTGACACTGCGTGGTCTTGGACACTGTTGCCCTGTTGAGCTACAATACTGCCTATTCATTTCTGATGGTAAGGACACTAAATGTAGTCATCTTTCGAAATATTTGTTTTTATGCTAAGGGAATTTTATTGTTTTTTTATTACCGGTTTATGTAATTCTATTTCTTGGTACTAAATGCTTGGATAGTGTAGGATAAAATGTTGCCCTTATTGTGAGGGAACTTGTAAGTGCAGAACAAACACAAATAATAAAACAAAAAATGTCCTAAAAAAAAATTTTTTTACGTGTGTTTTAAGAGTGTTGAGTCTTTGTGGCGTTCAGTTTTCTAGCCTAGAGTCCGAGGAAAATAGGCTTGGACAAAATCTGGGTTTGAGCTACAGTGGGTGCTAATTTCTACAAGCATAAGAGTTTCTCTCTCTCTCTCTTCTCCAGCTGCACTGTACGGTGGAAGAGGGTGCGGAGAGATTCGACCTGTCGTCTTTGACCAAGTCGACGGGCAGGCACACGGTCCGCAACATGGTGGACCCCGGATACGTGTACTACATCAACGTCTGCCGTCCACTCCACGCTGTCGCACCCTACCACACGCTGGCCAATGCCGGCCTTGTCAGGGTCTCCAGAACGACCGGTGCCGTTGAGGTCTGTGCACATGTCGCTTTTAGAATCCTCACATTCTTCTTTGCTGTGGCAGCTCTTGCGAGATTTCGTGTCGGCCAGTACTGCCTCGCTAGGTTCTCGAATGCAGTAAGCTTGTGGTTAGAAGTTGTGAATTGATGAAGACTGGGGTTTTGAAGCTTCTTGTTGCGGAGGTTCTAGTGGGATTTCAGCGTAGCTACAGCGACAATCGGAATCTACGAGTCAAGAAGGCAGTTCCGTGAAGCATCTGTTGAAAGTGTGTTGTGTGAATTGTTCTTCATATTCTTGGTTACGAACAAGGTAGTAATGCTTGTTCTCATGAATTTTAGTTTTTTTTATATATGCTGCTCTTCAGATATGTCTGACAGACATGTTGTGATGGAACGTATACAATAGAGTCCTGTGTGTAGTATATTTTTTACTCGTGTTTTGGATTTTGTTCAGTATGATAAACCTCGTAGCTCATAGTTTCTATTGGTTTGTTTATATTGCAGAGCTTAGGGGAAGTCTTCATGGAGCCTTTCAACGACTTTCAAGGCCATGTCACCCTTCTCTATGTCAATGGATCGCAATGCTCTTTCAACACGTCTGCTTACAACAAAGCCAGGGTTATCTTTGTTTGTGACCCATCTACAACTGCTGTGAGTTGCCTCTCCTCTCTGTGTTAGCGTCTCGTGTCATACTTGCTTAAAAATAATGAGTCAACCTTTTTATTAAGGGGAGGCACTCCCTTGGAGGGTCTACTTTTTAAGTATTTGTGCCAGATCAATGAAATTTTTAGGGTATGTTAAATGTCAAAACTTAGGAGGCTACACCAACTTTCAACACAAAAGGTTTATTTTTTGACAAGTTACAGCCTTATTCGTTGAAAAAAATGTACATGTAGCCGTGCCAAAGGAAAAAAACTATCGTTTCAAAATATGAATAAAAAGGCACAATTTCTTTGTTGGGATATAACGCTGAATGACTAAACTAATCGGTAGTAGGCTTGAAATAATTTTTAAGGCCATATTTCATGTAAAAATTAACTTTCAATAATGGTATGAATTTTTAATTTTTTTCTTGTTTCACAAACGTCAACATTTTTGTGTGAAGAAATAACAATTTGCAAAAAGTAAGCGCATAGCCGAGTTCTCCAGTAAATTTCATGCCAAAAAAGCCATACATTAGACTTTGCGGCGCTTAACTCATTGAACGATAGTTTTAGAGCTGTGAAAAAATGGTGAAAACATGAAGCTGAGAAAAACGGGTTTGAAAGTTCGAACAGTGTTTTAGTTTAGATGGGGCTTGCCATTTCATCTAAACTGCTCCAGGGGCATATGTCACTCCTTCCTCTGCACGGTCCCTCTGTGCCTTGGCCACAGCTTCCATCTTCCTTTTTTTGTGGGACATCTTGGAGGACTCGAGCGCTTTCACTTGGGCCTTCGCAACCTTCATCTTGGTGGCCCTCTCTCCGTACGACGCTTGGTAGCTCCCTGGCTGTATGCCAATTTTCAACAGAGCTTCCGGATTCGCTAGGACGAGCCACGTCACGTGGCTCGTCCTAGCGAATCAGAGCTCTTGTTTCGCCAGCTTGACTAATAAGAGCGTGCACAGCTATGTTTTCTACGGGGTTTTACGGTCTGTGAGCGCGATATCGCGAACAATGCTGCGAACAGAACGAAAGAGGGCGAGACGCTCATTCCAACGAGGGGGGCCTGTCCATGCTAGTCCTAAGAAACGCGGAGGGAGCGCGCATTGAAAATGACACATTTTCGTAATCGGCTGCGTCGTCGGCGCGCACGTGCGGCCGCCAGCACGTCGAAAATAATTTATTTCGGAGTAAATACTTTACTTACAGGAATAAAATTTTTGGACAGCATTCTTTATGAGTTGTAAAAGCTGGTCAGCCTATTTTCCAAAAATGTTACTTTTTTGAAAAAATCGTGATTCCTAGGCCGTGCCTCCTATGACAGTTTTCCTATGACAGCTACAGCAAGCTGATCATTGTGGTTTACGTTTGTAAGCCCCAATGGTTGGCTTTTCATGTAGGTCCCAACAATTGGAAAAGTTGACGGCCAGGCTTTGTTCACGAAAAGGTTGACATATTTTTGAGGAATTCAGTTCCGACCTGCAATAGAAATTTTCATGGTGCAAAAAAGTTGATTGTACAGTCGCCGGCCGATTTTTCGGACATCGTGGAGGCCGAAAAAGGGTCAGAATAATCAACAAATTAAAAAAACTTGCCTTTATTACGTCTAAGCTGGCTTGAAAAACCGTAAATAGTGCCTTTCTTCAGGTTATGCCTGCGCGCTTTGTTTCAGGTCACATTTCCGTTTCTGTTAGCTTGAGAATCGCTGCCTTCTTTTTTAGCGTTGTGGTCGAGTACTTTCTGCGCTTCTTAGCGATGCATCGCCAGCGGTTGAAGAACAGATGGGCCAATGACGTCCAAGCCAGTGTAGTCCGAAAACGCCATTCACCAAGACGAGGTTGACATGAGAGGTGCAAGTCCATGACTGCAATGGCAAAGGAACAAAGTAAAGTGGTAACAACAGCAACGATGATGATGATGATGATAATGATGCGCAGCTAGAGAAAAACAGCCGTACAGTGTTGCCTAGTGGTAGGACTTAACAGTACTGAAGCGGCAGTGCCAAACCAACCCAATTCATGTGCAGCCAACATAGAATCTAAAATGGCCGCTTTTCGGTGGTGTTTCCCGCTGATCGCTCGTAACGATTTTGTCCGAAAAATCAAACTTTTGAACTTTAAGCTGTGCGAAACATCGGTCGTGAATTTGCACCATTTCTATCGGGTAGGTCGTGGTTCCTCTTTTAGGTCCGAAATATCAAACAAGTCCGTATTATCGGCATAAAAAAATCGGTTGGCGACTGCGATGGATCATGCATTATGACCTCATTGGCAGAAACCGAAAGGAATACAAAAACTTGAAACATCAAGAAGTTTATTTTTTCTAGCTAAATTTTTACAAAGCCAATTTTTTTTAAAAAGTATTTTTCTCTTTTCATAGGAAGAGCCAATTCTGTTGGACATCGACGAAGAGAACTGTGTGTTTGTCTTTGAATGGAGGACCAACCTGGTCTGTCCAGAGGTTGACAGAAAGGCCGTCCCCAGCGCCGGCTGCACGTTCAGCATCCCACAGCACGGACTATCGTTTGACCTGTCCAAGTTGGCACCGGGGAGCAGCAGTGTACTCGAGGTAAGACTAGGTCAATTAGTTTTTCGTCTCGCAAATTCAGTTACTGCTTTCCTTCCATCCTTCCGGTTGTACCAAGCAGACAAACTTACGGTCAGGGGCCTTGTTTGTTGTATAGCCGTGCTTGAAAATGCCTGCTACATTCGGTTATAACGAAGTACAATGTATTGTGTGCCTCTTCGTATGCTCATTAATTTCTTGACATGGCTACTTATTGCGGTTTGCACAGGCCCTCTTTCGTAGGCTGCTGAACAGAATATTGGTAAACAAGGGTTTATGTGACTTCAAAAATTATTAAAAAGAAATGTACTACCGTAAAATGCCGGACAAGCGCCCACTCAAAATTTAGAGATAATCGCGAAAAAATGGGGGATGGGCACTTGTCCGGTCATCAATTTTACATATCAATCGCCTGTGCATATTTACTCGGATCTTAAAAATTTGGGAATGGGCGCTTAATGTGGAATGGACGGATGCACGGTATTCTACGGTAGTGTTTTTTTTTGTTTGTTTTTTTAAATTGGCTATTAATGTTGCTTTGGTTGGCAATATTTTTAATTCTCTTTGTCTTATTTATGTTGAAGGTGTCTGACCCCACTGGGGAGGGAAAATTCCTGCTGGACGTCTGTGGCCAAACCCCGCTGAATGTTTCGGGCTGCAAGGACAGTGCGGTGTGCTTTGCCTCTCCAAATCACGAGGAAGGCTACGGGACATTGCATTCGTTCAGCTATTTTCAAGGCGTCCTCAGAGTCAAGTACACAAACGGAACAGCATGCAGTGGAAGCGGTAAGCCAGAACAGCATGGTTGGGTCAAAGTGGTCCCTTCTATTTGTCTTTCTTTTATTGTGTACTAGCTAAATGATCTGTGAGAAACATCTCACATATTTGATTTGATGCAAATGTAAGCAATTTATGATGATTGCCATATTTTGTGCCTGTTTCAAGAGAAAGAAGTTTGGTAAGTGTGATAAATGTTTGTTGTGATCGCTGCGCTGGCCAAAACTGCCGCGTCTAACAAGAGAATGCTTGTTTGTAATATAGAGCTGGAGGCAGTCTGGATGGGGCAAGAAAATTAAAATCTGACCTGCTCATGAGCACAGTCACAGTTTGCTTTGGCACCGAGACATCTTTTAGCCCAGAACCTAGCCCTTAGCTGAGCATGTAACTGGCAGCACATTGCCCCTTAAAGTGGTGTATAGGAGCAGTTGATTGTCCCTGGCTGCGTTATGCTTGTGGAGTATACATAGTATACTTTGTTCTGGAGTCTGCAGTGGTCCTCTCTTTTGGTCAGAAAACGTAATTTGTTCCATATGGCAGCTTCGTGAATCGCTGTATAAAAAAAACAGTGACTGCTACTTCAAAGTAGCAGTCACTGGTTACTTTGGGTTTATGTTGTCTTCCTATGCACTCTGATATGTATAGGTAGTAAAGAACTGAAGCACCATGTAATTTGGGATAGGAAACAAATCTGACATATCTTCTTTTTTTCTTTTTTTTTTCTTAAATAGAGGCTCCTTTCCACTCTGCTGAGATCAACTTTGAGTGTAGCCCAGAGTCTGGTGTAGGAGCTCCTGTTCTTGAGCATGTAAGTATGTTCAGAACACTTCTCTGAATACTCCTTTCGAAACAGGTGCTGTCTATATAGTCTGGCTGCATGTCACTTGCAACTCCAGCATGATCTTCTAACCTTCAATTAAACTTTTACGAGCACCTTTCATTGATTTTGATGTGTCTGCTCTTGCATTTTAAATTTATTTTGTAAGTATTCTTTATTAAATTTTTGGAGAATTGGGCATCTTTTGATGTAAGCACTCGTGCCTGACAGAAAACCATGATCCAATTTTGTGTCGTTCACTGTCCCTTCAATACCATGTCATGCTCATAATACACGTTTGTTCATTACAATTTCACACGGACGCTAAAGAACTAAGAGTTAAAAACAATGTTCGGATAATCGAAAAAGAAGGGCCATATTCAACGCCAGGTAGACCCAGGAATGCTTGGAACTGCTGCCTTTATCTAGCCCGAAATATCTAATCTCCTACTTTTTTTTTGTTTGTTTGCTTCTTACTATTGAGTCCCAACTTAACCCCATAAAACGATGAGGTTTTCGAGTGCCATATGTTGATAAATTTTTAATTACTTCCTCATTCTGACGCCTTGCAGAAGTATGCTTGCCACTCTGTGTTTACTTGGAAGACCGACCTGGTATGCGTGGCCGACACGCAGCAGTGCACGGTATCTTCGGGAGACGACTTCTACGACCTGGGCCTGCTCTCCTCCGTCAGCCACACCTGGAACGTCACGGACCCCAAGGGAAACATGTAAGCTTTCTCTCACTTTCTGCAAACTAGTGGAGGGTGGTGCCTAGCTTACTTTGCAAAACAATAAAAGCTTACATGCACTTTGCATGGTTTGGTGTTTATGGGACTGGGTCACTGAATGGGTCCGTCTCGCATGTTTTGCAGTTACTGGCTCAGCATTTGCAGTCTGCCGAAGCCTAACCAGGCAGGAAGCCACTCGTGTCCAAGCAGTGCCGCAGTCTGCATGAAGAGCGTCGACCACCGCGATGCCGACTTTACCCTGGGAAAGGTGGCGTCGCAGAAAATTAAAGTCACGAGTAAGTGTCCGTCGTCTCTTGGCTTTCCATGTCCGTACGATTGGTCGTTGGTCTTGGTTATGGAACCTTTGTTTTGCGGGAGCTGTACTGACGCGAGTAGAAAACCGGTTCTTCAAACCTTCTTGAACCCACATTCTCAATGTGCCTCTTTTCTTCGCGTCAGCCCAAACGCTGTGTTTGAGCTTGTCATGCCCGATTGTGCGGGTTTCCTCGCACTGTCCTAACGTTTACAAGTTTGACTTTGACTTCGACCAAACTTAACCACCACATTTGGTGTCGAGCATATTCCACTAAATTATTCGTTCTGACTGTAGCCATTTAGTCAGACTTGAAAAGGTATTGAATTCGACGGTTGCGCATCGGGGATAAACATGTTGCACCCTGAACATAATGGGAGGCAGGTGATGCCAGGGTTTGGGGTGGTCACCGATTTTGTTCTTTCTGTTTTAGGTGTATCCTAATATCTTTTTACTTGTCCCTGCTATTTTTGTGGGTGTTATTTTTGAGACAGTTACGTCTTTTGTCACCGCTGTCTCTAAAGTAATATTAGCAGTGCTTGTAGCACATTTCGGACACGCTTATTGAATGTCCTCAACCGACTGTAAGAACCTGTGACTTGAGTTGTGTGTGCTGCTTTCCCTATCCCAGCAATTATCAGTTGTGTCAGACAATCCGGCTTTCTTGACACGTCCGACGTGACTGTCAACGTTTCAAATTTTGGACGTTCTTTCCTTTGCTCGGGCAGTAGTTAAGTTATGGCAAGAGTAAAGAATATTAAAATGACTAATTAACTTTGGTTTGTAAGAAGCATGTGCCGGTCATACATCAAGAAAGCAAACTACAAAATGGTGCAATGGATCATTGCAGAGGCCGGAGAGATCCAGGTGTCGTATGGAGGAGGAGATCCGTACATTTGCCTAGACCGTTCCACACAGCATCCCGAAACCATTGTTAACCTTGTGTGCGATCCATCTGGAAGCGGCCTGGGCTCACCAGAATTTGTTAGTGGACCAACCAAGGATAGATGTGCGTTCACTTTCCACTGGAAGTCAAGGGGTGCCTGTGCAGTTCAGACGTGAGTCCTTTTGGAATGTTTGCCATTGTTTGTAGCTTTTTGGACGTAAGAACTTGGAAAGCTAAGTCAACGAGCAGGAAATTAGTATGCTTATTCCGGTGGACATTCAAAGGGATTAACGTATGTGAACGTAGCCCCTGAGAAGATTTATCAACAGAGTAGGTGTCAGTGACATTCTACAGTGTCTAACCAGGTGCATAGTTTTGTTATAAAACATGTTTTGTGTTTGCTTTTCAATGCAAAAAAAGTTACTTTGTTTTCTTCTTGTTAAGCATGTGCATGCACCTAACACATCATTTCATTATGGAGTTATTAGTCAGATATGTTGACTTTTATAGTAAAAGCCTGTTAATTTGAATTGTAAGGGAGTACTAAAATAAGTTTGAATTGAATACAGAGTTCAGACGAATGAAAAGTCAAAGGAAAAAGGTCAGATGTGGTGCTGGGTAGATCTGGGTATGCTACTACCTTTTATTAGACGAAAAGATGTTTAATCGTCTGCTTATTTTCTTGGAAAGTAACAGTCGTCAGGTTTTGTGCACAGATGTGGTGGAGCGCAACATGAAGTGCCTACTTGGACTGTACCGGTGTTTGCTCCTCTTCCTGGTGGAAGCTGCTTGACTTGATCACAGGAATCTTTTAGCTGATAGTGCAGCGAGGATGATAGCTATGAGCTGGCCCGTGCTCCTAGCTTTAATATGTGGTCAGAACTTCAGCTTGGGCGAGTTGGTAATTCATGATAATGCTTCATAGCGCACAAGATCACTTAAAAAGACTCACCACAAGGCCTGTCATAGTTCCCTACATCCACAACTTATCCCACAAGCTCAAGAAAATGGCCAATAGAGTCAACGTAGACGTTGTCTTCTCCGCGCCAAATAGACTTTCTAGCTTGTGCAAGAAGGTGAATGGGACATCTAGTCGACCAGTTGGATGTGTCAAAAACCACCTGAACAAGTTTGTGTCCTGCAATGAGGGAGTCGTCTATTCCTTCCCCCTCACATGTGGCAAGTGTTACATCGGACAGACGGGTCGCTGTCTAAATTACCGACTTCGTGAGCACAACAACAATGCCATAAATGCCAACTCGGGTCATTTAGGCCTCCACTGCAGAGTGTGTGGATGTTCTTCCCTCCTAGACAAATGCACCATACTGGGACGGAGCAGGGACAAAATGACGCGGGAAATAGTAGAAACCGCTAACATTGTAAGGCTAGATAGAATATGTGTTAGCACTCCTTCGCTAGCCTTAACAGAAAAAGAGTTGAACTACATAGAAAAAGCACAGTAGCAACGTCTGCTGTACAGGGAATTCATTATTTTTTCCTTCTATATTTTTCTTCCTTCTATATTTTGTTTTTAATCCTTTTTCTGTTCTTGCCCTTTCTCTTCTTCATATGATCCTTGTTTTTTTGTTTCACTGCCATTTGCATCGGAGTGAATGAAGATGATGCATAATACATTTGAGTTGTCAGTCAGCGCTGCGTGAGTGTTCTTCCTGTGTCCTGTGTATGCGTGATTTTCCTTTTTAAATGTGTCTGATCTTGTGCGCTGTGAAGCATTATCTTTAATATGTGCTTTCCTTGTGCAAGTGAATGTTCTGCGGAAGCATGTAGAAGAGTTAAGAGTGTCAGCTCCACGCCCGACTGTGCCATGGCAAAACAGCAGTGTAGCCTAGGACAGCCACCGCATAACTCGCGAATCTTGTACTTGGATGCCAACTGGAGAATGGGGGGAGAAATGAATGTTTGAAACTAAACTGAATGAAGTGCACAGGGCACTGTATGCAACCCGCAGTCTTAAGCGATAGATGGATACAATAGAACTGTTCTAGTTGGGGAATGGCTGGCGCCACCTAGCAGTAAGTAGCACTAGAGGCACTACTTTCCACTTGCGGCGTAGCTGATTTGCTAGCGAATTACCATTAAATCCCATAAGGGCTCCCTCCCCCGAGAGATTGCCCATCCCAATATCCGTAACATAAAAATTCCTAAATATCGTCCATCCCCAAATTCCTGTCGGACATTGCGTGATGTCAGACGGTAATTGCATTGACCGCGCAATCTGCTGTACCGGTATGCGTGACAAACGGGTTGGCAGCGTGTTCCTGCTTTTTTGTCTGTGATGTGTGTGCGATATCGGTTCCTGTGGCATGCGAGTTCGTAGCGAGATGCCCCGTTTTTGGTCCACAATTTGCGCGTGCAAGATATCGGTTCCCGTGCACGCAAGTTTAGCCGGTTTCCTCGTGTTCATCACACTGTGAAACACGAATCTGCTGCCTCCACAGTCTGCAGTATCTTTTCCCGTGACACGGGAGTTTATAGTGAATTCCCGTGCGTTTATCATGTTGTAAACACTAATATGCCGTGTCCACGATCTGCGGTATCAGTTCCCATGTCGCGTGGTTTGTAGCAGGTGCCCCTTTTGATTATTATTAATGTTCAATAAAGTTTTGCTGTCCCATCCCCAAAGATAGCCCACCTCATGTTTTTCACCATTTATAATTTTTTGTGGGTGCCCTTATGGCAATTTACGGTAATGTCTCTTTCTACATAGGCCTTTGTGCAGTGTGGTCGGATCATAGCAGTGTTCAAATTATACAAAAATTTTTATTAATCAAATGCGAGTTTACTAGCTTTTGCAGCATATGCTTCGACCCATCCCAGGGTTTGCGGTAATGCTAATGAAAACAAAATACAAATATAGTGATATTTTACACACTGAAGAACCCACTGTTCATTTGCAGTGAAGGACGTGTCCTGGAGAAGAACGGCATCATTGTGGACAGAAGGCTCAATCTGGCCATTGACTTCTCTTCCATACTGAACAGGCAAGAATGTCCCATTTGTACCTGTTGCTAATTAGAGCGAAGTTAAAAAAAAACGCGGACCAATAACTCCTATCTCTGCAGCACCTTCAATGTGACGGAAGTTCGGGGCAAGGACAAGTACATTTACGTCGTCAACCTGGGCAACACCCTCCCTGGCCTTTCTGAGGAGTGTGCACGTGCCAGTGTGTGCCAGACTAAGGAGATGCCAGCTTTCTACAGAGACGTGGGCAGCTTTGCCACGAGGAAATTTTTCATAAGAGGTGAGCCGGTGCGGCTTCCAAAGTGAAACGGTGTGTGGTGCGATTGAGAGGTCTAGTGCAGGGAGTCCCAGTCGTTCTATATCGGAGTGTCTTCCCCTTACTGGGCAGTCTCGAAATGAGACAGTCAAGGAGCTTGCAAGCTTTACGACTCTGCTGTGATCTATTTGTACTGTAACTGGTCAGTGCTTAAGTTTGGTGTAAGTGATTGAGGTAATTTAAATGCTCTAAAAACCCCAGAGTCCTTAGGGGAGCTCTCCAGGTTCTCATGATCCCTGTTTATCCACTTTGAATGTATTTCTGCCACGTCATAGTTATCGGCATGTGCGACTGCTAGAGGCTTGGTTTGCAGGAATCGAGGCTTTTAGTGTCTTAATACGGCGTGCAAGTTTGTCTGCTTTATGTGCCCCTTATGCATTTGTTTAGTTGCCAAATTCACTCGCATACTTTCGTTTCCCCGACCTCGACCAATGAAGGCGTGTGCTTGGCTGCTTCGTCGTCTCGCGTCCCCTGTACATTCTCTATGTTGCCTTTTTATTGGCGTACCCCCCTTGCCTTCCATTGGGTTAAAGGCTCGTTTTGGAACACTTGCTCGCCTTATGAGTAACAAAGTAAGGCAGTGATGAATTGCCTTTTGTTGCTTTTGTTTCTTTGCACCAGGATCCGAGTTGCGCCTTGAGATGGCATCTCTTGCAAGAAAGTGCGGTCGAACATCTTTGAATGTGACAACTGTCATCACTTTTAGCTGCTCGCAAGGTGCAGGAGTGGTAAGTACGCATAATAAGGCACTCTTTAATTAACCATCTTTGAAGGAATGTATTGGGAAGAGGCATTAGTTTGTGTTAGTTCATGCTTTGTAAGGTTAATATTTTTGGCAACAGCTGTGCACTTACTTAAAACTTTAAACATGAGCAGGATATTCTAATTTTATGTCATTTATTTTTCTCTCTGGGCTTGAAGTCATTATAGAGAGGAGTGGGCACTGTAATGTAAGCCTAAAATTAAAGTAATTAAAAAGCCAAGAGACAAAATTAGTATGAAACATCATTTAACAAATTCGTAGTTGCAATTCTAAAATTTAGTGGTGTTAGTAATTGAAACTATGACTGTGGGAAGGAGATCCCAATCAATTTAGGTTTGGGGATAAGGAAGAGGCATTAAAAGTAATGTGCTGTAAAGGGGGATCCTAACTCTTAGTTAATGATTGCACATGACGTGCAGAATGGTTCTAAAAACGGTGCTTGGCATAGTTTTGGATAAGAGGGATAAATCTTGTGAAAAAAACATAGGCAACATATTTCTGGGGGAATTTAAAATGCACTTTAATAAAACATGTTTTTAATTTGAGAAATTTTAACTAAAACCAAGCGTTCATTTCATAGGAATACTACGAAAATAGCTCTACTGTAAAATACCGATCAAGCACCCAAGCGAAGGTAGGAGGTAATTAGAAAGAATGGGGATGGGCACTTGTGATAGGTTCAAGAGCAGTAGGGCAGAAAAGGGTGGGAGCTAAAGTTATATGCGAACGTTTAAAAAGTCATCTCTGCCGCTCTGGAAATTAAATTTTATCGTTGCCAGGGCAAGCTTGGGTTGCCTGAGCTTCGCTTACCAATCTCTGCAAGTTGTGGGTGCAAGCCAATGGCTTTCGGAAATTGTGCCCGCATACGGCGCTGAAGGAGCGCTGAAGGAGCTAAAACCTTGTGCTTGCAGCTTTTGTTTTAGTCGAGCAGCAAGTTACTCCTTGGTTGATGATAAATGTCTGGTTGGAAAGTGTTTAGCGTTTCTTGCGGGAGAGTGATCACCTTGTTGTTCTTAAATATGCAACCATTCTTGACAACTAGCCTCTCTTTTTCAGGGTTCCCCCAAGTTCTTGTATGAATCAAACAAGTGCCATTACCTCTTTTTGTGGGAGACTTCGTTGGTTTGCCATAGTTCGCTCGTGTGAGTATTGTTTCCGTCTGATAAACCGGGCTGGATGACGGACTATCTTGAGGGTTATTGTAAGCCTACACTGTTCTGTTTGCAGAGCCCTAGATGGTGCCGATGCTGGAGGCTTCACCGGAGCAGAGACCACCGGTTCTGGGGCAGTGGTGGGCATAGTGACTGCGGTGGTTGTCGCCGTTGTTCTCCTTTCGGCGGCAGTCTACTTGTTGAGAGGGAAAATCTGGTGTGTTAATGTTTTTTTCACGCAGTTTTTAGTCACTACGGTCTTTCGTGCCTATTAACCCTTTAAGTGTCACGCCAGAGTATATTCGGGCGTGCTCCCATGTAGGTTTAAGTTTCGGTTTGCTCCCTACCACTCCCTACTGGGCTGTCGATTTTGTTGCGTGTGTAGCAATGTTTTGTCTCGTAATAACACTTGTTGATGGCATGTGGATAGTTTTGTTTAAATTACACGTGCAAAGGAAAAAAACTCTTTTTAAACAGCCTAAATGGAAAACAAATGTTTTTGTAAAGAATTTTCCTTTGCATCTGTCGTTTAATTAACTCAAACAAAGGCAAAATCTTTTTTTTTGAAGAGTTGAGGGGAAAAGAATGTCATAAAACGAAATTACAATGAAAAAACTAAATTTTCAGTTCAACGTTCAACATGCGGCGGCTGAGCCGCCGCACGTTGAACATGGTGCATTGCTGGCTCCGCATTCAATTTCTGATTGGCTGACAGGTCTATCACGTGGTGCTTGCACTCTTTCAGGAGCCTCCTTTGGGCACTAAAAGTTATTTATTAATCTTCTTTTTTCTTTTGTTGCACTTGAGACAAAGATTAATATGCAACTTTTAGAGTCCATATGAAGCTTCCAAAAGAGCGCAGGCACCACGTGACCATAGCGGCCACTTTCCCGTGGGATTACGTAGGCGCTAACTACAAATTTGTTTCGCGCCGTAAATATAGCTCTAAAAATTTAGTTTTTTCATTGTAATTTCGTTTTATGACATTCTTCTCTCATCTAGACTGCTTAAAAAAATTTTTTATTTTTTTAGGCAGTCTAGATGGAAAAAGAATTTAAACAAACAAATTAACAAATAAAAAAAATTTTAGAGCTATATTTACGGCCAAAACAAATTTGTAGTTGGCACCCGCGGGAGCCACTGCACGCTGAGTGTGGTGTGCCACCGGTTCAGCGCGTTTCTTGACGCCGCCACTGCCGTAAGAGAGCAAGGAACACTATGGTTACTGCCTGTGAATGCATTTGTGACCTCTGTGAAGGTGAATTTACCATATTTGACATCCTGCAGAATTGTTTCTTAAAGCTGACAAAGTTATACTCCTTAGAAAAAAGATAGGCTGCCTCAAGAGCTGCATTGCTCTTCTGAGACCATTCCTGTACCATTTCGTCAAGTGCAGTCAGAAGGGTTTGGATCACAGTGCATGTTCAGAGGATGCCTTCTTGAACTGTCAGTTGGATGCCAAAAAATTTGGAATTTTCCGATTTCAGGTCTTCGTGTGTGTGACAGGTATCAGAGAATGAGAAAACCTATACACAAGGTTGCCTGCCTTACTCAGCTTCGACTTTCATTATTGTATGGAGAGGTGCTTGAGGAACAGTCCTCTTTATTTTGCTGGAGCACATGTCGAGGAACTAGAACAGGGGTTTTGTGCAATGAATGGGTTTTGGTCTTCTCATTTTTACCAATACGGTCGCAGACCGATTTTTTGGACGCTGAGGGGACCCCGGAATTGTCTGAACAATCAAGCGGTCTGAAAAACGATTTCAGCCAAAATACCACATTTCCGCGCATATTCCGCTGCGTATTGGCCACTTTCCACTTGTTTGATGTCAATTTTAAGTTCTCGTGCAACTTCCGCCTTATATTGTTCACTTTTCACTTGTTTGTTGATCCGTTTAATCAACGCGCTACGCTTTGCCGGCACTGCCGTTCGCACAAACAGTGAAGTTGAAGTTGGCTCCATTTGGCATTATTTGGAGATGACGTTTAGTCCACCAAACTCGCTTCAATACGAAGTTTATCGGCAAAAAACCTTCGCGCTTAAAGACCACAAGAATGGCACATAGCTGCTCTTATCGCAGTCTCACTCGAAAAACTCGGACCACAAGAACTGGAAGAACCATAAGGATGAGCAGACGGCGGCCATGTTGGCACCCTACTATAGCCTCAGCCCAGTTTGTTCATTGCATAGGACTGCAGGGCAAAATCAATACAACCGAAATGGCAGCGATTAAGCTTGTGGCGCCATCACGGCGGTTGTTTTGTGGCTGTAAACTGAGGAAATCGTGCAAAATTGTGTCAAATATTGAGCCATAAGCTTTATGGTGTCCGAAATTTCGGTTAATGCTATACATTAACTCTGTGGGGTGAATGACGGTTCGGCGAAAACGTCCGAATAATCAAACGTGTCCGAAAAATCGGTCGGCGACTGTAATCTGTTAATTTCTGGTTTCTTGATTAAAGATTGTGAATTGCTGTTTTCTTTCTGTTTCAGGATGCTAGTTCCATCAAGATTCAAAGGCATCAAGGTCCCTCCATACCACTGGTCAAAGGTAAATAGAGTTTAATCCTCTAATATCCGAAGGTTTTGTTCTTTTGTCAAGCTTTAGATTTATTTTGTTATTTGGTTGGATTTTTGTGTGCTCACCCCTCCACTGAAATTCTGCCGTTAATGTTCTGTGTATGCTTCACCAAGTTAGAGCATACCTCACGTGTGTGCTAAAACTTAATCTTGCAAAAGGTATTCACTCATTCAACTCGTGTTTTTCAGACTCACTCCCAGCTTCATACGACCGACGAAAACGGCGACACCGAGCTTCTCACTTCTGGATCTTCTATGAATTCGGTCGATGATCCAAATGATCTTCACATCCTAACCTAGTATTAGCTTTCCTTTCCGGTCAAGGTGTGTTTGTTTTCATGGGCATCATCCATCCATCCTTTTCCACTTTTTTTTTTTTAAAGATGAGGGAATCCAGGAGGGTGCAAAGTGCTTGCACTATTTTGTAAGCATACCATTGGAAGCACTCCTACTACAGGCAATAGGACCGCTAACACAGACGACGAAGCGACAATGTTGAACTGCGACTGTGATAATTAATTTTTGACTAGCACCGAGTAGGTGTGTGTGTTGTGCATGTGCTCAGGCAATACATGGATGCATGCAGTAATTTTTTTAATATATTTCTGTGGCAACAGGCAGCTCCTGTTTGGAGCATGCTGCGAGTTGATCAAATGTGCTTTCCGTTTCTCATATTTTTTTATATTGAGTACTACAAGAGTACTATAGGTTGTTCCAGTTCTGTGGTATTGAGGGTGACCTGGATCTTCATGTCAAATGCAGTCCAGGGATACTTTATTTTTGTGTTTGAATTTGTGGTTTTTCAAACACTTCGCCATACCCCTTCGGTAAACGTACACCATACCATCTGGGAAAAATCCAACCCGACAGACTTGGTAGGCAAATGTGGCATACATATGCATAAGGGTTGGAAACACCTGAGAAAACATTGAGCTCAATTGGACAGCTTTCACTTTGGTTAAGGGGAGAGCTGAGGGGTTATGGTTTTTGTTTTTGAATGTATATTGTTGGTTTTGGAAATTCTATGTGGGAAGTGGGACAGTGTGCCTTATTCTAGTCCATGCTGACTCACGTGATGCATCTATAAGTGCTTTAGTGTGTGATAACTTGTGAATTTGCTTTGAAGCACAGGTAGTTGTAAATTTAGCCTAGGTTTTATTTTACCATTGTTTTTTTCTCAGTTTCGACACATTGCATTTTCGCACCTACAATGCTCCATTGATGCTCAAACTTTTTGTTTTGAGCACTAGGCTTTGTTAAGGTTGGTGTCGTAGATCAGCTAACCAAATACCGTAAGTTGTTTCACGTATGCATTGCATAAGAGCTGCAATCACACTTTGTCCTTACTTAAAGTTGTTATATGTATATAGATTTTTTATGACACAGGAATGTCTGAATAAAACTAATTTATTGCCTGTAAAATTTTTCGTCTCATTTACATCTGCTCTGCTGTACAAATTGTAAGTTAGGTATGTCGTATTAGCCGCATCAATCCCGCAGTTTATGTGGGCGTCTCATTGAGACCAGTTTGTTGTGATTTTTTCCTACGCTTCCTCAACTGGTCGAGCGCAAGTATTAGTCTGATGGCTCTTTCTTATTTAAGACTTTGACATCTTTTACTGACTGCTGCTTGATACAATGATCGAGCAAAACTGAAATCTTCCGGACATAAAATGCAAAGAGTGGTTCGGTTGCTTGGAACTTCACGGTAATGTCGGCTAATGCTTTGCTAAAGTTTGATAGCTGAGACTTTTCTTCGTGTGAAAGTAGCTTCCTTGGCTTTGCCAGAGTTTTCTCCAGGCATAGTAGGAGAAAAAAGACGCAATCGAAGAATTCTGCCCCATCCACTTTTTGGTCGTGGGTGAAGGACGTGATCAGGCAATCAAATTCGACCAGTCCGTTCAGGAGGAGGGTGGTGATCTGCAACCACAGGCTGCTGCTGCTGGCCAGTGACTCTACGCACCGTGCAAGGCAGTTTTGGCGATCGTGCTGCAGTGGAAACAAACCATAAAAGTGTTATGGAAAACTTCTGCTCATGGAAAACCTGCTCCCTCTTGCATTTTCAACCAGGCAATAATATAAAAAAAAATGGCATAGTTTGACTCAATGTTATCATTAACATTGTACAATTAGTTGCACAGTCTGATAGTATTGAGAGCGATGACCATGCTCTCAAGTTCAACGTGCCCCCAAGTATAATTTCTTTTTCTTCATGGCCCCAATTAGCTTATTTAGCAGAAAAGCCCATCACCTCTAGGGGTCGTCTCCAGTTGCAAATTTCCACAATACTCCTCTTCACGAAGTCCATTGCTGCACTGCGAAGACTGCCGTGAACTTGGTGCTTTGTGTCGCAGATTTTCGCTAGTGAAGATAGTCCCTTTGTGCACAGGTCCATTTCAATGTCTTCAATGGGATGAGTCTGGTAGATGGAACTGAAAAGCTTTTGAGCTGATTCGAGGACCAAGTGTGAAGTGTCGCTTATTGTGGTCTGGCTCGCTTCATGAGAGCTAATTGTGAGAAAACTTTCTAGAAAGATCCAGTGCTGTCTAAAATGTCCTGAATCGGCGTGATTCTTGTCGCCGCTTGCCGTGGCACTTCGTTCCTTCCAAGTTGAACTGCATAATTCAACTGAAAAACGAAAAAAAAAAAAAAAAAAAAACTGCGAGCTTATTAAATGATTTTTGCACTTAGCGTGTACGCGACTGTTACTTGCCTGGGGGTACATCTTTCGTGACATTGCGAAGTTCGATCACGGCGAGCTGTTGTCTCAGGTTAAAAATGTTCATCTCGAGCTGGAAACACTTGTCGGTTAGCTGTTCTTCGTGTCGTCGATACTGCTCGGCCATGTGCCTTATGTAATCAAGAGTAGTAACACCTTCAGGTTTGGTTCGTAGCAAAGCCACAGCGACGGCCACCTTCCAAACTTGATGATTTCGCTCTGAAAATTCATAGAATTTGGCATTTTGGGTACAGTTGATAAAGCAGACTGCCTTACCTCTTGGCAGCAGAACGAGATCCATTGCAAATTTATCCAAAGAAATAGGGATAGCTTCGGCTGAGCAGCAAGGTCCCCTTGAAAATGACGTGTCAATTTTACTAGAGCATCGTAATGAGATTGATGAATATGATTTATCGTGCAAAGTATGATTCGTTGAATCTCCGAGAAAGAATCAAAACGTCCGCCAATTTGGTTCACGTATCGCCCGCTGCATACCTGAGAGCGCTGCATGTATCTCGAAAGGTATGATGGGTACAGCTGTAACAATTTCGGTTTTGGTTTAAAAAAAACGTGCACGACTGGTAACCTTAGCGCATGACGCTTATTTTCACGAGGATTTATTGATTTGACCTGACGGGTGTTTCTTGTGAGCGGTGCTTTTCGCTGTGCTTTGGCTAGCGTGCTCGCTCTCGACTCACCAGACGCCGAAACGTTATCGAAGGTAATAACAAATGGTAATAAGCTCGCGTTGGAGTAGACAACCGAGACACCTTCCTGCCAGAGCCGTATATGCTTCCTGCCATTCTCATCCAGCCAGTGATTACAACGCAAAAGTGTAAAAAGATGGCGTTTATTTTTTTTTTTTTTTTAATTTTGTAAACATGTGAAAGGACGAGTTTTTCTGAGTCAAAAAATGCAAAAGAACAAAAAGCATTTGAAACCATTAATGACACGGTGGGCAACCCTGGCGTTAATTTTGACAAAAGGATGATAAAATGCAATCCAGTTATATCGTTAAAAAACGTTTTTTTTTTTCGGGAATTTATTATGTTTGTGTTATCGAATAATAAATAGATCGCCTACGGGATCTCTGTAGTAAGTCGTGGCGGGTTACGTTTAGGGGTGTCGCGAACTTTTATCGAACCAGATTTTTTGGTCGAACTTTGGGGGTTCGACTGGGTCGAACCGGTTCGACGAACCTTCGAACTTTTCACCAGATTCGAACGGTTCGACTTTGTGGACAGTGTGGCCAGGCTTTGATACAAGTATGTCTAGGTTTGGAGAATTTTTTTTATGCAAAGGGTTATTTTATTTTGTGAACAGCTGCAATTGAAAGAAACTAACTTTATTCACTAAAGAAGTATAATAACTTAAATTGTTGTACTGTATTGACTGAAACAGCGGATCAGCGCTGCACTTAATTCATCTCTTAGCCATTACCATCCAATCCGAAGCCAACTGGCCAGCCTGTCGCGCATGCGCACACGAGTCGAACCTCAATACAAGGTTCGACGAACTTTCCACTAAAAGTTCGAAAAAGTCGAACCTGGTCGACCTCGAACCGCGGCCGGTTCGCGACACCCCTAGTTACGTTCTCAAACTGATTTATGCGGTCCCTTTAAAGGGCCAGCACGCCACCGGGTGCTCCCTTGTAGAGTCAAAAATTAGGGGTGTGCGAATATTCCAATTAGAATCAAATAGTAATTGTCGGAATGATTCGATTCGATTCGACTTTCCAATGATTCGATCAATGAAATACAAGGTGTGACCAAAAAAAAGTTCCGAGACTGATTTTGTAGCGTAAAAAGACAAGGCAGCACAGCAATGCGCGCACAGCCACGGCCACTCGATCCTCCCTGTTGGTGCGGCCTGCCGATGTCTTTCCGAAAACAAAAGAGCGCGCGTGAGAGGAGAACTTCTCCCATTTTCCGTGGGGGCGCTGCACATCGGTGAGCGGTCTTGTGAGCTGAAAGCTATAGACGCTTTACTATGGTGGCTAGAGAGTTGGGTGTGTCGAGCGGCGGCCGGCGCGCGGCACCGAAACGGAAATCTGTCGCTAGGAGGCGCCTCGGTAGGCCTGTATGCTATCCGACCGCGGCGTTTTGGCTGCGCTGGGGCCGAAATGCGGCGCGTGCGGACCTTTACGCGGCCACTTGTCGGCTATGTTTTTTTACAGAATTAATTGGCGTGGCATAATGAAAGTGTGATAAACCTGGATTCGATAGTCGACCCGACTTTGGAGCGTCGACGAAGGTAAATGCGCACTTGAAGTCGTTCTATTCTCACCGCAGCCTTCTCGTTCGCGTAACGGAGGCGTTGATTCCGATGTAATATAGGAAAATGGGGAATTTTTTTTTTTTTCTCGTGTACTGCGTTTTCGAAATACGTGAAATGTCCACCGAGTATCAGCAGCCGTGACGAAATTTCGCGTTTCAAGCCGCTGTGTCACGTCTGTCAAATGAATCGACGCTGAACCGCGCAAGCATTTTAACATTAAAATATGTCTGAGGACACTGGACACTTCTGGTGCAATTCCCCTGTGATTCAAGAGCAGACATGGCGGGCGAGAAACAACGCGAAAAGTTGTCATGACACATAGCAAACAGTGCATTTTTGGCACTTTACATTTTTATTCAACGTGGAAAACTAGCAATGAAATACAAAATCGATTTTAAAAGAGAGTGAGCGAAGTAACATATTATCCATGTTACATGAACCATTTTTGAACGAAATATTCAGGAATAGGCAATGCAATTGTCGTAACTTCGGCAAATAAAATATCTCGAGAAAAAGCAAAAAAGTGTTTCTTTTGTGCTAACCCCCATACAAAATGGCTTATGGCATATTATCTTCCACATGGTAACAAACATATCTTTCTCATCTGTACCTTCTTTTCCACACTATAATCGCAACACTACTGAACATCGTAAGGCTGTCCTGGGTATTCTTGGCTGCATGCGTGAACAGGTTTTCAAGGCTGCATCTAGAGCAGACCTAAGGGCACCCAGAAACCACTAGTGATCGTATTTGTCTTCAGTAAGACATATTTTCGATTGATCAAAAATATTGTGCCTCCTCACCAGATGACTGCCGTTTGATTGTCGGGATCACGCTGTTTTAGGCGGGACATAGGTATAGGAACACAGGATTAAAGTACAACGAGGTTCTTTACAGCCATTGGCAAGACCCACAAGCACTCTGAGAATGAACATACCCTATCATGGTACCATGAAAAGGTATATCTTACAGTCAGCGTTCTGCTTTGAAGTCTATCAGGACAAGAATGACAGTACCGCAAACAGTTATTAAGTACCGTCGCATTTTGGTCACTTAACTTCAAACGGGCTATAACAGAACACAAAGGACAGAAACAGCCTGAGTCTGAGGAAGCATATTTTAGCCTAGCCGAATATAACCTCTTTTATACCGAGGCACACCGAACAGTCCAATGATGACACCTCCGTTAGATTTTTATGTCGTTGCATAAAAATTGCCATCAACAAAAGTGGACACCATTGTGACATTGCGACGGAAATTTTTATGGAGAGTCCATGGTATTAAGTAGCTCTGTGCGAAAGGCCAGCTTCATACAGTCGTGTTGCTACGTGCATGCAACCAGGTTAAAGGAATGCTGAACCGAAATTCGGATTTCAGAAAATAAGGCCGCAGACACCGTTGGTTAAAGCACATCTAAAAGGTGCTT